CTCGCGCCAGTCGGGTAGAACTGGAGCCAGCTCGCTGTGGGCGTAGTAGGTCCAGGGATCCAGACCCTTTTGTCCTTGCTCAATCACATCACTTCTCTCGTTGGGACGGCCGGCGATGGCCATAAAGTTTATCCAGCGAGCATCAATGTTTGTAAACGACAGACATTCATTGGCCCACTTGACAACTGCATGGCGAGTGCTTCGTACAGCGGGCGCTTTTTCAGTAAGAGACATGTATTTGAGAAGCATGTTCCTCAACTTTGGGTCTTCATCAGCAGTGTGTTTGGGGATATTTGATGTCAAGCTTGAGAGTGCTCCATCAATGTTCACCACGGCGTCATTGGTAGGATCTTCAGATAGTGATTGGAAGAGCCAACCAGCCAAGTCAACTCGTGCTTCGAAAGGCATAGCAGCGGAGCGCGCGAGCATTCCAATGGTTTCATAGCCTCTCGAGCGAAGCTGGGTCTCATCGTGAGATATCTGCACAGGAACAGGCCATCCTTGTGACTCGATATAGCTTTGCATGCTCTTAATGAGGTTTGGGCCGATCGAGAAGTCTTTGTTGGACGGGCCTACTTGAGCGACCCATGACAGAAATTGGAACAGAGCTTTGTGCAGCTTTGTTCTTTCCAGGGAGCTCGACGGCTGGAGTGCGTCTGTGGAAGAGTCTTGCCTGAAAGCTGGCAAAAAGTCCAGCTTGATAACGTTCATGATGTGCTCAGACATTGACGTAGCAATAGCCGATTTGGAGAGGAGGGTAAGAATTCGCGTGCGATAGGCAGCGGGAAGCCGGGCATGAGCTTCGAACAACCTCTTGACCAAGTCTTTGTTCTCAAATGAAATCGAGGTCCGCTTAATGATTTCCTCTGCTGAAGATGCTACCCTTGTATCTGGACTGGAAGAGGCATATAATGCAGGTAGAAACTTTTCCTCGTCTGTGAAAGCTGCGCTAGCAAGGAACGTAACCACTTTGACTCTAAGCTGAGAAATATTCTGGAATATCTTGACGGTTCCAGCGCCCTCGACGGAGAAGAAGGTGATTTCCTCCTGAGAGAAGGTGGGGTTTGACTCAGCAAGCGTCTTGCTTGGAGTAGGAGGCCGCAAACGCAAGAAGATGGACAGCATCTTGGCGAGGTACTTGGCGTCTGCCTCATCTTCTAATCCGATAGAAGCTCTCAAAGCTTCATCCTCCTTGCTTCCGCGTGAAGGTAGACGGACATCAATAAGAAGTTGAAGAATGATGTTAAAGAAAGCAGGTGCTCTGCTTAGGCCCTCGTCCTTTGAACATCCTCGTAGTGCAATAGGAACCAAGGCTTGCCTGTCATGTTCATCGAGACGACCAAGGCTGTGCTGGATGAATGGCAGATCAAGCTGCTTGATGACATTGGAGTCATTCGACTTGTACTGCTCAAGTAGAGCTTTTACGGGTAGAACGACACTGCCAGAAGTTAGCAACATGTTTCGACATGTTATGAAACCAGCAGGGAGGAGATGGGAGGAGATGGGAGGAAGTCGGAGGAGAAGAGGAGAAGAGAAAAAAAAAGAAGCCACTGTACCTTGGAGGCTGGATAAATGTTCTCAGCCTTGCTAGAACTTGGATAACCTGAAGAATGTTAGCATATCTAGACCAGCAATGTGGTTGATGATCAGCGAGGAAGCCTTACTTTGACTCGCACAGAGGCATGACTGCTGTCCGCCTTGAGAATGATGGGCGCCAAATAGCGGCCCAAAAGATCACAGAGCTTGTCCTCGACGTTTGCAACGCCGAGAATCTTGAACTCAACGTTGTCTATCAACTGCAGCTCTCGCTGCTCAGGAGTAGGTGTGGCCGTCATGACTGAAGATGTCTCAGAGATGCAGGGCCAGACGGGCTAGTAGCGTGGGGGAAATTCAAATGCTTGATAATACAGAGAAGAGTAAAAAAAAAAAAAAAGAAATGCAGATAACGATCAATATCACGGCTTAACAGTACGTAAGAAACGGAATTCGAGAAATGCGAGATGAGGAGCGTGTGTGGTGAAAGAAAGGGAATGTGGAAGTTGCAGAAGGTGGAAATGCTGGGGGGGGAGAAAAGGTGATTTGGGTAGAGGGCTTGAGGCTCCCGTCAGTGCATCATCACTTTAGGCCAACGTCGCTGTCGTAACGAAGTAAACAATGACTAAGCAGCCAGGTGCTGCGGAACACGTGAGGTGCAGCAGGGGCATGTTCGAATTTCTGGACATGGGTTGGTAAGGAGACGCAGGAGACTTGCTACTGCAATGATTTTTACAGGTCTTATTTGGAGGATTATTTGCATCTGGGCATATATATTGCAACTATGGCGCTTTAGTAACTGCTGGATGTGTTGGCCCAAGCCACAGCATGTCCCAGGCCAGGGTTGTTGCGAGATCTACCGATCTCTTCAAGCCAAGCCGATTCTGTACCTGCTAAGTAGCGTGCGGAGTACGTACATGCGGCCATAAAGAGAGGCCGTATTACAGGTGCTTTCAGGTGCTTTAGGCACATGAATTCTGCAGCGCATTAGTAGTTGAGATGGTATGGCGCGTTCTGCAAAGACACAGCGTCAATGATGCCTCCTTGCAGCATGTTTGGCATTTTGCACCCTGAAGGGGTGATGCAAGCTGTTTGAATTATTCAACCTCTCCCTACGTCCTCCTGCAGCGGAGCTTCCGTATTGAGCACTCCTCTGCGCTTCAGATGTGCTCCGTAGAGGTGCAGCATCTACATGTACTTGCGAGCACGCCAGTAACGCAGTTATCTCCATGAGGAATCACCAGTAAACTCAGTAATGCAGACCTGTCATTTAAGGGATAAGATTTCTCTTAAACGCGCATTGGTAGAAACCTAAAGTAGGTAGGTATGGAGCGTCTATACTACAGTATGGCTTACTTCTCTTCCTCTTCCAGCCCAATTCGGGATTCGGCGAGTAACGTCAGCCCATTTTCCCCAAGGTCACAGTTCCAACACCGTCCAAACGACCAAGTGAAAGGGCGGAACAATCGGACAGTGAAACCAATAGGACAGGAGGCGAAAAGTCCTAGTGTGACGGCGGCAAACTGTCAAAACGAAGTGGGACGCTGAGTACAGTAGGATTTTTCTCAAAGCGAATACTACCGCTACTAGTCTTTGCAGGGCAGCTTGCAAAGTCCTGCCTCATACTATCTGCGGCGCAAACCTCGCTTCAACGGCAAGCAAACCACTACCGCAAGTTAGACTCTATCATATGCATTGTGCATAGTGCCGGATCAGGTAAGCTGATAAAAAATCTTGCTTGCGTAGGGCAGGAGGCCGAGGTCATTGGATGCCGAGAGAGACCCACGACAAGCCGCCCAATGGCAGCGGCTTTTTTCTCTCTCTTTTCCCAGTTACGACCCACGGGCGACCGAGTTCACGATGTGGTGTATGAAAAGCTTTTGCTAACTAAACATTCATTAGGTCGCGAGCCCCGCAGTATAGAGACACGCCTCACCAAGGTTCTAATCCGAAAGGAAGACAAAAAAAAGAAAGGAAAAATTAAGAAGGAAAAATAAGTTGCATGCCGGCCTAGCGGTGATGGCAGATGGTGGCTGCTACGTCCGTCGGCTTTTCGCTATTGCTTTTGTCTGGAAAGCTGAGGGTCCAGCTGCATATTCATCAATTGCCATGTCAATGCTCTCCGATACGCGGTGACAAAAGAAAAGTCGGCGGCTTTAATTGGAATATAGTATTTTGTACTGAGCTGACATGTAGCATTGGCCGCCTATAGTGGCTTTTTTTTTTTCAGCTGGATACTTGTACAAGCAAGCAAAAATATTGCAGGGGTTTCTGGTGGCGATCCATGCCACCAACGAGCGAAAACTGCGAATCCCGCCGACAATAAGCCCTGAAGTATCGTACATAGTACGTCATACGTACCAGATTGTTTTTTTTCCCCTTAACGCGGGAACGTAAGATGGAAAGAAAATCAAATATTAGGCAGCGAGTGCCTGTTTGTACTCATCGTCTTGAATGCAATGCCGTCATGATTATCACAGGCTGGTAATAATCATCGCGGTTCCTGGACGAGGGGGAAAAAATCGATTCGAATTGTCAAACGCTGACTGGCCGAAGCTGTTGTCCTCTGGAAGGATGAACGTGGCCCCCCCCTTAGAGGTAGCATCTCTGCGGCCACACGGTCAAACTGCTGCAGGAGAGGAGCCAGCTCCCATGTCAAAATACACCTCCAAACCAACAGCTCTACCTACCTCGCAAGGTTAATCCACCAGCGGCGGGCATCCAGATACCTGGAAACGTTCCTCATTGGGGCTTTGAGCAGGTGGTGTTGTGCAGGAGTGCCACTCCTTGATTCCGGCTCCCCCAACCAGCGTCCGCCAAAGCCCTGCAGTTCGAGAGAGCGACAAGGGGAGGGGGCGTCTCTTTGGCGCGCTGAGCGGCCGGGGGTGAGGAGGGGTAGAAGTGGTGCCCTGTACGATCGTGACGGGTCAGAAACAAGATCCATAGGCGGGATGCACAGGCTGGATACCACATGGCAGACGGGCCTGCCTCGGGCATGGCTTACCACTATTCGCTGTAGTACTTGTAGCAGCTCTGCTGGAGAGCTAGGAAGCTGCTGGAGAGCTCGCGATGGAGGTCCCAAGAGCTTGTTCTTCGGCGAAAGACAAAGTTGGCTGGGCCTTTGGCTCTCGTCACAAGTGACCTGTGCCGGAGCACTGCTGCTTGTAGACACTCCGTACCTTTTGTACGCCTGCATGCAATCTCCCTTGTCAGCTTTCCGAAGCACGTAATCATGCAGGGGTGCCGTACCGACGCAGCTGATGGCGAAAGATGCTTCCCGTGCATGTAATTTGAGTCTCCAAGACAAGGCGCGGGTCGATCAGCAAGAGACCGCATTTGTCGCGAAATGCGACGGCAGTCTCGGCGCAAACGAGAAGAATCCCATGCCTGCGCATCGACGAGGACTTGTCCGTGGCACTGGCCGATTACAGGAACGCCCGGGATGTAGCATATTTTTTTTTTTTTTTTATCCTTTCCCTGCTAGGGGTGATCCCATGGTTCCAGTATGTTTGAGAGATGTGACGAGAGGCTGTAATACGCCCGCTGGCTCCATGCCGATGCCTCTGTGGGCAGCGTCGTGCCCAAGGGCATCAGCATAAAATGCAAGGAGGAAATGCCTGGTAGAGTTTTGCAGATTGGTGTAGAAATATCGTTATGCAAGGGAGCGTGGTGTTGAAAGACGCCCGCGGACGTTTTTTTCGCTCCCTCCCTTTCGACAGCCAGCCCTGATCTTGCGGCGATCGGTACGTACCGAAAGTACATGGAGCAAGACGGCTACCAGCATCGCCATCGTCGCCGCTGCAAGGCACCAGGGGTAAAGATTGAACACATGAACACAAATTCAATAGTCGTTTAGCGCCGAGGTATTCATTTTGGAGGGTGCTTGCATTAGGTACGGGTATTGATTAGCTATTCACGTGCATCTGCGTACCTATGAACTGATTCACTCTAATTTACACAAAGCATCTTTGTCGCGTTACAATATTGATCTGAGACTCTGTGACAGGGACCTGGTGAACTAGATGGGTTGGGTGGTATTAGTGACGAGGTATTTCGTAGCCTCAGTCGGTTCCTCGGTAAACAGGCTGCGAGATTATACTGAGACATGACTGTTGCATGTGCATTGACTAGAGTTGCGAATAGACCCTTGTTGACTTGCAATTTGACGCCATTCTGTGCTCTGCAGAGGCCATGGCAATGCCGCTCAAGGTCTGAGGACATTGCCTAGTGCCAGTAGCAGCAAACAGCAGCGTATGCTACAATAACATCTCGTATATAATAGTAGAACCTGTAAACGTGGGTTCAGCTCTGCTGTCTTTGACTGTCAGATCTGACAGTTACGCCAGATACAGTCCAACTCCCCCGCTTGTGGCCTGCATACGGATCCAGACTAGAATTTGGCTTTACCGGTTCCGGACTCTCTTCTTTATTCAAACTGTGCTGTTTGGTTTTCTCTTTCTTTCAGCTTCCAAATGTTGCTACGCGGTCCAAGGTCCACTGACAAGTGCCTCCTCTCACAGCCAGTCAGAGCCGCAAACAGGGAGATGCCGGTGCCCCAATGCGTGCACTATCCAAATCGCCACATGGGTAGATGCACTAGACAAAGACCAGCCTGGTGAATGGAGTCGACTTTGGTAGCTAGTGACACGCCGTCGGACAGTCCGCTAGAAAGCTTCAGAGTGCTTCGTCTTTAGGGCGAGAGATCACGGGCTAAGGATCGTGGCACGGTATGGGGACAGTGTCTTTTATAGCAGTTTCCTCTTCTTTTACGTAGAGCCAGCGTAGAAGAGCAATCGTAGGGCTTGTGATGCTTGGCTGTTTCCGGCTGCTTGGTGGAGATGCCTTCTTTTGGCACTGCGAGAGACAGTAGGGCTACGTGAATGGAAACGGTGCATCGCTTGCCGCATGTTCCGCGATGGAAGACAAGACAATCGTGGTACTGGACAAGTAGTTTCTTGTTTCTTCGACAGTTGATGCCCTGCAAATCCCTCTGGCACGAGCCTGAACGAACTCATCTTTGCGGTCTTGCGGAGTGCATGGAGCCTCGCAGTGGTCAAAGCAAAAGTAAGAGAAGACACTAGCTGCTTCATGGGCCAAGTCATCGTCCAAACAAAGCCAAACTCGGCAAGCAGCTGCGTCTCTTATACTCGTATTTGCTCGGAACAAGGCGAGTAGCAAGGAGGCTAGGACTCAATGCGTTTCGCGTATACCTGGTAGGTACATCAGGCTTCCATGTTCTATACATGTACTCAGCTTGGCGATGCGCCACCAACACTCTCTCAACACTCCGCGCTTGTGTGGCGCCCTCCATGGCCGAAAACCTCTCCGTTTCGATCCTTGGGTCCCCAATTTTACATGTCCAGAGCCATTGAGCCTGCTGTAGCGGCTGGGCCTATTCGCCGTCCTGGACCAGACCAAGACTATGGGCGCCACTCGCCGTTTTTCTTCCGTACACGCCCAGAAACTGCGCCCACAAGGTTTTTTTTTTGCGGATAAGAGTGAGCCAGGGCTTTATTAGGAACCTGCTCAGTCGCTGAGAACAGAGCAGACCAAGCAGGATGGCGGTAGGGCTTCAGAAGAGTACCCAAGGTAGATGGGAATAAGTCAGAAGAGGAAATAGGAATAAGAAGAAGAATACCCAAAGGCTGTCGCTTCCTTCCTCCTTTCCTCCTTTCCTCTCCTCTTTCTGCTTCTTCCAACAGCGTTATTTACTCTTTCCGTCCCTTGTGCGATTACACAGCAATTGATTGATTGTTGATTGATTGGTTGTGTACTTCGTCCCGTCGTCAATTGCCTGCGATCCCCGCTGTCTCGATCTAATCGTTTCTTGGATCTGTTGTCGATATCGCCGCAAAGCACCTCTTTACCTCGCTGTTTTTGGCATATATTGCTACCGCTGCTTGTTTCTTTGTCCACTGCTCCCTTGTCTGTTGCCTCGCAAGCTTTTGTTGTTCCCATCAGCCGAAAGGAAGAGCCAGAGCCGCGATAGCAAAGCGTCGTCCGTCCCAGCAGCAGCGTCGCCATCGTGAGGCCGAGCCCCCCTCCCTCCAGAACTCCAGCGCTCCAGCGTTCGTCTGCTCGCTCGTGTGGGTGGAATTTTCGTTCGTGTGGGTAGTTCTAGCGCCCTTTCATACCAGGGCCGGCCAACCAACGGGTCTGAGATCGAGCACACAGATCGTCTTTGGCCACAACGCCAGCGCCCACATCGAACGTCTCACAGGCAATAGGCTCACGCCCCCCCTGTCCCTCGCCTAACTAATCCCCGCGCAAGCCGGAGCTGGCTGTGCAGAGTCAAACTGTGTGAGCAGGAAGTGTGTGCCCACTAATAAGTCGTCCAACAAGAGGGCCAGGACAAGCTTGGACAAGGGAGAAAAAAAAAAGCTCGCCCGCTCTCTCTCGCTGCCGCACGGCGTCCCGCGACTGACTCTTTTCCTCCATCACACATTCTTCCTCTTTCATCTCTTTTCCTTTCGTCACGGCTGCTACGGTTCTTCCCTTGCGCGTGTTTCGGACATCGGCTGAGAGAGTTACGGTTGTTTTTGCCGGCGCCTAAAAGTAAGTTGAGATTCTGCACCCTGCCAGCCTTGCTTTTTTTTTTGGTGCCTCTTGTGAATTTTTCCCCTCTTGTCCGTGCCCGGAAGGTCGAATAGTGTGTGGTTTGCGCGCGGACGACGGATCAAAATTTCGAATTGGACGCTGCCCCTCCGGCGACGGCAGCAGAATCGCCAGCCTCGACCTCGACAGGCACCGAAGCAACGGCCGGGGCCTTGTGCGCTCGGCGACGAGGCCGCTGCAGCGACGCAATCGACCGATACAGGCCTTTTTAGTGCGCGCCGTCCGCAGCGCACATGCGGCGAAAAAGTGCGGCGTCGTATTTCCGGTTGCGCCGTCGCCGTCGCCGTCAGGACTGGCCCCGAAACCCTCCAAGAGCGCTGCCACGGCCAGATCGCGAGCATCGCGGGCGCTGCTGGCCGTCGCATCGTCCGGCCTCTCCAGCGCCATGCCTGGCCTCCATGCCATGCAGATTTTCTCTCCGGAAGCACTTCGGGCGTCTTCGCGGGGACGATGCACAATCTCCATCCGGCCTCACCCCACTTCGCCGGGCCCATAGCAATGCGATTGCGGCAGACGCGAAAATTCAGATGCTGCGAGTCGATATGTTCAAAAGGAATGGAGCGACGAGGTGCCTGGCCGTGGGAGAAATCAATCTTGCGGCGATTCAGCCTGTCGATGCTGGTGTTGCTGGCAAAATCTCAATATCGCAATGCCTGGCGGGATGGATAGCTGCGGCTCCTTGCACGAGCAGCTGACAATGCAACTATGCGCCTTGACGGCTGCCACGCATGATCGACATGTTGGGCCTCAGTTATTCCGAGTCGCTGATAAGTGGATATTTGGCATGTTGGACGGCGGTGGACTGCGATGCTACGACTCGTTTGTGGCGGCTGAGTCGTTGGTGCGTGCTTGGTGCGCATTCGCCGTTTGCTCCTCCAAATTGGACTACATAATGCGGCACCGTCATTCTACGAATCGCCATGACGGGCTTCAATAGCCATTGACCGTGGCCAGCCTTTTGCCAGTCTCATCAACTGAAGCAACACCTACGCAAACTTTTTGATACATCACATGCCCGTAATTTGAATGGTTGCAACGTCAAAAATGCCATTGTCTATCAGTTACGGCTCCAAAACGAGGATGATGCAACTGAGAATACACTGGAACCACCTGCCCACCTATGGAATTTGGAATTTTGAGGGATGATACACTTTGACAGAACATGGATATCAAAGACTGGCCACTTCCGAGGATACTCTCAGGGGAATGGACATGGGCTGGACCAATGGTGTCACCGAGTTGTCGCCCTCAAGACCCGAAAAGTTCCTTTGACGTAATACACAACACACGAGACAAGAGGGCTTTGTTATCGTTTTGCACATCACGCGCCTATAAAAAGCCGCAATCCACGGCACAGAATACTAATTTTCTCTTCATCTAGGTTCTTCTTGATTTCGAGAGCGTTCCAACTGTTTTACCACACTCCTTAAGGATTTTCGGTAGAACAAACGTTCGGTTCCACGATTTCACGTTACGACTCCAGTTCAAAGAGAATATTCTTTTCCGCTTCAAGCATCGCTTCTGCCCCCTTGCCATCTTGAACGCGGCGTGACGGCGTATTGACCATATCTTTACTCGTACACCCTTCTTCCTCTTCTTTGGAGTCCAGCTATTGTGACTGGATATCGGCTCTTTATTGCTTCGTTCTCGATTCTCATTTTCGATCGGACGCTCCATCTCCATCTCCATCTCTATTTCCATTTTCTTAGGTTCGTGTGCGGCCGAAATTGCGTGTAGCTGGTCATGGACAGCGTTTTGATACTAACAACTCTGGTCAATAGTCTTGAAGCATCTTCTTTGGCAAAGATAGCCTATTTATAATTGGACGTGAGAAACATATTACAACTTGTTTTTGAAAGCATACAGCAATTGGTACGTGTTGACTTTTTCCTAACTTTCTGTTCGTTTGCATGCACCTCTACGCCTGGCAGTCTGGCAATTTTGGCGAGATACGAAAGCCTATTGGTCGCGCAGTTGTCAAGGAGGCTCTTTTGACACGGGCAAACGTCGCCTTGAGCCAAGTGGCCCATTTCAGATTCTGGTGACAAGGCCTGGCGCAACAAGCAACTCTATCCTTTTCATCCACACCGGCAGAAAAAGAAGATTGCTCTGCGGCAGGCCCCAATCTGAACAACAGCCACAACAACATAGCTAGGCACTGGCGATGATGTCTTCTGCTTATTCTCCCCCCTCTTTTTTCTCCTCCTGGGAGGCACTGCTACAAATGATCAACTTCATTTGTTGTCATCTTCTCTTCTCCTATATCGCCATAGCGCCTTTGATCGGCATTGTACATGTACTAATGAGCTTCGGTGCAGACAAGTATGGATCTCAACACTTCCTTTTCCGGGTCGCAATCTAACGGCATTGGTGCTGCTAGTCCAATGGCTTTCCAAAACGGAACCCCCCCTGCTACCGACATGTCGGCTGTCCCATCTCCCGCTGGTCCTACTCAGGACCAGGCCAAGACTACCCTCTGGTAAGATAAAAGTGCAGCCCAGGGATATGCAAGGGTGATATGTGACTGACGAATGAACTAGGATGGGAGAGCTTGAGCCTTGGATGGACGAGAACTTCATCAAGGGCGTCTTCCTATCTTCTGCCGGAGAGACGGTCAACGTCAAGGTCATCCGCGACAAGAACTCTGGGTAAGTTTTGCTGCCCTGCTTTTGGATTTGGGTCTAGCTGTGCACAACGAACGATGAGGCCTTTACAGCGTCTATAGTCGAAAAGCCACACGCACCATACACCGCGCATGCTATCCGTTATCGAAGCCCGTCTCAGCTAACATGAGTCTCTCCTAGCAACGCCGGCTACTGCTTCGTCGAGTTCCCGACTCCCGACTCCGCTACCAAGGCGCTTGGCCTTAACGGACAGGCAGTGCCCAACAGCCAGCGCCAGTTCAAGCTCAACTGGGCCTCTGGCGGCGGCTTGGTGGATCGACGGTATGTGTAACCCTTGTGAAATTAAGCCATGCAGTGTTCAGCCTCGTCTCTTTTTCTGCCCTTTTTTTTAGGGCTGCCTTGCGGTGGTGCTTGTACCTCCCCACGCAGTTTCTCGTGTGCCTGTGCCTGGCCGGTACTTGCCACAGATTTGCGGCAGTAACGCTGGCGCCTCGGATTTACTTTCTTCACCACCTCTTCAGCGCAGCTTCATCTTTCTTTTTTTTTTTCCCCTCTGCCTTGCTCTGCCCTGAACAGTCCATCGCTTGCGATTTGCGCCCTCCTCTCTCTTTTCTTCGTTCACTCTCTCGCTGCTTCAGCATCCTTGCCTTTTCTTCACTTCCGCTCCTGCTCCCGCTTCATATTCGGTTTCTAATGTCTTCCAACAACGATAGCGACGACCGCGGCCCCGAGTACAGCATCTTCGTCGGCGACCTTGGCCCCGAGGTCAACGAATATGTCTTGGTCTCGCTCTTCCAGGCTCGTTTCCCCTCGTGCAAGTCTGCCAAGATCATGACCGACGCCATGTCTGGCCAGAGCCGCGGCTACGGGTTCGTGCGCTTTTCTGATGAAAACGACCAGCAGCGTGCGCTCGTTGAGATGCAGGGAGTCTACTGCGGTAACCGTCCTATGAGGATTTCGACTGCCACTCCCAAGAATCGGTACGTCCCTCGCCTTAGTACTGACCTTTTTTTTCTCTACTTTTTCACTTGTTGCAATTTCTACCCTTACACTTGTGCACGTACTCTACTCTACTTTTGACTTGGAGACGCTCCTTTGATTTTCTTTCGGGCCAACTCTGGGCTATTATCCGCTTACACTCTCCCATCACGCCTCCTCTCGCACTGTCTTCTTTGCAAAGAGCAAATCTGGCTGACATGACGGTTTTTCCTTACAGCGGAAACCACGGCTTCGGTCACGGACACCAAGGAGGTCCTATGATGGGCGGCGGTATGCCCCAGCAGCAGCAGATGTGGGGTGGAGTGCAAAACTTCCCCTACGGCGGCGGCGGCGGCGGTGGTGGTGGTGGCGGTGGTAACTTCAACCCGGCCACGCAGATGAACCAGTTCACTGATCCCAACAACACCACTGTCTTCGTCGGCGGCCTTTCAGGATACGTCACCGAGGACGAGCTGCGATCTTTCTTCCAGGGCTTTGGAGAGATTACATATGTCAAGATCCCCCCCGGCAAAGGCTGCGGCTTCGTCCAGTTCGTCCACCGCCACGCCGCCGAGATGGCCATCAATCAGATGCAGGGTTACCCCATCGGCAACTCCCGCGTGCGTCTCAGCTGGGGCAGATCTCAGAACAACTCTGGTGTGGGTACTCCCTACCGCCCTGCTCCCCCTCCGCCTCACTACATGGGCATGCCTGGCCCTGCTCACGGCGGCCCTGGTCCCAGCCCATACGGCGGCCCTCACCACTTTGGTGGTCCTGCTCCTGGCCCCCAGGGTCCTTCAGGGCCTCCAGGTCCCGCTGTTCCCCCTCAGGTACGCAACCCCAAAGCGTAACAGGATACGCTGCATCCCCCTTTTACCCCTTCCTTCTCCATTTTCGATTTGAAAAATCAACAGAAAAGCTGACTACTGGAACCCATTTTTTTGTAGTAAAGTTTGAAGAAGCTGCTGGACACTACTAGAGACCGGCTGCGTCTTTTATCCAGACCTGTCACAGGGAATTGGACATGGTTTTGTCAACTTCCATTTGATGCTCTCTTTTCCTATTCTTCACAGCCAAATTGATGGGCTGACCTGGGGCAACATTGGGGCGTTGGACTGATTTGCGTCGTTCGGGCACGTCGTCTTTTGTCATTTTTTCTCACGTTGAAATTACCATTGCTTTGCGCTTTGACACGACACTATGCACCCCCCATTTTCTTGAGTCTCAAATCACGACCGGCGTTGGAGATTTCAGTTCTCTGGGGAACTGTCACCAGTCAAATTTGATTACGTGCTTGATTTTATGATTCCCCTTACAAAATTGATGCCGTGCTTTGTTGCGTGTGATTGCCTCTTGTTTTTGTGCCTCTCGCTTTTGTGATGTGTGCAATAATTTCCCATGTTTAGGCTCCAAGTTTCTGTTTCTTCCTATTTTACCTCTTTGTCTTGTTTGCCCTTTTTTTTTAATTCTATTCTTCTTTTCCCTTTCCCTGTTACCTGTCATTTCTTTTTACGCATTTCCTACTATCTCTTTGTATCTTCTATTATTTCTTTTACGTATTTCTTATTATCTCTCTTTCGTATCTTCTGTTATTTCTTTGCCTCTTTATTATCTCCCGTATTTTATATTATTTCTTTCCGTATTTCCAATTTTATTTCGTCCTCAGCCTTTAAAAGCCAGACTTTGCGCATAGCGACAAGAGCTGTTCTCGAGCCTAGAACTTGCGCTGGTCATTAAAATTTTCTCTTGTATAACTAACTTTCCTATTCTTTTCCTTCCATCTATTCCCCTTCTTTTTCAATTCCGTTCTCTCTCTCTTCATTACCCAAAAGTGCTTTCCTTGCTCTCTCTCATGCCTACACTCTCTCTATTGGATTTGGTAGCAGCGGTAGACGCTCTTTTCTCTGATCCTCTAGTGTTTTGGCTGCTCTTCCCTTTCAGCTTGACACTTTGATATTCCACCAGCTATACAGCTGCAAGTCTTGCTTTCTTTCAAGCCGTCGTTGTATGACATCCAAAACTCTGTCTCAAAACGTGTATGCGGAGTAACTCGTCATGTGTACGTGCATTCTTCGGGCTGGCAATAGTTTGTGGATGGCGAGGGGATATGCATGTTTCGTTTAGCACTGCGGACAGCAGATATGCCTATATGTATCTACAGGTATCTAGAAAAGAATACAAGGGAGCATTTAGATGGAGTGTCTCGATTTTATGCTTGTGAGGCTTCTTGTCTACCTATAATATGGCTACTAACGGTATCCCCCTTTCTATGCCCTGTATTAGTCGCTCTGATAAAAATTCCTTTTCGCAATTTATTACTTCCAAAGAGCGCGCCATTTATGCTTCACATGTCAAGGCCGTGCCGATTATCCTTCTGGCCAGCTGGAATCGCTGGATAGAGCGAGGCTAGTTGTCATGGGACCCTAGTCGCGGGGTAACAGCACTTTTCGGCGAAGAGTCATGAGATGTTCCACTTTACTTTGCTTGAGCAAAAGTGCCTCTTGATATAGACGCTGAGCAGCTGGTATATAGATGTCTATATAAACTATAGGAGTGGACGGACTAGATTTGCAATTGTTCGCATTGTACTGTCGAAAAAGATTAACGGGCATTGTTCATCAGCCAACCAACTCTATCTCATCATGTCATCCACGCCTTTCCATTTCCGTGTCGAAAATGCTCGGGACGAAGACTTGCCGCGATGCATGGAGCTCATCCTCGAAGCGTTTGGGCCGTTTCCTATTATGAAAATCATGGGAGGGCCCAAGACACTAGAGAACTATGAATTTACCGCCGGGCAACACTTGACCGGCTTCAGAGAGCACGCTGCAAAGTATCCCTCTGTGTGGCCGGCCATCAAGTGCGTACACACAGATCCAGCTACGGGAGAGGAGAAGATTATTGGCTATGCGGAGTGGTTCGTCTGGGACAGGGTGAGGAGCGAGGAGGAGTACATGCAGGAGAATCACATCTTGCGCATGGAGTGGATACAGGACGAGGAGAAGAGGCAGCAGTGCCTCGAGCTGATTCAGCCAGAGGTTGATATGCGGAGGAAGGTCATGAAGGGGCGGCCGTTTGCGCTGCTGGGCTGGATGTGCGTTGATCCTGCGTATAGGAGGCGTGGGGTGGCTTCGGCGTGCGTGAAGTGGGGGATGGAGAGGTGTGCTGAGCTGGGGATTCCGGCGTACTTGGAGGCGAGTGAGGAGGGGATGAAGACGTATAAGAGCTTGGGGTGGGAGGTGTATAGTGGCGAGGGGGTTGAGGAGTTGGCGTTTCCGCCGATGATTTGGTGGCCTCCTAGTGCTGTGAGGAATTAGGGAGGGGGTTGCTTTGAAGGCTGTGGGTATGATGGAGTATATAAGATGCTGTGAGCAGATGAAGATGTGTAGGTATTTATGTGAGCTTGTATTCTTCTTGTGTGCGTAATCGGCAAAGTCGAGCTTGAGGATTTGACGTGGGTGTAAATTGAGTTGACTCGGGCTAGAACTATCAGAGGAGAAGTTAGCGGCAGTTTTTATAGAAGACAGCAGAGAATTTGTGTAAACTTGCAAAGGTTGAACCTCGGGGCAGATAGAAGAATGCTCATACTAATGGGAAGCGTAGAGTGCCGTAGAGTGCAAAATGCGTTGTCCAATATAGAACCGGTGATATCTTGAATACCAGGCTACGGTCCAACTCGAATGGTAGCCCAAAGTTCAATCTTGCATCCATGAGGTCGCGCTGAAATTTGAGACTGGGGGTTGTCTCTGCGTTGATACGACTGCATGTAATCCAGCTGTATTTCTTCTTCAGCTTTAATTCTTCAGGGTTGGGGGTTATCGGTAGAAATTGCCTTTCGAGCTAGCTTCTTTGCCGCAATAGCTGGTGCAATATCTTTGCGATAAACTAGGACGCTGTCGGAAGGAAGCGTAAATTCAATGAGAAATGGTAGTTCGATGTTGACTGGTTCAAGCAGTAACGCTTCCTTGAGTCCCATCTCCGAATATGGCTTGTTGGAGGTGATGGTATACTCTTATCATAAATTGAAGTACCTGTATGTCGAGCTGAGCATGTATTCTTTCTGTTCAAGACAGAGGTTCGCGAGAGTCGTTGTGGACGATCGATTATCTTGATGGTAAGCAGTAGTTCTACAAGTAGTATCAAGAAATTTGTCAGTAGGTTATACCTTAATAGTGCTCTGTAAAAAAGACACGCTACTCGAGAGAGGAGAGAAAGGAAACGTGCCTTGGTCAATAAATTGAAAGAACCCAAGGCCATCTTGCTATCAGAGTCTGAAGAAACGGTGCCTATACGGTATGGTCGAAGTGGTTTATTCCTCATCTTGGAGTTCGAGGGCTAAAATTAACAAATCCGAATGATCAGCTCTACTTCCGATTAGCTATAACGTTTCTGCGGCAGAGTAAGAAATTCTAGTTGGTTGGCCGCCTTGCCTCAAGACCGAGCACATCAATGCTAGACAGAATAAACAGATGCTCAATATTCGATACTATCAGTGCGCTCACCAATTTTTGGTTGCTTTCTGGGGACTTGCCTTGTATCCTCTTCAAGTTCGACAATAGATTATCATCTTGTCCAAACTGCATCCAGGTGAATCCAAGTCGACTTGGTTTTGGAACGTGAGCTGGAGAGTATCACTCGTTCGCTGGCTGGAGGCGAGAGCAGTTGTTGGCTATGGCAACCACCCTAGCCAAAGAACTTGAGTGCGCCTCAAGAGTGTTTGCATCTAAACCGAAAGCTTTAGAACAAAATTTTCCAGGAACCAAAAACTTGCATAGACAGATCCGACGGCGCAGCACCAAGTCCAAAGGGGCAGCGAACTAGCTGGGCCGTGCAAGTCTGGCCCTACACGAATGTTCATTTTCTTCACTATGAAAGCCTGTTGATATAGAATGCTTAGAGCGATAATGAGAAAGCGTAGATGTCGACTTTTGAGGGACTTGTCTCGGCGATAGGGGTATGAGGCCAGTGTTGGAAACGTTTGTGTCGACGTTCTTCGTTTTAGTTGAGGAATGCAGATGGCATCAGAAATTCACGAAAATATTCCTAGCAATAGAGTAACAATTAGATCTTTGGACTTGAAAGCCGTGCAAGGAGAGTATCAGCTTTCTGTAATAACTTACCAACGCGTCTCCCAATTTCCATTTGTGATCCTTCGATCCACGATCAAGGCAAGAAAATAGGGCTAGCTCAGTGCTGCTGCTTTCAAAGGTCCAAAATATCGATTTCATGCATAGAATAGTCGAGCATCATATCTGCGAAGAGAATAAAATCGGTCAGTCCACCATAGAATATTTTCTGACAACTTTGACAGGCGACTTGCTAGCCGCTGTAGCAAGGAGAAAGCCGCTTTTGCTGGTATCCGTGCTGGCATTGCCACGGGTCAGTCTATGGGCAGTGTTGGTGCAAAGGAGATGGGGAGCCGTCAGCCACGGACCCCGTTTGCGGTCACGTTCTGTGTGACATTGGTCTCATCCATGACTTTTAGTGACTTGGAAACAAAATGCATGCGTACCCTGCGCTATCAGGTAGCTACTAGATTAGTAAAACCGTTGATAGTTTCGGATTCGAAGGTTGTAGAAGGGCTTTGGCGTGCGCCCTATAACCAATACAATTCCCGACAGATTCCGCGCCTTGCAAAAGTGCCATCAGAGGAGAAGAAATTGGCGTCGGCACTGCCAGCTTTCCGAGGCCTCGATCTCAATAAAAATTTCTGAATGATGGCTAGGTGGGCGCTCATAAACAAAAAATGCGCTGTTTTCTTTTAATTCGCTAAAAGCTCATTGCAAGCTACTTGGTGAATCCATCGAAACTGCCAAGCCGGCTCATCAAATACTGTCCATCGCTTAGATGGAAATCTTTTACCATAGTTTGCCTCTAATTTTGCTGTTTGTTGATGCATATTAAGCCCGTTATTTTATTGCAGCTATCAGAGGACGAATAAGGATAATTCTAGTTCTGCGAGAATTGTGCTTTGAGGTAAAATATATCTTTCGCCGACCGCCCATGTGAGTATCTATTGGAGAAGGTTTCTGTGGAACGGAGGCTGCTGGCTCCAATGTTTGAGCGAAGTAGTTATTGGTATGGCAACTTCGATAACTATCGGTCGGAAAGTTTATCCAAAATCATGATGGATTGGGGCTTTTCGCCTTTCGTAGTCCAAAATACTTTTTCCTCTTCTTCACGTCCTCTTCGAGTGATGGCCCAGGTGAAGCCCTCTCTGTCGCTGCTCGTGGTCCCTGCAAATATGCGGTATGATTTCTTCGGCACGCAAAGGGAAATAGCGAACTATTTGACGAGTTGTTCAATCTCAGTATCTTTGTTCGTTCAACGTACACGTGTGCGTAATGCGTCGCTATTGTTCGATGATGGGAGGCTAAAAGCAATCTATTTAATCTCCGATCTTGTTAGCACTATCTATCCAAGGGCGGGATCAGCGGTGGGATGGCGAAATGGAACTGACGAAGGAGTACTGTACCTTTACGACGCTTATTTCTGAAGAAAAACCAAGTTGCTAGCGTAGATCATTGCAATACGCCGCCATGGCCGTAGCAATTATTGGGCAAGCATCGAAAGTAGCACAATTCTCGACTAAGAAATTTGGCATCGGTGTGTCAATTTGTTGCACAAACGTTAGGAGCCCATCTTTCAGAGTACTTCGATGTCAACGAGCGGTATTTGAGCCTGAGCCAAAACCAAGGGGGTAGGAAAGATAATCACATCTGGATGGAATTGCTTCTCAGCAGAAATGGAAGAGATCAAATAATAATAGAAGTGACCTATGGTGTTTGAAAAGGTAAATCCGTGGTGCAGTAGTCTAGGCAGAAGAGTAGAGTAATCATTTAGTGCAGCGTCTGAATAATCGAGTGCGGCTACATACAATGCGACCATGTGAGAAAAGTATCAGCTTTCCTATCTCCTTTAGCTACCAGCTATTGTTACACAAAATCACAGGATTTTTCGTTTCATTTTATGTCATTTTGGCGAAATCTTTGGTCAAGAAGGATGCCTTCAAAGCTTCGCCCAACGATTTCTACCGTATGCTCTAGGGTAATGCTTCTATCACCGTCTCTAGATTGTGTACCAGCCACTGCCTGTTCTCAATGTAACTCCTCCAAATCTGAATATCAAAGCTTCCTGATATTTCTGTAGTTACATCTTTCGAATTCTGAAATCTGAGAGATATTGAGCCGCGATTTGGAGCGAAATGGCAAGCTGTCTATCTGTCGTTAGTTTTAGGTTGGAATTTAGGTTTCCCCACGAACTATAGATCTAGCTTAGCAGCGTTGGCGATCATTTTCGTGGGAATCCACCCGCCAGTCCAACGACGTTATCCAAGCTGTTTGCTGTTGGACGTAGCATTTTTCTTGACGATAACGTAGCCAAAATACTCGTCTCTGGGATTCGTAAATATCTATAAAGTAGCAAGGCAGTGCCTGCCGCAAGGGCCGCAAGAATCATGACCACAAATGCGCAGTGACAGATAAAATCGAGATCTAACGTAGTGTCACCAGATAAAGGGGTAAAGAAAGTGTGTGCTTGACATTCAATCCAGAGTCTGAATTGTTTCTTCTACCTATTAATGACGGAGAAATACATGGTGCGGAGTGCAAATAAGGTATATGGAACTGGCGATAGCTTCATCTGCATGCCACCTCTCCAGCTGCACCTTCGTCTACGCCCCAGGGGACAGCTACGAACAGCTACAGAGAGACTGGCACTCTACGAATACAATGCAAGGCGCTTCCTACAATATCTACGCAGCTGCCAATTCAACTTTGACTGCACCACTTCAACGCCATGCATACAATACTACTCCACACATCTGCAGATCGACAGTAATATGATGAATCGCTACAACAATAACTCTCATCGTGGGGGGGCGGTCAGAACTGCATGATTGTGCGGAGATTCTTGCATTCAGTAATTTCTTCACCGGAGCAAAAGCTCATGATCCCCCCCCTCCTCGCCAAACGTCTGCCAATTGCAAATCGAGAATTCGATCACGACCCTCACATCTGCATGAACTTCAGATGAATTGGACCAATGTGACGTATTTGTTGTGATCACGGAGCGGTCTGGCCAGGTCAGTATGCATAAACTTGCTCACCGTTGCTGAGACAGCTGTGATCCTGAATTCTTATAGGCCAGTCTCGAGAGCAGGCTGTTTTATTTTCTGTTCACTTTCCAGCTGGCAGCAGATCATGGGGCCCACCTGGTGATCTCGACACCTATATAGACCTCCCCCCTCCCGCTCTCCTTCTGTTCCTCTTTTCCTCCTTTCTTCTTCATATCCCGGATCCCAAGGTAAGTCCCCCATGAGCAGAACTCTCAGTTTTCGCTAATGGAGGGGAATCCGGGGGCTTGGGAAGTGATTAGAATCAGGGTTCTTCTAACGCGCTACGAGCTTCGGCCTAGTTAGCACCAAATGATAGACAACAAATCTTCTATGATCCCAGAGCTTTCTTCTTCTTTCTTCCCCCCCCCCTCCCCTCTTCCTTTCTCCCCTCCCCTCTTCCTTTCTCCCCTCCCCTCTTCTCTTCAGTTCATGATTCTGCTAATTTTTCTTCTTTTCCTTCTAGGTTTTCTGGTTCGTTGGCTTTCAAATGATGACAAAGTAGGGTTCTTGATGTAGGCTACTAAGTAGTAGCTGATGCGCGCAACAATCTTGTGTCTGATGATCTTGTGCCATTTCCATTTCCATCTCGTCTCTCTTCTCTCTCTCTTTTTTTTTTCTCCTTTTGCTCTTTTTATTCTCCTGCCCCCTCTCCTCCTCTCCCCCCTTCTTCTCTCTCCTCCTCTCTCCCTCATTCCATTTTTTCATTTGTTTTTCCATGTAAGCTTTCTCTCTCTCGTAGAACAGTAATGGGCCTCAGCCTTTCCCCCCTTTCTTTTCCCCTACCTTTTTCTTTTTTCTTTTCTTTTTTCTTTTTGGACAAGTACGCGTTTGTCTTTTTGCTTCTTCTCCGTTCTTTGTTTTTCTCCACTCCCCCCTGATTGCCATGCGGTTGTGGATCACCACTGAGTTTGACTTCACTTCAGTTCCCTTCGCTCCAAAGCTGCAGTGATCCACTGGCTTCTGGTCAAAGCCAGCTGGAGCACTTCTGCCAATCTCTGAACACCCACTGCCTACCTCTTCATCTTCTTCATCTTCTTCATCTTCTTCATCTTCTTCATCTTCTTCATCTTCTTCATCTTCTTCATCTTGCATTGACGTCGCTGACACCGAAACATCTAAAGACTAACTTTTGCTTTTCTTCTGCTACGTCTGGTAAGTTACACCCTTTCCTTCTATCATTTTCTGCCTGCTGGCATGACGACAAAAACCATACGACGACCTTCTGGGTCTGCTCGGGTAACGGAGGAAGCTCTGTTACCTCCATGGGTGCAATATTTTGGGTCTTCTATTCTGACCATCTTCTTTCACAACTACTTTTGCCATCAAATTTCAGTTGTAGATGCTAATCACTTTCTCATGCCAGGGCAGTCACAATCTTCTTCGTGGCCTCGGTGAGTCTCTTCTCTTTTTTTTTTCTTCCCTTCCTCTCTCCATTGTCTCTGGGTGATGACAAAAAAGAACACAATAGCCATATGCATGCGCGACCGAGCCAAGAGGAGACCTTCTTTTCTTGACTCGATGCGAAATCAGGGTTCTTCTGACACCAGACTCTTTTTCACAGTCTTTTCAACTTCAAATTCCAGTCACAGATGCTAATTATTTTCTTCTTCTAGTGATATGCGACCTCTTTCCACAGGAGCTATCGGTGAGTCATCTCTCTCTTTTCTTCCTCTCTTCGGGATGATGAAAAGCAAGAACACAATGGAAGTATGCGTGCGCGTTCGACGAGAGAGCGAACTTTTCACTCTCGACTCCAGTGGGCGCGAAATTAGGGTTCTTCTGACACCAAATTCCTCTTTCACAATCTCTTTGGCTTGAACTTTCTAGTCACAGATGCTAACCACTTCTTCCTTCCAGGGTTTCACGGACTTTTACTACAGCGGCTGTCAGTGAGTAATCTCCCTCTCCTCTTCCCCTCCATCTTGGGATGATGAAAACCACAAACACAATGGCAACATGCGTGCGCGATCGAGTCAAAAGCGGATTTTTTCTTTTGACTCCAGTGGGTGCGAAATCAGGGTTCTTCTGACCTCAGTCTTTCTTCATGATCATGTTGGCTGTAATCACTTTGCGGATGCTGACCACCTCTCTCTCCTAGGGCTTTATCGTCTTTTCCTGCACTGTCCATCAGTAAGTAATCATTTTCTCCTCTTCTTTTCTTTGGGATGATGAAAAACAAAAACACAATGGCAATATGCGTGCGCGATTGAGCCGAAAGCGTTTTTCTCTTTGGCTTCAGTGGGTGCGAAACAGGGTTCTTCTGACCACATCGTTTCATTATGATCACTTTGACTGCAATTATTTTATCGGTGCTAACTGCTTTCTTTTCCTAGGATCCCTCACCCTTTGCTTTGGCAGCCTCTGGTAAGTACATATTTTCTTTTTCACCGTGCCTTGTCCTTGGAATGATGAGAAACACAAACGCGATGGCTTCATGAGTGCGCGTTTGAGATAGCAGAGAATTCTCCTCGGCTATCTCCAGTGGGTGCGAAACAGGGTTCTTCTGACCATTTGGTTTCATCATGATCACTTTGGCTGCAATTATTTTATCGGTGCTAACTGCTTTATTTTCCTAGGAAACCTCTCACGCTTTGCTTTGACAGCCTTTGGTAAGTGACTGCTTTCTTCTTCTTTTTTGCCTTTTCCCTTGGAATGATGAGAAACACAAACAAGATGGCTTCATGAGTGCGCGTCTGAGATAGCAGAGATTTCCTCGACTATTTCTAGTGAATGCGAAACAGGGTTCTTCTGACCTTCCTTTTCCTTCGCGATCCTTTGCCTTCATCTTCTTTACTGCGGATACTAACTACTTTCTTCTGCTACCAGTTAGTCTCCGCAAGCTTCGTACCAAGCAACCTCCGGTAAGCTACCTTGATTTCCTTTCTCCCTCGTTCTAGGATGATTATAAACAAGAACACGATGGCCTCGTGAGTGCGCTTTGAGACAAAAAAAGATTCTCTTTCTTCTCTTGTCTCCAGTGGGTGCGAAATTAGGGTTCTTCTGACTATAATTGGTTTCCTTTTGATCGTTGTGGCTTCAATCGTGCTGCGGGCGCTGACTCTTTCTTTCTGCTAGAGCCTCTGCGATCCTCCTCATCATTCTCTGGTAAGCAATCTCAATTTTCTTCTTCCGCGATGTGGGATGATTAAAACAAAGAACGTTGATGTGCGTTTGAGGCACAAGGGTTCTTGCCTCTATCCATTGGACGCAGCATTAACGTTCTTCTGACCACATATTTTTCTCCTCCCATGATCTTTTGACTTCAAGTCCACTGCGGATACTGATTGCTTTCAACCAGGGTTCTACGAGCTTGTTCAACAGTCACTGGTAAGTTGGTCTGAATTTCTTTTCTCTCTCTCGCTTTGTGGGATGATGATACACAGAACGTTGATGCGCGTTTGAGGCAAACGGGTTCTTGTCTCTTGTAAACCGCAGCATCAAGGTTCTTCTGACCACACATTTCTTTTCTTCCTCTTCCTTTTCTGGGATGATGAAAATAAAGAATTTGAATGTGCGTTTGTTCGAGGCAAACGGGTTCTTGCTTCCAACAGACGCAGCATTGCAGTTCTTCTGACCACATTTTTCTTTTCTCTCTTACACTGTGGGATGATGAGAACAGAACGTTGATCCTGGTCTGCTTGAGGCATTAGGGTTCTTGTCTCAGGTGGACGCAGCACCAAGGTTCTTCTGACCACATCTTTGTCTCCTTCATGATCGCTTTGACTTGAACTACGGTACAGATACTAACTATCTTTTTCTGACAGGGCCTTTGCCATCTTTCTCGACAATATTCGGTAAGAATCTTCCGTTTTTCTCTCCCCCGTGCGATAGGATGATTATAAATAAGAACACGATGGCCTTGTGAGTGCGCGTTTGAGACAAGAGGTGCAACCTTTTTGTCTCCAGTGGGTGCGGTATTAGGGTTCTTCTGACTAGAGTCTTTCATTACAATTAGTATGGCTTCAGTCACGTTGCAGATGCTAACTGCTTATTCCTCCTAGGACCTCTGTGATGCCGAAGGGCTCAACAGCCTACGGTAAGTAATGTTTACTTTCTCACTCTCCCGCACGCGCTGTAGAATGATTACAACAAGAACACGATGGCCCGCTCTATGGTCACGCGTTCGAGGCTAAAATGGAAACTTTTTTCCTTCTGACTACCTTTTCACACTCTTCTCACTTTTTTCTTACTTCTGAGTGACCAACTTTTGTACTTGTTACTAACACTTCTCCAAAGTAGTTCAGCCTAGATCTTCACTATCTTCTTCTATCATGCTGGTAAGTTCCTCTCTATTTGTTTTTTGTTCTGCGGGATGATTATAAAAGGAAACACGATGGTCTCATAAGTGCGCGTTTGAGGCAAGAGAGGAAACTTTTATCTCCAGTGGGTGCGACATCAGGGTTACTCTGACTGCATTTTTCTTTTCTTGATATCTTTGAGGCAGCACTGTCAGTCCTGATTACTGACGCTCTTCCAACCTAGTCTCGAGACCTCTCCATTCTGATACGCGGTAAGTATGTTTTCTTTCCCTTTTCCTACTGCGGCGTGATTATAATCCAGAACGATGATTGAGTGGTTTCAAGCAGGAGGGGAAACTCTCTTGTGGCTCCCCAATCATGGTTCTTCTGACCACACTTTCTTTCTCTCACTTTCAGCAGATTAACTTTTGATTCAAAGGACTGACCAGCTCTGCAGATGCCTTCATCCATAATCTCCTGGTTCCATCTCTATTAGTAAGTTTTTTTCTATTTTGCCTTTCACTTAGTGGGATGATGATGAACAAAAAACGACGACCTTCTAGGTCTGCTTTCAAGCAATGGAAGAAGTCTTCCACTCTTCTGGGTAAAACAGGGTTCTTCTGACCACAGCTCTTCTTCATGGCATTTCTAATCGGCTTCAAAATTTGGTTCTGATTGCTAACCACTTCATGGGACTAGGAAACGTAAATATCAGGTAGCTGAGTAAAATTAGAGCAGTAGTGGTAATAAATAATTGTAACCCAACTGTATGCTAATACTTCTGACTCTCTTGTGGTATTTTTCTTCTGGTAAATGTGGCTAAAATTTTGACTTGTTCGAGTATCGTGGGGAACAGAGAGTGCTCTTGTTTTTCTTTTGCAAATTTTGTCCAAATGACACGTGGAGATGAAAATTTCAACTTTTAATTTCCAGCATGGTGCTAGAGTTCTTTTTTTTACTTTGACGTGCTTCGCCGTTTTGCTGATTAGGTGCGACCAATGCCCACATCAATCTCACGGTATATCTCCAAAGCCGTCTCCCAAGCCGTGATGAAGGTAGCGATAGTTGGCGTGATTTTAACTTGGATAGCTGACATATACGTTGAATAGCTCGCAGGCGCCTGCGATACCTACGACGAAAGCAAAAGAAGCGAATACCCAAGAAGTCACCATGGCGAGAGAGAGCAGGAATACGCGACCATGATGTAACCGAATACGGTGGCCGCAGCATCAAGATCGCCTCCACAGAGGAGCGGTGCTAGGTTGGAATACTTTCGGATACAAAGGTAAGAATTCTAGAGTGGGTAGCAAAGGCATATTACTACACGGAGATACATATCACAGCTATCAAAAATATCGATTGCTAACACAGATGTGTACAGGGCCAATCAAAATTTGAAAGTACGAGCGAGAAAAACACGAGATGGAGATGCAAAAAGCGATGGAAAGAAGAAAAGGAAAACCAATACTCTTCGGCCAACGAACATGAGGACAGCGGAACTGCAAAGAATCTCGATGAGAGTTTGGTGAAGATGCCTGAAGGACAATACGCAGGGGAATAAATGACGAAGGTAATGGCGTTAAAGAAGCGAAGATCGAGAATAATATAATATGCGGAAAGAAAAAGGATAAACACGACAGTTTCAGCCCACACATTACGATTGAAGAGCAAGTTGGGCGATAGAGGCTACGAAACTCTAGAATGGGAATGCCATTACCAAAATCACAAAATAGTAGCTCCATGAGCGAGAAAAGGCTATGGAGAACCACAACATGGGGAAGAGTAAAGAGCGCGTGGAAGAGACGGGAAATAGATGGAAGTAAGAGTATAGCAGTAATGACGGGATATCAAAATGGAGACGATGCTCTGGGGCTCTATAGAAGAGGTAAAAACTGCATAGAATTATTGGTATGCATTTATTTGAAGCATGTGCTGGTTCAAAACACCAGGAGCTGCAATCCTGTTGACATCGGCAGCAGTGGTGATGGTCCCATGACTTCTACCAAAAGATGTCTACTACATGAAAAGGTTACATAGCAAAAAGGCAGTAGTGAACCACAAACAGAATGATTGGAAGTTAGAGCAGTCACATATTTAGGAAAAGAAGGCGAAATATAACAAGGCCTGTTCAATTTGGGGAGATAGCTACTACTACTCCAGATAATCCAGAAGAGATTGTAGGAGTGTTTCAATAAATCCCAATAGGCAGATGTGTTCCCATAATTCCCGAGTGTACAGCATATGACAAGCAAATTAAGGATGTTGTATGAAAAAAGATCGAAAGATCAGGGGTCCATCGCAAAGTAGATGCGCAAATGGACTAGAGGAAATCGGACCAGTCTCTAAATGGCCACAGGATGAGGATAAGGAGGACATTGACAGAGAACCAGATTATGAAGACCCAGATCCAGAACTTCTGGACCCAATTGTCATTACCGCCGCCATCTACGGGCTCAGTGCCGTTGACCATCATTGTTGCGGAAAGGAACTTGGTGATTGTCTTGCGCAAGAAGATTTATGCTTTAGAGCGACAAAGAGTCTTTGGAGCTGCTGTGTAGCAGGAGGATGCAAAGTGAAGAAGATTGGATGGTTCGATGAAAGACGAATTTGCTTCAAATTCTTGAGATGGTATGGCGCTGCGATAGCGGCTTTGGCTTTGAGGTTTAGAAGAATCTTGAGAAGGATTGGTAGACGATGCGAACGTGGCTGGTGGGCTCAGCAAAGTGAACGGAGTTCTTTCTTTTGCTACAAAGCCTGATATCAGCAAGGAGAAGTGAAGAGAAAGGTGACGATGTTGAAATATCAGAAGGAGGAAGAAAAGGGGGAGGAGATATCGAGCTGAAGGGCTGAAGGGCTGAGATGGTGCTTCTCACGATGGGTTCGGCATGAAAAGTTGAAGAAACAGCATCATCAAAAAGCCCTCTGGGTGCACAAGGAGCGGGAGAAAGAATGGCAGATACAGGAAGGAAATGAGGAGTTTGGCTGGAACTCAGGAGGAGATGAGACTTACCTGGTGCGATGGCTACTACCACGAAACGGTCGAAACAGTGATTTGAGGGATTCGTATGCTTTGTGGATAGTCTTGAAGAGAGTAGGAAGTCCGAACTCGATGATGAGAATGATGAAGAACATGACTACGCGCATGGTGGGTGCCTTTGGAAAGTAAACAAGTCCGCAGCTGTCAGCCTCGTGGTCCGGACGCGGCAAAAGTGAACCTGCAGGTGGCGTTGTTTTGTTTTTCCATTCCCCTTGTTTTTTTTTTTGGTATAGGGGAGTGCCATTTTTTTTTACTGCAAGTAAAACACCAACTCACTTTTCTGTCACCTGCAGTCTTGCAGTGGTGGAGATGTTGCCATTTTGCCTCACATTGTTGCGCTCTTGTTCCTCACTTTTCTTGAACTGGAGACAACCCAAACCCTGACCCTGCTGGTATTTGAAAAGTTCAGAAAGAGAGAAATGTAATAAGAAAGAGATGTAGATGATGAATGGATAAATGGTAAATAGTAAATGTGGATTTCGTGCTTGACTCAATATAACAACTCGAAGTTGTACAGACTTTTTCTTGTTCAGCATGCTATGTGCCTCCCAATGCAATAAATATCAACAACGCCAAAGCAAACATGGCAGTAAAATACATTTCAAGCTCTTTGATCGATCCTCCTGTCTTATTTTCTCTGTATATACCCAATTTTCTTTCTGCTTATTGTATCCCGTTCTGTGAAATGGTGCAGTGTGTTTACCAGCCACGGCCGGCAAGCTTCTCCTCGGGCTTCATGGAGTCGCAGTTGATGCCAACCATGGCCTCGCCGAGTCCAGAGCTGCACTCAGCGAGCACCTTGGCATCGCGGAAGTGAGTGACAGCACGGACAATAGCCTTGGCTCGCTTGGCAGGGTCGCCAGACTTGAAGATGCCGCTGCCGACAAAGACGCCGTCGCAGCCGAGCTGCATCATGAGGGCGGCATCGGCAGGAGTGGCAACACCGCCAGCAGCAAAATTGACGACGGGCAGACGGCCCAGCTCGGCAGTCTGGCGCAGCAGCTCAACGTCAACCTCGAGCTTGCGGGCGAGCTCGCGGAGACGCACAATGCCGCCCTCGGCAAGAGCAGCCTTGGCCTGGGCAATGTCGCGGTTGACAGTCTTCATGTGGCGGACAGCCTCGACGACGTCACCAGTGCCGGCCTCGCCCTTGGTTCGAATCATGGCAGCACCCTCGGCAATACGACGCAGGGCCTCGCCGAGGTTTCGGCAGCCGCAGACAAAGGGCACGCTAAAGGGGCTCTTCTCGACGTGGCTCTCGTCATCGGCGGGCGTCAGGACCTCGGACTCGTCAATGTAGTCGACGCCCAGGGACTCGAGGATCTGGCACTCGACAAAGTGGCCGATACGGGCCTTTGCCATGACGGGGATGGTGACGGCCTCCTGGATCTCCTTGATCATGGCCGGGTCGGACATGCGCGCAACGCCGCCGTCCTTGCGAATGTCGGCGGGGACTCGCTCGAGGGCCATGACGGCACAGGCTCCAGCCTCTTCGGCGATGCGGGCCTGCTCGGCGTTGGTGACGTCCATGATGACGCCGCCCTTGAGCATCTGGGCGAGGCCGGCCTTGAGGGCGAAGCTGGAGGGAGCTGCGGCGGCAGCAGAGCCGTTGGTAGAGGCGTCGTTGGTCATTGTGGTGGTTTGGAGAGGGAGATGGAGGGGTATCTAGAAGATGAGACTATGGCGAGTCTGATGGTTAGTATAGGAAGGACACAAGTGTTTAGAGAGTATAGGTATGCACAAACAAGAAGAGAGTTTGAAGGGTATCCAAGAGTCGAATTGAGTGGTTTGAGAGACTAGAAAGGGCTTTGTCTCGAAGAAATGGCTGGCGATGGCTTCAATATATGATGCCGCGGGGCAGGTCTTCGGAAGGTTTGGTAGTGGGGGAGACAGACTTGGCCGCGGGGCACGCAGAAGTCGCCCGGCTGAGTCAATTTTATTTTCTTATGAGCATCGGAGCAACTGAGTTCCATACCAAGCCCCGAAAAAAAACTTACGCAAAACTACTACTGCTACTACTACAAGCAAGGTAATTAGAAGATTACGAAAGTACCTTTTCACATTTGATTTGCATCTAGCGCGAGGTACATGGCGCTCTGTACGGAGTACTTCGGCTCGCCATGTTCCCATGGCTTGGAGAGAGACTCCAAAACCCACCAGCTAGCGACTTGAGCTACTGCATGGCGGCAGCGGGCGCCGCGCACTCCTGTGCGGAGCAAGCGAAAACGGAGCCTGGTTCTTCGTCCTTCTACGAGGCGTTTAATGGAGTAGCCGGCCGTAGCCTTTGACAGGTGGAGAAGGGAAAGGCGCCTGTGACTTGGGCGAGGATGGAGGCATGGCACGGCAATCATCGGAAAGCAAAGGCTGTCACTGCAGAGGACTAGGGAGCAATAGGGCGGAATGCAGTGAATGCAGTGAGCATGGGAGCAATCTGTATGCAGCCATTAGTATCGTCAATGCTGGTCAGTTGAGTTACACGGAGGGATGGAACAGGGCATACGAGGACTTGTCTGTAATCTTTGTGCACAAAGTCAGATGGCGATGACAAGGGCCGGAGAGTCGAATCAAGCAACTGGCGGCCCATCTATTAGCCACAGTATCGCGCAGCGCCTTTGGCAGCGTCTAGAAGCCGCATGGATGCCGTCAAAAGCCTTGGCGGCGCGCCATTGCCACCTCGTGCTGCCCCGGGATCTGAGTTGCGAGGCGCAAATCCAAGATGGCCGGGAGTGAGTTTTACAGCACGTATTCCCGGCAATGTCTGCCTGTGTACACTGCTTACCGGTCACTGCTACATGCAGTTGTGTCTCATAGTGCAGTGCTTCGCCCCATCACCACTAAGATACCACTACTGCTGCTGCATATCGCATCTCAGCATGACTACAGGGCTCTTCCTTCTAGCGACATCCGGACCGGCGGGGCCCTGTATTTCTGACCTGCAGCGCGCCTTGACCTCTTTGGGCGACTCCGGGGGCGCCTCATGCAGGTCGATGCGGCGCCAGTCTCCGTAGCACCACTTTTGCGAATCTGCATCGATTTGACACTTGCATGGCATTTTGCATCTGCAGACGCAAGGCGGAAGCACGGCCGGAGGTTTTGCAGAAGTCTATCAGGCTGCTGTTATCAGATTGAGGCAGTCCCGCTGGATGGAATCAGGAATTTGAAATCTATCCGAAAGTTTCCGATGGCGGAGCAGGAAGAGGAGGATCCTAAACAGGAGATGTTATCAAGGCCGGGGATGGTAATTTATTACAGGATGTGCCTGAAAAAGAAAGAAGTTGCCAGGAGTTGCCATCTCCGGGATATGTGAGCGAGAGTCTGGATGATGTAGACGATGTCCAGGACGTGTACACTTACACTGTCTTGCTTTTAGCATGCCGAATATGTTCCTGATTGTACTCTCACCTCTACGTGCCATGTACTGCCAAATTAGCAATAGTAACATGCACATACAATGCACTTACCACGCTGTATATCCCCATTCAGCCAACTATTGTTGGACATTAGTATTCCAAGTGCCGAGTGACTGTGCTGTACACGGAGTACTTGCAGCCTTTCGCCTCGACAAGCGACTGCATTAGTGCCTGGCACATGTACTTTGTAACGTGGGGTTGTTCGCGCCATCGCCTAGGTCACCCCGCCACCACTATCATAAAAATCAGTCGCCGGCTCAGCCATCAATCATAGGCCGGCTACCGGCGCTTCTGGATGAATCCATGACAAAAGCGAGCGATACTGATAAAGGGCTCCACGGCTGATAATAGCTACCCGCTCCAATATTTACATCTTGGATACAAACGACAACTACAACGCCAACTGTACCTAATTGCCTATAATCAAGAAAGATATTGCAGTGCTGCTGCTTGCTTATGCATGACTAACGCCCTCTTCTTCTCCCATCTTCCTCTTCGTCCTCACTGCCCGAAAATGATGGCCCTCACAGTCGGCGTCTTGGCTCTCCAGGGCGGCTTCGTCGAGCACCTCAACCTCCTCCGCAAGGCTGCCAGCGCCGTCTTCTCACAAAGCAAATCCGACACTTCCTTTGAGGCCATTGAGGTGCGCACCGCCGAAGAGCTCGCGCGGTGCGATGCCTTGATCATCCCCGGCGGCGAGAGCACGACCATTTCTTTTGTTGCGCAGCAGTCGGGGCTGTTGGAGCCGCTGCGAGATTTCGTAAAGTAAGGCCCGTTTCTTTTTCATCCGAGTTTCATGTACATACAAGCTACATGTCAGACTGACCATCTTTTTCTCAACAGAGTCCAAAAGAAGCCCGTCTGGGGAACCTGCGCCGGCCTCATCCTCCTCTCAAACCAAGCCAACGCAACCAAAAAGGGTGGCCAGGAACTCATTGGCGGCCTCAATGTCCGCGTACACCGCAACCACTTTGGCCGCCAGATTGAGAGCTTCGAGGCACCGCTTCAGCTGCCCTTCCTCGCTGACGAGGCAGACCCTTCACCGTTTCCGGGTGTCTTTATCCGTGCCCCCGTTGTAGAGGAGATTCTCTCCAAGGGCGAGAGCGAGCAAGGGCCCAAAGTGGAAGTCATGGCCAAGCTACCTGGAAGAATCAACAGGATGAAGTCTGGAGTTTCGCAGGCTGTGACAAAGGATGATTCGGGGGATATCATTGCGGTTCGGCAAGGGTCGATTCTGGGGACGAGCTTTCACCCGGAATTGACGGATGATGCTCGTATTCATGCATGGTGGTTGAAGCAAGTTTTGCGTGTTTAAATGGGTTAAATAATTGATGGCGCTGCATTTTTTATACTGGTTTTGTTCTCAATTTATTGGCTTTCTTAGAAGCAGATACACTATGTTTTTGTATATAGATGCATGAAGTACCTTTGATAGATTACGCCTTCATGGATATAAAGAAACAAGAAATACAACGACACGCTACATGGTTCGAAATGCTACGGTTCTTCCTCCAATTTGCTTTCAATTAATTTTTCGTTGCCATGTTATAAGTTGGAGGACTTCCATCTGCTGGAGGTGGCATATGACGAATACCAAGCGCTTCATAAACCTCAGTCTTGCCCAATGCCCTTGCCACGTCCCTCACCTCTGGCACGCTCGTGTCCGCGCCAGCCTCTCGAAGCAGGCGAATCATCTCAAAGTCTTGTTTCACGAGCGCTTGGACAAGCGGCTTAACGGGCTTGATGCCATTCTTTGCAGGAGTGTAATCTGGATCGGCCCCGTAGAGGAGCAGCGTCTCCACGAGGTCTCTTCTACCTTGGTCGATGGCGTATTTCAGGAGCGAGTCGCCGTTTGACATTTGATCCGTCGTCTTGGCGCCGTGTCGCAACAAGAGGGAGACGAGCTCGGGGAGGCCTGATTCCATGGCGAAGCGGATCGCGGGTGCTTCGGTGGAAGAATCGTAAACGTTTGCTTTTGCGCCCTTGGCAAGGAGGTGGCGCACAATGTCGATCTTGTCTTCTTGTGACATTTTGGAGTCTCTGATGGCTATGAGGAGGACCGGCTGCGAGTACCAGTTCGTAGTGTTGGGATCTGCGCCCCAGTCAAGCAGCATCTTGGCCGTCTTGATTCTTCGGTTGCTTATCTCGTCGGCCAGCAAAGGGTTACCATAGATGGTTGAGTCGTTGGACTTGGCATCCATTTTCAGGAGCAGCTCTGCCATTTCGTGATTCTTCTTGTCGAGGGCCACGGCTAATAAGCTGCGACCGGAAAGGTCGGTAGAGGTGAGACTGGCGCCGAATTCCAAAAGCAGCTCCACGAGCTTCATATTCCCTCCTTGCACTGCCTTTACAATAACCGCCTCGCCACTGATGTTTTCTGTTTTTGCGCTGCAGCCTTGCTTGAGAAGGAAGCGGATGCCTTCCATGTCGCCGGAAGAAACCACGCCGACAAAGTATGACTCCCCCCATTCGGACTTTTCGTCAATGCTTGCTCCTTTTTCGATGAGCATCTTGGCAGTGTTGAGGCTGCCTACAGACGCTGCGAGGAAGAGTGGCGGGATATCAGACCACCCGGAGCCAGAAATGCTCGCTCCTGATGCGAGAAGCAAGCGAGAAGCGTCTTCTTGGTCGTTCAAGATGGCGCACTGCAGGGCAGTCTTGTTGTTTTCGTTGCGCCCATTGATGTTTGCTCCTTGGGTGAGGAAACCTGCTATCTGCTGAATGTCGCCAATGGTCGCGGCTTGACACAACGCGGTTACAAAGGGCTCTGGCTTTGGCTTGAAAGCCACGGCTAGAGCTTTGAATGAGTTTTTCAGGGATTGTCCCCACGATGGCTTTGCGGGCTCAGGACTTGAGGATGATGATGACGGTGGCTCGATCTCGGCGGTATAAGGCGGAGGCTGGGCAATTGCGCTGGCTGGTTGGGCTGGTGGCGGATTGGAAGAGCTGCCGCTTCCTGATGCGGATGACGATTCAATTGGATCGAGTAGGATGCTTCTTTGCGCCGTTGATGCTTCTGATGCGCGCTCGACTTGTGTGATGATGCCGCTGGAGCGCAACAGGCTGAGACTGGCTTCTTGCTGCTGTGCATTTCCTCTGTAAAAGAAGAACAAAACAACCGTCAGTCGAAAAGATTTCACCGCAAATTGAGCATGTTCATGTACTTACGCTGCAACAACTTGAAGAAAGCCTGTCAAAAGCTGGCTGTTTGCTTTGACAGTCTGGTCATACGTTGCCAAAAATTCACTGTTCATGGTCTCGATGTTGTCTGCCTGCAGGCGCAGTACCTGCTTGTACAAGACTGCCATGATTCTATCGCAGTTTGTGAGGTGCTGCTTGAAGGCCTCGTGTGCCGCCATGGAGACAGTAGAGGCAGCGAGAGAAGCATCCAGCTGAGATGCCTGGCGCTTGAGCACCTCCAGCGAATTCTTCAATTCCAATAGCGCTTCGAGCCTGTCCAGGCCTGCGCCCAGCGGCTCAGTCAGGAGCTGCACCTCATGGACGATGGCAATTGCCCGCTGCGCTACCGTGGAGCACAGAGTTGTCAGAGCATTGGTAGAGCGGCCATCCATTGTATTGTCGATGAGGTTTGTGTACAAGCAGATACGCAGTGGAGGCCTCTGGTGGGGCTCTTTTGGAGAAGATTGAAGCTGTACCCGTGGTTTGTATCCTCAATTCGAGATGAGTAGTATTACCACGTGCTCTTTTTCAAAACTCGGGAGAAAAAAAAAATGCTGCTCAATGAATTGCCGCAGTATTTCCTTGCAAGATAAAGAGAATTCCTTTTTTTTTGCAGTCCATCATAACCTTTTATTGCCCTTCCAACGCTCCAGCTGAGAAAAAGGCTGTCGTAGGCGATGACGCAGCCTTGCGGACCACCCGTAGCTAGCTTGTGACACCAAAGGATTTCTGCAGGCGCATCGCCAGCCATTTTCTGGATGCGACTCTGGATGCTTGGCCAAGACTACTTGTCGCTTTTTCTTTTTTTTTTTTTTCCCTTTTACGAGATTCAGGAATTCGGCAAGGGTTAGGGTTGAAAAAAGCGAGTCGTTCAAAGTACAATCTTCGAGCAAACAAAAGAGCTTCATCTAACAATTAGCGACGAATACTTGGAGACTGCCAAACGACCCACCAACTCTTTTTGCTGTGCCCGATATGTGCGGAACACTCCGCCGTAATCGTCTTGGCGCGGCTAAATTCCAACCCCTGTCCAATGCTCAGCCATTCACTCAGCCACAACCTGGAGTCGGTAACTCTGTTTCAAGGGAAATGTCATATCAATTAATAAATTCCATCTCTATATGATGGGGATATTAGCTTTTCTAGCCGCCGTTTTGAATTAATAATCGCAAACAGATTAACTCTTGCATCCCCAAGTACCCCCCAGCATACCACCCATTACCACGGATCCAATCATGAGCCACGTATGCAAAGTAAATCACGATCCTTATTGCTCTGCATCTCTCCAAATATCGTCCAAGGTCTTCTTGAGATCGAATACATCACAGCCTTCTCCGCCCCATTTGTGCTCAAAGAGCCTCTTTCCACTATCTGCCGTCTCCCACCAAGCAACTTGGAAGCCCGCGGGATCATATGTCCACGGCTCTCCCTTGCCTCCCTTTTGCATATTCTGCCATGTGTTTCGGCCTTTCGTGTTGGCTATTTTGTCGTCTTGAAACTTCTGCAGCTCTTGTCTCAGGGCTTTGAATCGTTCCGAATTCGGCGCGTTGTCGTCTTCAGAGGTGGCATTGTTGGGTGACTCGCCGTCCTTGTCAGATCTCGGCTGGGAGCTGGGAGGGAAGAACCTGATTTCGGGATCTTCGACCATGTCGGCGACATCCCATATGTGACCTGCGCCCACGCGATCAATGTCGTATCCTAGCATTCTCAGGCGTCCGTACGCGTCGCAGTCGGTGGTGTAGTAGGGGATAAACACGTCCCAGCCTCCAGCGTGGCGCCATGCATCCACATTGACCAGCGTGAGGTAGTCAAAGTTGAAGAATTTGACGCCCCATTTGCCCTTGCCGGATAATCTGGATGCCTCTGCTTCGCTGAGAATGTTTAGAACGCGCTCGTAGAATGATGTGTAGGGCGTCTCTTCTTCGTGGCTCAGGATGCCAACGTCCATGTGGCTCCAGAAATAATACGGCCAGTGACGCGCCATTGCCACTCTCAACATGAAGTTTTGCAACTGAGCAAAGTTGAGAAGGACAGACGTCTGCAGAATCGACACGCCGTATCGGTAACGAAACAAGTCGTAGTCGAGGGAAAAGGGGTTCGAGTCCGACAAGAGTTTCAGGTTGTTGGCGTCGGCAGTGCCACTGTTGTCAATGATGACAATGTCTTCTCTCGGCCACCCGCTGGCAATATACCCAAGCACTGTCTGCCGCATCATGGCATTGTTCCTTGTAAAGGCGATGAAGAGCGGTGTTTTCGGTCGGTGGCGAGGAGGCTCGTTGTAGGGAGCCACAAGGGGGAAGTAGTTGTTGCCTTGCGCTGGGAAATACATTCCATAATCAAATGACGCTTCTCCCAGCACGGGAACAGGTGCTGCTTCTCTGTCCGACGACCACATCGGGATGACCGAGTACGGGTATGATATGCTCGGCCGAGAGAGGTTGGGGAGGCGAGAGACTTCAAAGAATCTAACAAACAGAGCAGCAGCACCTGCTAGAGCAAGAATGAAGAGCAATATCTTGAAAATGGGATGGCATCGCTGCCTTCGCGGTTTGCCATTGCCTTCTTCATCGCCATCCTCGTCATCGGTTGGGAATTGATGGAGTCGTAGAGAGATGGCGCGAGCAGCAATCCACCCAGGCCTGCGAGCAAAGGTCGGGATCCTCGAGAAGAAGGAGCTGAGGGCTGATAGTATACCCATTGGTTCTATACCGGATAGGTAAGGATCAAAAGAGCATAGAGCTGATTATGAATGATGATACAACACATTGACTAGAAAAAGATGGAAAGATGGCGAGTGTAGAAGCCAAAAGGAGTGTCGCTCAATCTTACTCCAAAATGATTAATAAGATGAAAAAAAAAAAAAAAAAAAAAAAAAAAAACAAGGCAAACGCGCAAACAAATATACCATCAGCAAACGAACAGGGCGAGGGCAAATTGTTAATGGGGCCAGAAAAAATTCTCTCGGTACAAAGTACATCCCCTGATACCAAACCATTGTCTCCTATATCATTGGCTCTTATGGATGGGCAACTGTCATGACTCTCATCCAACAAATCATAGAACCCCCCCCCCTGACTGGTGTAGTTTCCACGAATGAGCAGTGCCCCGAGGTCACTCGTATCGATGAGCCCCAACGTGGGGGAAGAGTACATATCAATGGGCCTAATTCCGCAGTCAGAACGCTTGGCATATGCGACTGGTGTTCATGTTTTGGCGGCTAAATTCGTTTCAAGTCTATTTTTATTTTTATTTTTCCTGATTCTCGATAACCTCCCGTCCGCTTGGAGCTGAGTATGGATCTCGATGATGTAAGAATACAACGTCCATTTATGCAGTCTTTCTCGTATGCTTGAATTTGGGCTAAATACCAACTCCGATTGCCTGTTTTTCTTATCACCTAAACTTGTATATGGTAATGTTCTTGCATCACCTTCATCAATCAGCTATGGTGGTTCATCAATCAGCTAGGGCGGCTAGGGAAATGTATTCTATCAAGTCATCCAGCGTTGCAGGTTACAATAGTTCTCCAACATTATCGAATACTATCCCATATAAAGCACACTTCTTTGAACTTGTTTGACAGAGTTAATTATCCCCACTGCACTTTCGAACCCTAGACATAGATGTCTAGTAGGTACCTGTGTGGGCTATGAAAGAGAGGTTTCTGCCTTGTATAATCCACCAACTAACCGAGGTGTTTGATAGTTTCTATACTAGTCGACTTTTAATGTTTGTAGAGTTGTTGTTGTCTCCAGTGGAGAGGCAAGATTCGGCGTAGACACTATATGAAGCCCAAGATGCGGTTATGGATCCTATTAGACTCCTATTAGACAAAAAGTCCAACCAACCACTCTCGCGTGGTTTTTCCTCCAATAGGTCAAGCTCCGGAAAAAGTTGCAGGATGCATCGTCATGCTTATTGTTTTTTATCTTTGTCTTATTAAGCTTCTTCGGTTCACTTAAAGCATGGGATATAACACGGCCGGCAGGACTAAGCGATCGCTTGCTGTAACATGACAAGCTTGGCAACCCTAAGCGGCCCTCTGTATCCCCATATCGGCTCAAATTATACCAAATCACAGCTTCTAGAATCGCAACGATGGACAGGGAGCTGGTATATGGAGTGTATCCGACGGGGCAAGTTCCGGGAATGCGCGGGAATGCGGCTCTTCGCCGAGAACAACTTCCAGTTTGGTATAAAATTTCTTGATTAGGCCCGTTGGTGGTGTTGTGACGTGGGGATTTCTTTGGTCCGTTATCATCTCCATTGCAACCCTGGAGCCCATCTGCCGATGTGGCTTGGCAGAGGGCAACGTAAGCATATCTGCATATGGGCGCTGCGGGCTGCAGAATACGAGACCGACATCCCGGCATCACTCTATTTTAAGCGAGAAAAAGAAGAATAAAGGGCAGTTTCATCGACAAATACGCGTAAGGCGGACAAGAATCCGGAGCTTCATTGGAGACAAGCGGGGATTTAAGCATCGAAGCCACAAGTCTGATGATTCCTAGGGAGATCAAACCAACACCGCTTCTTCAAGGCAGCTGAGCCGCCGACTATACGAGGTTACTTTGCTCAGCACTCACTGGTCTTACTGATGCAATGCGTCTTGTGAACCCATAGCGGTGCAAAGTAAGCCCGTAGCACCCATGCGGCACTCCACATCTCGCCGACGCACTTCGGCAGCGCACCCATTTTATTCCTTTTCAGCGGCTTCAATGCCCCGTTTGCTTCACTCTCCACCCACTTGAAACATGAAACACGTACACCTTGTCATCTCCACACATCTTTTTCTTTCTCTTTGTTCCGAGCTTTTCAGACTCAACCAAGTGCGAGTGGCTATGTCAAGTGTAAGGCTAAAGACGACCATGCCCGTTCGATTCGAAACTCAACGAAGCCATATGCTGATTACAACAACTCTACCGAGGTGACTATTGAAGCGTTCCTAATGCGGTTGCCCTCGGTTCACATGTTTTATCTAACGCATGCAACAGACATCTCCAACGCTTTACTCTTCTCCTTTTGCGAATCATATTATCCCCTTGTTGTCGATTACCAACCTAGCGTAGGCGGGAAGGAACACGAACCCCAGCTTCGGTCTTGGCATAGCCCTCTCAGTCCCGTATCGCGAGCCATACCAGAGTCGTCTTTTCAAGCTTAGTCCATACAAGCAATCTATAAGCTAAGCTAAGCTTCTAAGCTTCAAGCTAAGTCTGGCAGTGCCCTCGGCCCGACTAACCGATGTTTCTACAGCTCTAGTTGACACGTCAAAGCTAGGGCACCAGGTCCTGGTATTTTCTTCTTCTGGAAACCCCCCATAACTCTTACTACAAAGAAAAATCAGCAAAAGCTGTTTTAATTGGGATAAATCTTGCGGTCATTACATTCAGCCGCTCACGGTCAAGCTTCTGCGATTGAGCCTCTGAGCCTCTGGGTTTGAACGAGTTGTCTAGAGAGCCGTTATTTCCAAAGATTCGAGAAAGCGTTTCCCGACGATGTGGCTTTACTTATACACGAACATGCTTCGGGTAATAGATTTTGGTGATTCTCATCACCATCAGTACTTGTGTATATACTGCAGATACTTTTTACGAATACTTTATCTTTCTTTGTATGGATTGCCCTACCATTTTCAGACTTGTTCATTGCCTTTTCAAGCATTGCTACTAAATGACTGGACAAGACCTGGCGAGTATGATATCAACAAAGTTGTTTGGCGTGATATAAAGTCAGTAAGTTGAATGAGCTGTTGGTTGTCGCTATGATGGCTTGTGTTAAGCTAAACCAGCTGAAACCAAAGAGTTTGGATACTCTTACAATCCCTTATGCATATTACTAACTGATGATAGTCCCACACCAGTCGATATATACTCAGCAAACGCATCTCCTCGATATCAATCCGAAGATTATACTGTTACGATTACGCGCGAGCTGAGAGGCAAAGAGTACTATGTCAATAGTCTAGCACAAACAACCAAAGCTTGACTCAAGATCCCGCAATAGATATCAGCAACAAGTGCTTCTACAACATTGCAGGTAGCGCATCTATAACAGACAACAAAGCTCAAGCCTCTCTGTACAAGGCCATCGGCTAGGCGTTACCCCATAGCGAACGAAGATACCCAAGAGCAAGATAATAATGGCAGTAGAACATTGTTTATACAAGTGAGTCAATCTATAGTATTCTTAGAGGCTGTAGCATCCATGGCATAAACAAACAGTTTATACCACAAATTTACTAACCGTCTTTGTTCTAAAGTTCCTCAGCTTTCTAGACACAATAATATCTTTAACCGAGAACCAACCCACGACAGCGTTCTAGATTTGATGATCTAGATGTCTCATGTCCGCTGAATAGTCCAAATAAAGATGAAATATCAAAATCCGAGATCCTTTTGCATGTACGCGTCTACAAGCTCGAAGAATAATTCAAGGGTGTTCAAACTAGCAGATACAAGAAGAGGCTTTGAAGCAGAAACAAATGGTATATATATATATATGGTGGACACGCCAAAAAGAAGGCTCAAAGAACCACTTCCAATTTCTTTGGCTCTCGAATCATGCACGTGTGTGTATAAGTTTCTCCATCAACATTGTCCCCAGGCAGCGGCACGGATCTTCTCCGCCACAACGAAACCAAACTTCTCGTACAAGGGCACAGCCATCTCGGAACTAGTCACCCAGCAGGCGAGGCCTTGTCGATCCGCCAGCTCGGTTACCCAGGCCATCAGCAAGCTCCCGGCACCACGTCGCTGCGCCTTGGGGTGTGTTCCACACAAGTATACAACTGGAGTAAAGTCAGTCCCTTATGCTTGGCAAGTACTTATCAGACATGAGGGAAAGGTAGATTGAGACGCACCAATGGCAGGTCGACTGCCCAAATCTCGCGACCGCGCTGCCTCGGCTCTTTTTATGAAATCAGACCTGGGAGTGGCAGTATATTGATCCTTGGGAGCTGATGTTGATTGGGTGACAAATTCGGGTACAATGTCCTCCGGTATGTCTGTCACTGTTAATATTAGGGTATTCAAGTGATAAAACACAGCACATGCCTGTAGGAGCAAACAACTTCGGGTCAATGTCAGTATTCTCAAATCCTATCTTAACCCAGCCAACCAACTCTCCTGTGTCCGCGTCGACAACCTTTTTATAAGCAACAAGCGCTTGCCCATAGTTTTTCGGCCAACGACGGATAACGCCCGCTACTCGCTGATCAAAAGTCTGGTCTGCGAAGGAAGCTCTGGAGTAGGCGTTGCTCTGGAAGGAGGTGATGTACGTGTGGGCGTAGGCTGCGCCATCTTTAAATGTCATGTCCCCGAGCTGAAGAGGCATTGTATTATAGGTAGTAGAGTTTTGGCGGACTTGCTATCGAAATTCAGCTTCAACTTGAGCGTATAAAACAACAACTTAGGAAGATGCGAGTTTAGGAAATGGCAGTAACATTGCGTGATGGACCGTCTAGTAAAATAAAAAGCTAGCTTGAATCGAAACCCCACCCACGGTCCAATGCGTGATGTTACGGGTAGATTACCGCGATAACATGGCCCTGCTACCTATCAAATTATAATCTCAGCTTTCTTCAACATGTCTTGCAAATAATCCACATAGAGAATCTTGTAGTCCATGAGAAATGGAGGTTGCTATTCTCGCATTTCTTTCTTTGTATGTCCTTCATCACCGCAGCCATCTAGAGTCAAAGGGCAGGTCTTCTCTTCGCCTTCCTCTTCGTTGTCAAGCATGTACCCCATCCATGACCACCACGATCCTACAATTTGACCAGCCGCTTGGTTCAGGTGCTTTTCCTGCATGTCGTGCCACAACCAAGATCTGAGATGAATTTGATGTCCATAAAGTGGGTATAATGATGATCCTGGGTGAAACAGCCTTGCGTGATTGAAGAAACTGTGGGTATGGACTACATCTTTCGATAGGTCATGTATTTCGCAAGAAGTCCGCTGCACATCAGCTACCAGCATCTCGTATCCACCAAGAGCTATTAAACCGAGCCCATCTCGAGATAGTTTTGGTTTAAATGGGCTGAAGATACAGGGACCCATTGATAGTATCGTGAACACCTCCAGATTTGGCAGCGTATTGATGGAGATGGCATTGGACACACGCTCAATCAATCTTGGGTATTCACAGACCGCAATATTGCGTATGCGCGAGCGCTCGAGGCCAATAAAGCCGTCGACGACACTGCTACCTGTTGCGATGCCGTTCTGGAGACCGTCCAGCGGCCATCCATCAAACACGGTAAAAATATCCGTTTCGTAGCTGATGAAAGGTGTACCAAACTCAATAGTGAGGTCTGAAATTTGGACACGACGAGGTGGCCGAAAAAAACGCGGTAGCCAAACCGCTCGAGCCTCTCGATTAACGTGAAGAGGCGGAGATATGTTACATCTTTTGGGCTGCACGACATAACGATAGTCGTAGAGGTTATTATCAGGAGAAACTTCTTGGCCGTCGCTGCGAGGGGCCATTTCTTGGAAATATTGCCGATACCAAGTACACACTTGAGGCAACAGTCCGATCACACGAGTGGGCTGTGGCACAAGTTTCCATATCTTGATTCGTATCTCCGGCGGGAGATACCGAAAGAGCGGGAACTCTGTGATGGGTTCCATGGGAGAAGCTTGGAAATGATGTATGAATGCTTGAGTAGACAAATGTGGGGGATCTGTGGGTGGTTCAACTTGTTTTGGGTTGAACTGAAGCAGTCATTCGATCTTGGATCTTGAGTACTGCAGGATTTCCAGTTATTGAAACAGACTGGCTTCTATTTCGATGGGATTTGACAGTCCGTGTTGTGGAAATGCTGCTGGTCTTCTTTCTTGGTGGTCAGGTATGCAAATGTGCTGCTTTTCCGTGCCGTGACTCTGTCCAGTAACCTCGAGACTGTGCTAGGTGCTGGTAGAATAAAGATGCCAAAATATGCCACAGTAGAATAGACTGTCAAGTCAGTATATGCTTCATCTTTAGAGAGTGATTCTGCAAAGAGAATGATAACTTACGAGTATTTGATAAGAAAATAAATGTGGTTGAATGAACAAATGGCCAGTCGGATGGTGCCTTGCCACTCGCAGCGGGAAGGTACTTGCCTGGTAGATGAAGGTGAAGTGCAGCTGACCTGATGATCAAAGCCAAAAAGAAAACAAAACAAAGACCACGTGCCCGGTGCAGCACCTTGCCAATGATCGAAGAGATTAGATAAGAAGCCCCTGAGGCGATATGCACTATCAACGCCTATAGCGGCTTCCCCATACGACTTGCTGCTTTCCAAATCACCCAATGGCCTGCCTTCTTAGCGAATGTGGCTGGAATTAGCAAGAAAAACAATATGTAGAATGGCTTCTATTCTATCTCTTCCGTATTTTCCACACGAATTTACTGTCGATTTTGATGCCGCTTCGCCGGCGTACAGTCTTTGTTGGCAGCGCCAACTGACATTCTTACAGCTCGTTCCATCTACCGGGCCAGCTCTCCCATCTTCCACGAGCATCGATCGCTTTTTGGCTAAGATACAGAGTCAGCAATATTCAGTGCATTTGATCTTCTTTTGTCTTCTGCTTCTTTTCAATCATCTTGCTGTTTGTCACGCTTTAGCTGGCTCGTTATTGCACGTTTGACGCCATGTTCAGCCACAGGTATGCAGCCCCTGAGGACCTTGGGTCCTTTGCTGATGCAGCCGTCTTTACACTTCTCTGTTCTTTCCATGCTGATTAAATATTTGTTCTTGCATCAGGTCCATCAACATTAAAGGCGCTACCTGCGGCTTCGATGCCCTGCTCCTCGTTGTCGTCACGTCTATTGCCGGTTTCCTCTTTGGTTACGATATCGGGCAAATCTCTGGCATCTTGCTCTTTCAAAACTTCAACTACAACTTTTTGCTAGATGGGTCCCTGGCAATGTCTCTGATCGTTTCTTTGATGAGTGTCGGTTGTCTTGTGGGCTCTCTACTGGGTGCATAGTGAGTTAGCCCCGTGCCATGGTGTCTGGAGTTTGTTTTTTTCCTAACCAACGCCCGTCTAGTTCTGCGGATTGGCTCGGCCGACGAAAAAGCATTGCTCTCGGTGTACTCTTCTTCATTGCAGGAGATGTTGTTCAAATCACTGCAGTGGACAGCTGGATTCACGTCAGTTCGGGCAGGTTTATCGCGGGCCTTGGTATCGGCAATCTTTCTGTTGGAGTTCCCATGTTCCAATCAGAGTGCGTTCCTCGCGAGATTCGCGGAGCAGTTGTCACCTCCTATCAACTACTCATTACAATTGGCATACTGGTCGGCAACTTGGTATGCTTCTTGATGAGGACCCATGAGGGTCAAGGGTTTGCATGGCGTCTCGTCATTAGTATGGGTGCCGTCTTTTCGCTACCCCTTGGACTCGGCATTCTCATTGTCCCAGAGTCACCGAGATGGCTTGCCGGCAGGGAAGACTAGGAAGGTGCCCGCCGATCGCTGTCGCGGCTAAGGGGCAAGGCCCATGATCCTGCGAACGTCATTGTTGAGAACGACATGCATGAAATGCGAGAGGTTTTGGCGTTGGAACGCCAGAGCGGTACTGCGTCGTGGCGTGAGTGCTTCGCATGGAGAGCCAAAGTCCCAAAGACTCTGTATCGTACCTTGTTAGGCATGGGCATTCATTTTTTGCAACAATGGACGGGCATTAATTACTTCTTCTACTATGGCCCATCAATCTTTAAGTCTGCCGGAATCAATGACCCTTTCATGACCCAGCTGGTTCTTGGCGCCGTCAACGTTTGTACGACATTTCTTGCCGTCTTGATGGTCGATTGGTGGGGCCGCCGACGCCCCCTTGTTTTGGGTGCATTGTGGCAGGCCGCTTGTCTGTTGGTCTTTGCTTCCTGGGGTACTGTTTTGAAAGCCAACGAAGGTTTACCCGGACCGGGAATCTTCATGATGATATCTGCTTGCATGTTCATTGCGTCTTTTGCAGCAACTTGGGGTCCCATTGCTTGGCTGGTCATGGGTGAAACGTTTGCCCTTCGGACACGCGCAAAACAAGCCTCGTTGACCACGGCCTCCAACTGGCTCGGTAACTGTAAGGCTACTGCCAAGTTATTGGCATCTTCATTACCTTCCAAATGAAGAATCAATATGGCTAACGATTATTTGTAGTCATGATTGGGCTGCTCACTCCACCCGCTTCCATGGGCCTAGAGTACAGGTTTGGATTTGTTCTAGCCAGCGCCAACCTCATCGCCGGAGCTCTGGTCTACTTCTTCCTGTACGAGTCGACGCTACTAAGCTTAGAAAGCGTGGATATCATGTACAGCATCCACGGTCTCTATCCATGGGAGAGCCGCAGTTGGGTTCCACCTGGATACGTCACGCGCCGGGAACGAGACGAGGAGCATTTCCGAAGAATGAGCATTTCTGCGGCAACTAATATTTCCAACGTCACTCAGGAAATGGTGGACATGGTGAACAACGACGTCGTTGCGAAGCCCAAAGCAGTCGACGTTTAAAGGCTAAGAATGGCGTTTAGTGCTTGGGAGCATTGCATATCTGCACCTAAATTTTGTGACTGAGCGTTGGTGGTAGGATTACAAATAGTGATTATAGAATAGTAATTAATAACTAGATTTTGATACCGCCCATGAATCTTGGTCGTGATAAGTAAAGGATGAGAAGTAGCAACAGGCTGTCTTCATGCTTTCCCTAAGACGCAAAACCAAATCAGTTCAGCTCATGCTGATGCAATGATGCATAAATTCCAATTAAGTAGACATCATTAACCGCTATATGTCCCCCGTATATTTCCAAGAATGGAGATGCCCGCTGTCTATTACAATGTTTCTTAAGTGACGCTCATAAAGCCAATATGCTGTACTTTTACTTTCGTTTCCTCTTCTCCTTTTTTTTGGCTCTTCTCCTAATCGTATCATTATTCTCATGCCTCTTCTGACTTCACCTTCTCAGTAGAAGCAGACGCTTCTGTCTGTGTATGAGCTGCCTCTGGCTTAAGACCAGAGTGCTCTTTCTCGGAACGCTTCTCTCCGGCCTCGTCAGCACCGATAGTGCTCGAGCCAGAGGACTCTGACGAAGTATCTCCCGATTCGCCCTCGTTGGGGTCTTCCAGGACAACAGCGTTTGCCTCCACATCCGTCTTGACGGGAGGCTTGAAAGCCTTCTTGGGGTTGAAGCGACTGCGGGCTCGGATGGCGGCCCCGTACTTGTAGAAGAGGAAGGGGATGACAGAAAGGAGGACGGCAACACCGCCGACGAGGGAGCCGCCGCCGCCGACGCCGAGGGCGTGGAACATTTGCACGGTGAAGAGAGGGGCGGCGGCACCGCAGGCGGATCGCATGATTGTGTTTGCGGCGATGGCGGAGGCGGCGTACATGAGGTAGGTGTCGACGAGGTAGTTGAAGAAGCCGACGAAGAGGAGCAGGAGGGCGGTGGTGAGGAAGCCTCCGGCGATGGTGGGGACGATCCAGTGAACGGAGCTAGAGAAGAGAGAAGGATTGTTAGTTGATTTTATTCATTGAATGTAGATGGCATAGTGATGTGGAAGTAAAGGGGAGACGTACTTGAATTCAGCAGTCCAAGCGAACCAGAACATGGCGCCTGCGAAAGTGAGGGCGCCAACAATGGCCAGTGGGAGACGGTCTTCGGGTGTGAACTCGTGCATTTGCTTTTTGCCAGTGTCAATCTTTTTCTGTTGACGACGAGTGTCGAAGAGGACAATAACACCGCCGAGAACGGCTCCTAGAACAGTGCCGAGCAAGGGAAGTTCGCCAACGCCGGCATTCCAACCGCGCTTCTCCTGGAAGACAATGGGATAAATTGTAAAGAGCATGTAGAGCAGAGTGTAGACCACGGAGAGATAGATGGCGATGAGGAAGGAGACTGGGTCGAAGAGGATGATCCATGGACGAGTTAGGGCGACCTTGTAAACGCCGACGACGCCGAGGTTGTTGTCTTCAATCTGAGCCTTGACGTTCTCATAGCCGGGAATCTGAGCCTTGCGGATTCGTCGAGCCTTGTGACGCAGGACAGTCGGCCCGTGGGTCTCGGGGATGGTCAGCATAAGAAAGAACGAGGCACCTCCAAGCATGAGAAGGACGTAGAAGCTCCATCGCCAGTCCTTCTTGAGCTGGAGAAAGCCTGCAATAACTGGACCGAGTGAGGGTCCGATCCAGAGCGTTGCGGAGAAGCCTCCCATGGCGTTGGCACGCTGTACCGGGTTCCATAGATCGGCCAAGACACCAGGGCCGTTACTGAGGGCGGCGGAGACGAAGGTGCCCGAAAGAAAACGACCGACGAGGAGACTGCCGAAGTTGGGAGCAAAGGCGCAGAGGAAGTTGAAGGCCAAGTATACGCTAAACGTGATGTAAAAGATCCAGCGGCGACCATACAGTTCGCTCATGGGAGCAAAGATAAGAGGACCGGCACAATAACCGAGCAGGAAGAGAGTGATGGTCAAGCCCGCAGCCTCCTCGGAGACGTGAAACCATTCTGCGATGGATGGGAAACAACCACTGGGAGAACTGGAGGCGAAAGTGGCGTTCATGACCAGCAAGACGGTCGACATTGTGATGAAGAAACGGCGCTTCATGGACCAGTTCCGAGGATTCTCGATATCCCCGGGGGCAAAGTCGACGTAGCCATCTTCGTTTAGAAATGGAGGCTCATTGTACTGGAGTTCGTGTGTGCGATACGGCTTGTTGACCGGTACCGACAAGATTCGGTGGAGGGCACCCATGGTGGGTGGAGGGTGGTTGCAAAGATCGAAGCACCTCTCTGTGTCTTTTCACAAAATGTGAGCTCGTAGTGGATGAAGAACGGTTGTCTCTGGGACAGGTTTTAAGTTTTATTATTGAGTTGTCAAGGATAATCCGATCCTTTCGTCATTTCAGGGCTGGGGTTGTATTATTGGAGGTTAGATACACTTAAACCGCCTCCGTTGTTGCTGTGACTCGGCTTCCTATAGAAGCTGGAAAACTCGACGTCTCTGCTGCTGCTCTCGTTCTCAAAGCTCCTTCGAGGCTGAGAGGGCGGCTATTTTGTCCTGGTACCACGAGGCGAAAAGGAGCCAGATGGGACTGGGGGACCAAGAGCGCCACCGCCGTATTTACATTCTTTTTTTTTCCTCCCATGTTGCTGGCGTTGCATGGTCCTTTGCCTAGTTGCCCCCATCCTCGCGCGTCGGGTTTATTGGGCCCCGGCCGCGGACTCGAAGCTACTACCAGTATTGGCACCGTTCGGATATAACAAACCGGAGTCGGCACATGGTCACCGGCGGCTCCGTTTTTCTCGAAGTCGTTGAAATAGCGACATACGACTGGACCTATGAGTCGCCTTTCCGCTGCGGGTACTGCTCTAAAAAGAGGAAACTTTTGAGCGGCTGGATCGCGGTGAATACGCTCCAGCCCAGCGGTCTGTTCCCCTTGCGAGTGGCCCCAGCTGAGGACGCACGTTGCCAATGGGGAACTTGCCAGAGTTGCAGCGCATCTTGGGTGTATGTTATCTGTCACAAGTGACAACGTCTGGAGGCCTCGCACTGTGGAAATGAGCGACCGGAGAGATAGCAGTCAAGCGTTTCATTTGCCGAAGACTGATATGTTGCGATCCATCCCAGGGCAGGCTAGCAGTCGTGTTTGCCTCCATTCGTATAATGGTGGGACCCGTGCCCAAGTCGAAGCGCCTGCCGAGCTTTGAAATCGGAGATAGAAATCTGCGATTTGACATACCCGGCTCTAAGGCTGTGTGGCATACGCAACGCCTGTCTTGCGGTGTCTCGCTGAGGCGGCTGAGATCCACCCCGGATGAGTGCTCGACCCGGTGTCTTCCAAGACAGCCGGGTCGGGTCAGCTCAGCTAGCCTCAGCCATTTTGCCTGGGACCCCAGCCACAAGTAGCATCTGGGTGTCATTGCGAGATCTTGGAGACGGTGGGCGGTTTTCCCCTTCTTCTTTCTGCTGCTAGTGATGTTACTAGTGACTGTATCTTCGGCCTGGCTAGTCTCGTTCTCGGTTTGTTGTTTCTGCTGCCCTCTCAAGGGGCAAAGTCATCTGAAAATGCTGCGACTCTGCGTAAATCCGGCTGCCCACCATCTTAATTCCGTGGCTGCCCAAGGCGCCTGGCTGAGGAATCCAACTGGTCACTCACCTGTGCTCCCACATTGTCCGATTATTCAGCGCCTTTTCGCTGTATTCATCAGCGCAGCTCGCACTCCGACGAGCAGCGACTTTCCATGGAACGTGTGGAGAAGGCCAGGCTGCGAAAAGCGGCTCGGTTCATGATTTGGGGCCGCGCCGGTCAGCGAGAGACTCCTGGCCGTAAGATCCTTATCCTTACTTGGCACGCCGCATCCGTTTCAACTCAGATTGAGATGCAAACAAGCCCCGGCGTGCGTGTGTGGCGCTTGTAGGAGCCGGCTAGGCCTGCTTGTGGAAAAGCTCACCGATGATTCTGTCGGCCTGTGGTTCTGTTTCTTCGGATAGACATTTATTCCGGCACGAGCCGCGAATCTACAGCGTCGTCCCACGTGCGGTTTCCGTGAGACACGCTTCAAATGCTGCTAAGGAGCCGCCACAGCTTTCTCCAATTTCTCCAACCTTGGTCAGTACGAAGCTGCAGACAATTACACTGGCTGATTCTTACCAATAACCTTTTACGCAATAAAACATGCCCCGCGCAGGATCCAATACAGGGACGAGAGTTTATGGCACTGTGGATCGATACTCGCCCTATGTTGCGGCTGCTGACAAACGTGCTTGGTCACGCATTAATGCTCAGTAATGGTCAAGGGAAATGACCTTTCGGATGGCGAGATCGTGAAACCATGTCTCTATGGGCTGCAGTATAGCCTATAGGCAGTTTGCCGACCCTGCTTCGGCGTTTCTCCGCAATGCTAGCGCTCTTTGGGCAGTATTTACTTACTCCGGTAACCGTTCCGCAGTCATCGAGTCATCGACTTGTTTGACCCATTGCTGATCATATTGAAGTCATCCGTTTGGCTCTTATAACAGCATTGTGTCATGCTATGGAACAAATACGAATGCTCCGCATTTTGTCGCTTTGAAGCTCGAGCTGATCAGGCCACTGCTGTGCTGTAGCTGGTAATCTGGTAACGGCGTTAGATGGGTACTTACCTCAGGTAGTTCTAAAGCCTGTACTGCGGGCAAACAGACAGAAGCATGTGACTAATCTTTATCAATCTTTTCCGAATACAGCAATTTACTACACCCCTATCCGAGCATGCCTTTCAGACTAGATGCAATGAAAAAGACAAAAGACAAACACAGCAAGACGCTATGACAACCCTACCCTACATCTTCAGAAGATTAAGTCAAAGCTCCAAGCCATCAGCTTATACCCATACAAGTGGTGTACACCGGGGCTGGAGAAGGTATCAGCACACTAAATCATGCCACGCACACATGCCGGTAGCGTAAACACCAATCATAGTGCTCCTATTACCATCATTTATACGGATATTCATTTTGCGGTCCTTGTTGTTTTGCAGACCCCGTGCCACAGAAACTTTTGTTTCCATGTCTTCAGCAGCGAATACTAAAAAGGTCTCCAGCAATAACAGCGGAGCGGGTCCCGAAGTTAGTGTCGGGTCAGAGCCGCAACCACGCTGACCACATCACTGACCTAAGCAACCAAGTTCGAGCAAAGAGGCGATACAACTAGGTCTGACTGATGAAAGTCTGAAGAAATGGTAGAAAATTAGGTTCAGTGGTATACTGAGAATGAAATTCTCTTTATGAATAAACGACTGTCCATTGTTATTAACACCTTGACAATGGTGGTACCAATACCAGAAATCTGTCAGTAATGTATGCACTTGATAGTATAACATCACCACCCCAGCCATCAAATGGAGCCCTACTATATTTCCCACAAAAGCCCTCGCTTAAGTCGCTTTGTAGCTAAGATTGACACGGATTATGCTCCTCGGAGAAGCTTAAATTGACCTCAATCAGAATCATACAACGCTACTATAAAGCGACTCACCCCATAGTGTTCAGCCACTCAGCCCTATGCTTGTCCGTCAGCTCACGAACTTTTCCAAGTCAAAAAAGGCTATTTAAACTACGATGCCTCCCACTTGATATCTTCCATTCACTTTCACTCCTTCTCTACCGGTACTGAAAACACGACCCTCATCATGCTTCACCTCGACTTGATAAACACTCTCAAAGACCTCTTTGGGCGATTCGACCATGTCAGACCATGTAAGTTCATCTTAATACAAGCAGATAGTGTACGTCTAATGACTCAACTTCTTCAAATAGCCCATGCCAGAGGCGTCTTTGTGTCTGGTTCCTTCATCCCGACAAACGAAGCCAAGCAACTGTCCACCGCTCCTCACTTCGACGCTCCCTCGACGCCAGTCCTAGCCAGATTCTCCCTCTTTACCGGAATCCCAGACTTGCCATCAAACACTCCCCAAGCAACTCCCCACGGCTTTGCTGTACGATTTTTGATAGGAGAGGACACGAAAACAGACATCATCTGTCAATCTTCAATCTTCTTCCCTGGAGCTACAGGGGAAGAAGTCCTCGCGGTCTTCCGAAGCTTCAAGGACAATACTGCGGAGGAATATGCCAAAGATCATCCAGCTGCCGCTAGTTTCATACATGAAGACCGACAAGTTCCGAAAAACTTTGGTACAGAGTCCTTCTACTCTATCAACGCGTTCAAGTTTGTGAATGCTTCTGGCGAGAGTGCTGTTATCCGATATCGCTGGATTCCGCTGTCCGGGAAACATTACTTGACGCAGAGCGAGTTGGAGGCAAAAGGGCCGAATTTTCTCTTTGATGAGCTACCTGGTGTTTTTGCCCAGGGGCCAATTAGTTTCAAGCTGGTAGCTCAGGTGGCTGGGGATGGTGACGTTACGAATGACTGCACCAAGATTTGGCCCGAAGATCGTAAGCTTGTTGAACTTGGCACACTCACCTTGAATAAAGTTGTCGGTGAGGAAGAATTGCCTCCTCAAAAGGAGACTATTGTTTACAACGTCTTTCCTGGAGTTCAAGGCGTCGAACCTTCGGATGATCCGATAATAGCCGCTCGTGCTCAGGTGTATCAAACCAGTGGCCAGACTCGCCGAGACGCTAAAGTTTAATAATTTATTGTTAATTACATGCTTAGCTAGTTATAATGCGTAGTAAGCCGCTGAAAAATTGACTTTTCAAATTCGAAGTATCCGAGATGCCTCAGTTTTGGTATGTGTATGTTTTTGGCCACCCTTGACAGCCTTGCAAACCGATGCTCCCTTGTCTCTTGTACTTTATTCTACTATAATTCATATCTCCCTCATATCACATCTTTTTTTAGAGGGACGGTTTAACAAGACATCGGCGTAGAGTAGCAAGACACATCGGTTTATCTGGTGTATGGTTACTCCACGCTGGTGTCTTGTGATACCATCCCATGGCAAAGACACTCCCAGACGCATTATTAAAAAGCAGTCACCTCAATACTCGCCTGCCAAGAAGACTACCGTCACTACAGCTCAAACTCAACGCTCTTAGTACGGTACCCAGAGAGCTTTTACTCTCAAGTCGACGACATCTCCATTGGCTACGAGAAATTCGCGTGGAATCAACATAGAAGAAGCTCTCAGAAACCAGAATGCACTTCTCAAAAGGCGATGCGACGCGCTCGAATCTTCTGTGGCAGATCTTCAGCGAAACATTGACGCGTCACCTCAAAGCCAGCGTGCTGCTTATGAGCATCTTGGGTGGGTAGAAACCTGGCTATAAAGATATTCCAACTTGATACGTTACACGTAAGGACTGTATTGTCCAGAAAAGTTGTAGGAGGCGTCCAGGCAAAAGACAAGTGATGGGTCGCGGGCCTACATGAACTACTTCACGAGATATTGTTGATCATTATAAAATTTGAAAGCCAGAATGAGGAATTGAAGGAAAAATAAAATACATATATCTACATAAAATAACAAACTAACCCCCCCCCCCCCGAAAAAACCGCCAAAGTCTACATCTTCGCCGCGGCCCGCGCGGCCTCCTCCTCCACCACCATCTTCTGCAGCATCAGCTGCCCGTTTGTTCTGGCCGGGCCTGTTCCCAAAACAGACTCGGCGAACATCCGGAGCTGCATCAGCATGATGGCGCTTTCGTAGATGACCAGGACCTCAATGTCCCTGGTCATGGCACAGAGGTCGTGGAAGTTGTCGGAGCTCGAGTCGAGGCCCATGTCCAGGCACTCGACGCGCTTCTTGTGCGACCACCAAGGGGGCATTAGTCCCTTGGTCTCAGCCAAGCTCAAGAACACCCGGAAAGGAGAGACTGAGCTCTCCTTTCCGTTGAAGGTGCTCTCCTTCTTCTTCAGGCCGGCATACCAGTAGTCGTCGGCTTCTCGGAGCCGGAACGAGTCGATGAGGAGGGCGTACACGTCGATCTTGTGGCGATCATGAAGCCAGAGGCCCTTGCTCAAGCGAGCAAAGGGGTTCGGGAGAGAAGTCCGGAGGAAGGAGGGGATGTGAGGCTCTATCAACTGCTCGATGGGGATGCTAGATGGTTTCACGCAGTACATGACCTGGTGAACGCCCCAGTCGGCATCTTGGCAGTCGAGGCTGCAGTATTGGACCGAGATGCAGTTCTCGCAAGTCAGGAGAGTCAGGCCTTGACTATTATTGACTGGATTATGCTGGCATCGGGCGCATGCAGTGTGTGGAGCGATTGTCTCGATCTCATCGTCTTCAAAGAGTGGGTAAGATAGCTTCTTGGGTGGTTCCAGCGATCTTCTATATGCGTGTATATCGACCTCATGAGTGAGGATAGTCAGAAGAGGAGAAGGTAGATCTGGCTCAAGAGAATCGATTAAGTAGGCGATGTTATCATAAGCCGTGGGAGCATCGTCGGATGTATACTTTAGCCCTGATATAAAGAAAGCTTGCGTAACTGTAGTATTTGATGGCACAAGATATTGTCGCCGTGAGATAATATTCATAGCTTCATCGAGATCAATGAGCTCTTCTTGGGATGGAGTGGTATTCGTAGCTTCATCGAGATCAATGGGCTCTTCTTGGGATAGAGTGGTATTCATAGCTTCATCGAGATCAATGGGCTCTTCTTGGGATAGAGTGGTATTCATAGCTTCATCGAGATCAATGAGCTCTTCTTGAGATGGGGTAATATTCGCAGCTTCGTCGAGATCAATGATTTCTTCTTGAGATGTGTCTTTCTGCTGCGAGCTTTCTGGGTCTTCGAGCTTCTTGAAATAATCCTCCATGGGCAAGTATGGGTTGTTCGTTTCGATAGAATCTCGAGTCCATCGATATAGTGCGCGGTTTCTCTCATCCAAGGACAAATAATACGGATCAGATTGATATTCAGAGTTTGAATCATCGTCAATAGCCAGAGAAGCAAGACTGGGATCGTTCGAAACCGGAGTTGGGGGCTGCTCTTCTTTGCGGTCGGACATGATGGCGACTATCTCTTGTCGAATATTTGATTGAGGAAATGTATGCCTTCAAACTTCGGGAGGAAACGAGAAGTGGTTTGAGATAAAGTCTGCTTGAGCTTTCAAGTGTTTCGAAAAAGATAATTGACAACTTGACTTGACGATGATATGGTGGGAAGGAAACAAGAAGTGGTCTGAGATAAAGTCTGCTTGAGCTTTCAGACAAACCAAGTGTTTCGAAAAGATAACTGATAACTTGACTTGACGATGATATGGTGGAATCAAGATGCTGGATGAAGACACAACGAGGAAGAATTCGGTGAGTGAGCGGGTTGCGAAAGCAAAACAAAACAAAAACAAATAAATCGCTAGTGTTTTGAAAACAAAGAGGGTCAGGCCAAAGTGAAAGCTTTGTGACTGGGCAAGTATATGCAGCTGCACATGCGTTTGCCAGTGGCAAGCAATAAGGGGCGGGTAGCGGAATAACTGCTGCCGCACAGCAGATTTTGTTTTCTGGAAATTATTCCTCTACGGCAGCATGCAGATATGTGTTTGTTCTTTGATTTACTTTGCATTGATTCACGCTTGGCTGTTTACCATTGGTTCACCTACTCACCTACTTCAAGTTTTGTGTGCAATTGCCTTTGCCTATTTTTGCATCTTTGGGAGCAGGCTATCTCTCAGATTTTAACAAGGCATTACAAAATTCCTTTTTGTTATTATTTAATGGCTTGGTTTCTATGACGTCTTTTCCCAAATTCTCCATTATCTCAAAGAGCCTTAATAATATCCAGCTTTTCAACATTCAGCATTCCTCAACTCTCTCTATGTTCATCTTTTGTCATTCTGCCACATATTTTGTTTTGGTCTATACTTACTCTTTTAAGACAGTATTCAGGTTACACGGTTCTGCTCACCAGTTGACATTTTTACAACTTTGAGCACGTTCATGCAACGCGACTGCAATTTGCCTACACTGAATATGCAAAGGTATTGCTATTCTATCCAAGAAGCAATTTAATATCGATAAGTACCTATTTCAGTGCAAAGACCTATTGTCCCATATCAACAAGCTAATAGTTGTATTTGACAGGGCTGCTCCAGTCGTCTGCTCAAATAGCCTAGTATTATCATCGATACCCATCGACCGCGGCGCAAGGCAAAGAATATACTCGTCGATTGTACAACTCGAATAAGTTCCAATATTGAGATTTAATTACTAGTCGAAAATTATACTAGCGTAGAATTGCTACACGAAGAAAAGACATTTGCCAAAAGAACTCTCGAATATGTCCATTCTTTAGTTCACAACTATACAATGCTGGGGTCAATCCGATCTGCCACTTAAGAACTGCATAATACCAAGGCCATGAAATATTGAGCGATGTACACACAATTTTAGCGACCAGTCTGAGTGACGAGTGTAATAGCTTTTCTAGCCATGTTTGCCTTGTGTTCAAAGTCAATCTTCTCCATCATGCGATCGTTTACAAGATATGCTCAATCGCTACAGAGCAGGCTAGATTGCCTAAGCTTTACACATGTAGTCCATCAGAAAGTTACTACCACAGGCCCGAAGATTTTTATCTAGATATTTATTTTCTTCGACATCCGACGGCGACTTTACGGCCATTAGGATACCAAGTACAATGTATCGAAGCGATCGAAGCGAAAACTCGGGACATTTGCTCAGCTAACACCAACATCACCAAAGTCTCATGTCTTAATAAAAATGCTTCAAGTTGTGTATTGCAGCTTTATTAGCTTCCATAGTAAAGTTAATGTCATTGGCTATGGCTGCCATGCACGTTATTCACGCATTCTTCTCCCGCGGTATCCACTGACTCAAGCGAAACACGTCCCCCGGCGTATAGAGCTTACTGTGATTCATAGGGACGAATTGCAACTTCATGAACCCTATGATGCTAACGAAGCCATCTATATTCGACCATTATCGCATGTCAGCCTTTGCTAGATCTAAAGAACAAGCAAGTCGCCCATATCTAGAAGCAACAGTCCATCGCTTTCTACTCAAAAAGCTCACTATGCGCTATTTCATCAAGGGCACACGGCACAAAGCCAAGCAAGGTTGGTGGCAATTGTCCGCCAATAATGGGATGGATCAAGTAAAGCCAGAAATTTCAGCCTCACCTCATCTAGACAGCCAGGCACGTTTCGTAATCTGAACAATTTTCTCTTCCGGCGGTATACGGGATAGAGAGCGGCGATCGCAATGTTACCTTGGCTGTCATCAATCCTGAAAACAACGTGGCCAGTGTCGCACCCGCTCGTTCAGCGGCTCGCAAGGCATCCAGAACCGAGTATCGGCGACGGCACAGAGTAAGTATAGCCAACTTGGCATGCACTTTTTGATTGGCGCCAAAGTCGTTTTAAGAGAGAATGTGGAGGATCAGAAGAATCCTTCTGATGTGATGGCGTGTGAGACTGTCGTCACATCCATCTCGATCACAGCAAGTAGCTACACGGATAAGCACGCAAGGCAGAGTCGCCGATCTAGAAGTGTACAGGCTGCTCCACGCACACAAAAGTGTTTCGGGCAGTTACACGACATTGCCCATCTGAAGGCTAAAATAGAAGACCCATATTGGGTGGTGTGGCAAAGTACAACGACCAGCTGAAATTCGGGACAGCCCACACCAAAAGTCTTGTGAACGAGAAACATGGAAAGCAGTGGCTATTATGAACAAGCCGCGATCGCTTCCCACAGCCAATTCATCGGACAATCTTGTAGATGATCGGAGAAGCGGAAGTGAATCCGTGTATATGTCCGAATATGCTAGGACTTTTAGGTCTGCTCGGGCCGTGCCGAACGTCTAAAAAAGCAGGCGCGATTTTCGCTAAGCAGAGCCCTAAGCTTTAGCTACATACAATTAGACCAACATTCATGTATCGCTCGTGATTGACGAATGGAGTGCATAGTTTGTGTATTTACTTTGCGAAGTAGTGAGGAGCTGAGCGAAGGATCATGCAGACTATGGAGCCGCCTTCTGCAGCAATAAGAGTCATTTATCTTGGCTTTACCAGGTTCTCTATGAAAATGGAGAAACAATATTTGCAGCTGAAACAAACTGCGCTGAATGGATCCTAGTTTAGATTGGCAAAGTGTACCACTATTGATGGATATGCATAGCTGACGGCTGCAATGCGACTCTTGTGGTCAGCACAAAGTCGTATTGGCCTGGCTGGCGCAGTCCGTTGACAAAGTCGTGCTTGTTCAGGGAAGAGTGGTACTACTGTTTGGGAGATCCGTATATAGACTACTAATAGGTACTGTATGTCCTCCTTGAATCTTGGCAATGAATGGAGTTTTCCTAGCTTGGGTAGTACCGAGTTTTTTCGGTTGTCGGTATAAGCAAGCCATAAGCCCCAAGCAAGCGGCCCAGATTCCGCGGAGCCGAGCTCCCCTTTCTTATCCTTGGAATCCGCCGGTATTTACCGGGCTTATCTTTGCAAGATTTTGCTTGCAGGTAGGTATAAGTATATGTGCATCTTACATTTGCCGGCTATAATGTTGTTAACCTACTGAAACTGGCCCTTTACAGATGTTAGTTTACCTGATTTAGTAATCAATAAGAAGAATACATAAAAATAAGCAATGCTGGTATATTTCAAGATTTAGCTGTGTTGTTGATTATGTGGTTATGTATGGATCAAGGTTGTGCTAAACACTTGAGTAACATATTTACATTAAGTGAAACATGTATTGAATATATTGAATAGCTAGGAGGTAGTTATCTAATTTAAGACTAAACATTTAAAAATATAGTTAATATCTGGAAATGTATATTAAAACTAATAATACCCACCGCCTGTTCCTTATACACATGCATATAACTAGCCCTTGACATGAGCCATTAATTTTCTAAACAATGCTTACTTGCGCCATGTTTGGTGTGGCGAAACTGCGGAGTTTACTGGAATAATGTATGTAAGCGATTACGGTTACCTAATCGGCACAGAAATGCATACAAACACCAAAGCTATCGTGTACCGATATGTTACAGCGTATCAATGGTTTACACGCGACTCTACAGTAGCCCGCGAGTATGGATGGGTGGATCTTACGTCAGATCAATGTGCAGAATCGGTTTGTACAGCGTCAGCTAAAAGAGCTTGGCGCATACAGCTGAGCCATCAGCTCCTCTGTTTGTTCGTTCTAGATTCAGATTCATTTACCCGTCGACAGATTCCAAGGACATCCTGGTTTCTGACGTATCATAAGGCTGGATGTCTGCAGCAAGTTTGATCCACAGCCAACCACCAGCCATGTGGCTAACCTACCTTGGTAAATAAACCGGTGGCATATGCTTGATGTTCCTCCAGCTGGATTTGTGGTGTGATCGGACACGTTAATGACCCGTAGCAGCACTGCGGAGTGAGAATTAAGTGCGCGGTAAAAGTCTATACCTGATGAATCTTCCGGGGTGCAATTTACGTGTCCAATCATTACGTGTCTGAACTAATTCAGACAATGTGTAAATGCTACGCGCCGCACTGCCCCCCTACGTCACTTTATCTATGCTTGCTGCCTTTCCTTATTTCGTTAGATACGGGTAACTGCAGAACTCCGTGTCCAGGATAATGAACTATGGATCCATGAGATTTTCCGAATCAGAATGAACGAATGTCAATAAGATCTACTCTTCCCCACTCTAGCCAGATAACGATTTAAATGCCATTGCTACTGCTTGACTAGACATTGATGGCTATATAAAACCATTAGCCAACACTGGTCTAGTTCAAGTAACTGGCGAGAAAGGAGCACAATACAGTTCCTACCACAACCTTTGGCGTTCACGCACAAATTTCATCTTGTTTTTTTTACAAAAAGAAACACAATGATCAATCAAGAATGGCCGGTTGTGGCAGACCGTAGTCAAAAGAAGAGGATCCAGAACCGTGTAGCACAGAGAACATATCGTAAGTCAGCTCATCCCGCACGTGGCAAACTACAGATACCTTGTATTTGCCTTGAGATAGCATAACAAGTAGGACACAGAGCCATGTATCTGACTCGATCAAATTATACTAGGCAATCGCATAAAAGAGCGCATGGAAGAGCTACAAAAAGAAGTCAACGAGTATCGCCGCCGAGAGCAACAGCAAGCCTCGTCAGAGCATCAAGACAGAAGTGTCGGCGAATCAGAAAGAGACACCATCAACATTGATGCAAGTGGCGAAAAGTCTGTCTTCCTAGCGGAGTGTGTTATGGATACAAGGGTCGATCTCAAATCATTGCCCAGCGTTGGCTCCAACACACCGCCACTGAATAACACCTCTCCGGGCAATATTAGCAGCAATAACAGCATCAAAAGTAGAAATAGCCCCGGAGATGTCGAAAAAGAGGACGGTAGGAACAGTGAAGGCTACATGATGGATATGGACAGACGCGAGGATGCCGCTTCATTGATAGGCAGTGTCACCCCCGAACAATCCACGAGCAATGTTGCGATTCAGCAGACGCATGCTGCTGTTCCACCTCAGCGTCTCACTCAGCCACAGCATCAACGAACTCACATGCCTCCGCAGTTCCCGTTGACAGCATTTGGTTTGGCAGCGCCATCTTTACCTCCTACCTACAATTTGGCGACTGATTGGGGGTGGACGAATACGCCAAACTTGTATAGAGACCCGATGAATCACCAAGCAATCTCAGGTACGGAGAGCCAAAATTTCGTTTGCTTGTTGGTGTATACAACGTTAGCCAACAATGAATACTCTTGCCATGCGGATATCAACTGACATGTTTCTCCTTTATTAGGATTTCCGAATCTCAGACAAATACGAGGCGATCATCATTCGAACTCGGACGCATCCTATATAATTCCCGATGTCACAGCATTCGTGGCACACCCTCCCGAGTCAAAATATTCCCACATTCAAACCATGGATCAAGAAACAGATATCCGAACAATAGCGGGTAGATCATCAGATGAATCAAGCGACCCAGGAAGTATAAGTTCTAGGAGTTCAGTTATTGGCAGCACGCTATACGATTGCCCGCATAAGAATCTAGCACAAATGCTACAAAGTTATGAGAACGGCGAGCAGCGATTAAAAGATAGGAGCCTAGAAGATCGTTTGGAGTTTATGCGGGTGTGTGCCTCTGTAGCTGGCTTCCACAACATTGATGATATGGCAAAGAAGTATTACACTGCGGACTTTAGCCATGATTCTGTCATCTCGCGGGAGCAGCGCAACAGTCGACACAGTCAGCTTCCACAGTTACTCTCGAAACTTCGAAAGAGCGTCAAAACATGGACCCAGTGGGAAGCCCATCGTTATCAGTACGAAATAATTAAGTCAGCACAGAGTCTTATTCGCGCAGAGCGGAGCGACCACCACACAACAGAGAATACCTATACCGAAGCACTTACGGATCTGGAGAAGGCACTGGCCGTAGGGCTGGCTCACAACTCTGGAGAAGACGAGTTGATACCAAGAGCATTTCAGAGACTATCCAAGGTGTTTCAAGATACAGTAAGCCGTTCGAATCCTGCTACGTTGATAGCGAATGTGTTCAATACGTACTACGAGTTGCTAATTGTACCGACTTTCCCTTGCAGTCACCGAAGATGTGGAATTTGATTGAGACGCTTGTTGGTATGGATGAGACAATAACTCAAAAGCAACGAACCTATACATCACTTTCGATTATGCTTCTCTTGTGCTGTTCGGATCAAATGCACAAATGTGACATCTCGGCGTTGGTATCGAGCTGTCTACACACTGCACAATATCATTCGAGGTGATATAGGGGTTCTATATGCGCCATAATTGGTTAGCATTGATCGTTTGATATTCGCCTTTGTGCTTTCTTTTAGCCTATGGTATCGGATGAGGCGAAACAACGTTTCACCCTGGTCCTGAAAAGCTTTCATCCAGATAATCCGAGAATCCATCGTCTGACAATGATGCTTTTTTTAGCATCTAAATATACTCTATGTAAAGAAATAGCAAAAATTACCTGAATGAGTCATATATGTATGGGATCGTGATTTCATGGCCTAGTAAAAGGTATGACTCCGGAGATCGAATTGTGCATTTATATAAACAGATAAAACTTCTCCAGTCTAGCAATACGTCGGTCGGAATATCTGACTGTCCTCTCCTTGCCATACCCTTTTCTAATTGTCACCTTAATTACTTGTCATGTTACTTGTCATGTTCAGAAAGCATACTCAACATTTCGATTGGCAAGATGAGTAATAGAGCCCAATAAAGAGCTTTAGAAATTTTTTTAGAAGCTCGACCACGAAATGCAGTGAATGACGGCTGTAGTATTGCTATGCTTTGCATACTGATTCCATATACACTGACTGGAGACAGCGTTGTCTTGATGCTTGGGGTCGTCTGGCGAGTTTGCAGCCTTGTCTTTGTCTGTATAAACTCTTCGACTGTGGAAAGATTCTGATGCCACTCTCTCGCGTCATCGGTAGTGAGGGGAACAGCATCAACGTCATACTCGTGATTCCCGTTGTTCATTCTGGATGCCAAGAAGAGAAGAAATGATGTCTCGTGTCTTGGTGACTCAAACACCAACACCGCTTTGAAGTTTGGGTACGTCTTTATGACGAGATCGCCATCGTGGTTTTTGACGTCGAATCGAAAAGAGCGCCAAATTTCGTGTGAATCCATAATCAGCATCTGACGAATCTGGGACCCATGGAACAGTTTATTGCCTTGGAGGAGGTTTGGCTTCAAATAAAAGGCGTTTTGATAGCGTTTTCTGACTGATCCAGATCCCATTCGAGATAACTCTTCCTCGAGGTACTCCTCGCGCACTCTTGCCATCGTAGTCCAAGGCTCTTCAAGATATAGCCCAATGGCGTCCGAGGTGCTCTTGATTCCACATATGGAAGCTAGCGTAGTGTCATTGTCGGAATGGACCCTAGCCAACTCATTGCCTCGGACTCGAGCATATCGGTCTGCGCCAAGGCGCTTGAGGTATATGCCTGCAGTAGCTGAGGGGTTTGCGTCAAAGCAACAGTTGAGTAATAATATCACAACGTCTCCAGAAGCCCAAGGTTGGCGAAGACTCTTGATGAGGGAAGTGATGTGAATGCCTTTGTTGGACATGGTGATCGGATCTTGCGGTACTTTGGATCCCCAAACACGCACTAACCTATCGAATCTAGAGTGGATTTTGTATTGCGGCAGTCCCCTGCGGTATGATTAGTCCACAAAATTATGAAAATCTCTTGGAGACTTTGCAAACAGCCCATATGCCATGTCTGGATCCGTCGACGGAGTTGCGGCTCGCCACGCGAAGATGGTATGATCATCAGATTGTTGAAGAATATGTTCCTGTAGCCGAAGAAAAGCCCTGCTTCCTTCCCCGTAGATTAGGGGCATATAGACATCAAAGAGTCCGAATAAAGAATATGCAACGTCCTCCTCGCGAGTTGTTTCTCTATTAGCAGCCCAACTCAGACGCCTTCCCACACTGACCTGCTGAAGGGGGCCCGAGCCGTCGAGAACAAAAGCATCAATCCCCGTGATCACCGCAAGCTGCTTTGCAACAGCTGTCTTTTCTGCAATCTTGTCCCATGATTTGTTGTAGAATTCGAGTCGAGGGGGTGCAATAAGCTCTTGCAAAGTCCAGCCTCGAGTAAACCACCGGCTCTGGCCAAAGCCAACAGCCGCTGTAGTTAGGGCAGTTTTCTCGATGTTCAGAGACGGGTAATCCTCCAGGAATGCATAAGCGATTGCTGAATTCCTGTACCACTTGAACATGGAATTGATTGCTTCGCTAAGTTCTGAGCTACTATTCTTGTTTATGCAGCATGTATCTACCCAGGCGTAATCCAAGCCTTGGGCATATGCTTTCTTGCAAGTATCCCTGATTTTAGGGAATCCAGCTAGCTTTTCTCGCAGCTCTGGCGAGTGAAAGTCTTGGAAAGACACCTCCTCCTGGCCCCAAGTGTGGGACAAAATGGCATAGGGTGGCGGCTTGCCGTGGAACTGGTGCAGCTTTAGTGTCCGCGTGTTGATTAGCCTCATGGTTAAAACCAACAAAGATTCGTCTCGAGGCTCGATAAATTTTTGACTCCAAATTGCACCCTCTGAACTAGCGATGAGAAATTGATTGTGACTTTGAAGAGCTGGTATTAATCATTCTGTGTAGGCAGCAAAGCCAATGAATCTCATTCATCATGTGACGCGACATGCAGGCTATGTCTCTACATCCACGTATCAGCGCGGCTTAGCACAGCTTGATAGCTTCGCCTCGCAGTGGATTCAAGAAGTGGAACTGGTGGTTACTCATCTGGGCTTTTTGCATGAAGAAAATCCGTCAACACAAATTTTCTATGCGATTATTGTTTTGCAGGGGTCAATCGTGTAAAAAGTGCGAGCTTTAGACTTGTCTGTTGCTGACTTGCAGCCGACGCACTATCGGTGCATTCTCTTGGTTTGTGGAAATCGCCGATAAAGTGATCGCGCATTGAGATATAAATAAGGCTCCCGCAGTCATTCCTTTGGTATTCTGGTAAAACGCTTTTAGTAATATTCTTTTGAACGTTCATCACTTATTTATCTACTTGGCCTTTCCGTGCTTGGTAGATAGAGTTGCTAATAGGGCCATCTTGATGCACCTCAATTGAAGCATTGGAGCGTATTCTGCTCCGCTAATCTGCTCATGGATGTCAAGTCTTGGGCGCTTGATGCGCCTACGATCCTTTCGACTCTGAAAGCAAACGTTGTGCCCTTCTTCTACACTTGGTATGGCGCTGCGCTATCGGTGTTTGTCGTGTTTAACTTCAAGGCGCTGCCATTTGTATGGACAGCGCGAACATATTACCATCTGAATACCGCCTTTAAAAACCAGCAAAAGAGACTTGTCAAATCCACCGATGGAGGCAGAAGGAAAGTTGCGCTGGTCAAAAAGGAAAACGCAGGAGACTCCATCGAAAAGCACCCTTTGTTCAAGCCGGACGTTATTAGCACATATGTACCGCTGTTGGAAATCGACATGAACTTGCACAAGTCGAATTCGACCTTCTTCACAGACCTTGACATATCTCGGATCAAGTTGATGGGGAGGATCATTGCGCCAGCGTGGCCAATGGACAGCATGGAAATCGAATACAAAGGGCGAGATGGAACCAACAAAAAAGAAAAGGTAAGAGGCCGGCCAGCTCTCATCTTGGGAGCTACACATACGTCTTTTAAACGCGAGCTTCGACCTTTTGCTTCCTACAACGTGGAGTCGCGCATCCTAGGTTGGGATTCTCGCTGGATATATGTCGGATCATGGTTCCTCAACATATCCACGTCAAAGAAGGTCTATGCGACTAGTCTGTCAAAGTACATCATCAAAAAGGGGCGTATCACGGTGCGGCCAGAGCAATTCTTCGTTGAATGTGGGTGGATTCCGGCGCAAGAAGCAGATCATGGCGAGAAGGAGGAAGTGCATGGCGAGGCAGGATGGTCAAGGTTAGAAGTTGAGGCCCACAAAGAGAAGGGGATGCAGATTGTCAAGACATGGGGGGAGGCAAATGTGTTGATGGAGCAGGAATATGAAGAACAATGATAGACATGGATGATTGCGAAATGGTAGAAGCCGCTGCCGTCAGAATGGAGCTTTTCCCTCCATCATTTACCGCCCGCATGCAAGCACAGAGACCCTTTCCTCGAAACCCATACTCTTCACGCCTTTGGCCAATTATGCTTTGTTGCTGGTTCACTTTATCGTAATAATGCAATTCATGTCACTCTGCTAGAGTGCAGGTAAGAGCTCTAGAGTGCGGGTACTGGTAGCATCAAAATGAAGATTCCAGAGGCACTGGGTCATTCCACGGCAGACCGCATAAGCGGCAGCTACGCGTAATTCACACTTCAACTCATGAACACTGCGAAGGAGTTATTTGCTGATTTTACAAGAATTGAATACCTCGCACACGATAATACCCAAGATCCTGTCTTTGGGAATCTACGCGAGGAGGTAACGATCCCATTATTGGTTCGGACAATATGTACCTATGTAGCCCTGCCTGGCTTGGTCAACTGCATGCTAAGTAAAGAATCCTCAATCACAGCCGTTTCCACAAAGCGGAAGATAAAAAAGTATTTTACAAGCCATCAAAATAGAATTCATATTGCACCTCAGCATATATATATCATGACCTTCTACAAGATTCTATAAGAGAAAGCTATTCCCCCTGCCTCATATAGCTTAGCGTTCTCCAATAGTGACCAGCACTGCCCCATGCGATTAAGCCTGGTCATTTCCCTCAGATCATCGCTAACAATAGGCAGATACCTGAGGATGTAAAAGGATACCTGAGGATGCATAGGAAGCCCTGTAGTCATAAATTAGACGCGGGCTAATCGACAGGCCGAGGGACTCGAAGAAGCTTCCCCAAGTTGTCTTTACTACTGCCTCTGTATCCCGTAACAACACATTATCGCCAGACGTCTTCTCCTGCAGTGTTCCATGCGCCTGTGTATAAAAGCACTAAAACATTGCCATAGGACCAGCCCTATAGCGTCTCAGTGATGTCGATGGCATCATGCCCGGACGACACTTTCGGGCCTTGGGCAGGTCCTCAGTGTCGTGGCGGCTTCGACTTTACTTTGCTTTTCGAGGAAACGATGCTCTCTATTTTGCTTTCTGGCATCTTCATCCTCCTCTCTCCGTTGCGGATTCTCGCACTTTTCGCAGCGCCAATAAGAGTCAAGTCAAGTCCGTTGGATTGGGCCAAAAAGGTATGTCACACCGCGTCCTATTCTGAACTGTACGACGTGAATTGTACAACATGAAGCGTCATGGCTAATCACTTCGTCTTCTTTTTGCTGAAGATTACTTCGACATGCTTCATCGCTCTGAGCGCCGCTCTCGTTGGCCTCTGGGTAGTGAATTCCAGCAAGTCGCCTTCTTCTGCCATCACTTACACGCGCGCCACGATCGCAAGCTCTTCGCTCAACCTGGTTCTATCCCTACTATACGCTCTTTTGTCCCATCTCGAGCATCGATCGTCTTTCCGACCATCATTCCTCATATCTGTATACTTGGCCCTGTCAATTCTGTTTGACGCGGCCCGCTCTCGCACGCTATGGATGCTCGAAAATGCTGGCGGCAGCTCCATCCCCGCCGTCTTCATAGCGAATTTGGCGCTGAGGGCTGTGATGCTCCTATTCGAGTCCACAGAGAAACGATCCGTCTTGACAGATGAATACAAAAATGTCTCGGAAGAGGGCGCGAGCGGACCCTACAATCTGGGCGTATTCTACTGGCTCTGCTCCTTATTCTTTACGGGTTATAAAAAGATTCTTGCGCACGAGGATCTATATCAGCTTGACGATACGTTGCGATCTGAGCCTCTAGCGAACAAAATGTCAGAGGCTTGGGGAAAGGGTCAGTAGCATTGCCGCTCCAATGGCCACCTACACACCGTTCAAGAGTTGTTGATTATTTGACTAAAATACTTACTCGTGGACTGTTTAGTATCCGACAAGAGCAAATCCGGCGCACTACTCGGTGCTTGGATAAAAACATTCATAGGCCCATTAACGATACCAATAATCCCTCGACTGTTTCAGATTGGCTTCACTTACACTCAACCGTTCCTAATCACGGCAGCAATAAACCTTGCAGCCACGCCGCAGACTCAGCAGTTTAATAACAATGGGTACGGACTAATCGGAGCCTATATCCTCGTATATACCGGTATAGCTGTAAGACACTTTCCAATCTGCCTTCTCATGGAGCCTGGTATACTAATCGGGCTGTTACTGTCCAGGTATCTATAACTCAATACCAATGGCATAATTGTCGCGCTGTTACCATGATGCGTGGCAGCCTCATACCTCTCATCTACGAAAAAACACTTCGCGTTGATTCGACGAGCCCGTCTACGTCTACTCCCAGCGGCACATTGACGCTTGTGAGCACGGATATCGAAACAATATCTGGTGGAATCCTGCTATTTCATGAAACATGGAGCAACATTCTCGAAATTGGCATCGCCATCTATCTTCTGGAAAGGCAACTGGGCGCCGCATGTGTAATGGGCGTAGGCTTTGCAATTGGTACACTCTCTCTTACTTGGCAGTATGCAGATGCAAACAACATTGCTAACTAAATGTTACCATTAGTCGTCATGATTGGCTCCGGCTTCTTAGCCGGGCCCATTGGAAAACATCAAGCAGCGTGGATCGCGGCATCACAACGCCGAGTAACCGCGACTTCGAAAGCCCTCGGAAGTGTCAAGTGGCTGAAGATTTCCGGCCTTACTGGTGTAGCTTTCAACGGGATCAGACGACTTCGGACCCAAGAGCTAGCTGCATCAACCAAGTTTCGCTTGTTCCTTGGAATCACCATTGTGCTTTGTATGCATGCCTCATTTTCCAACATCAGCTCCGAGATACATCTGCTGACATTTTCGCTAGCTATTTGCACGCCTGTTTTTGGTCCGCTCCTCACTTTTGCTACCGCTGCGGGCATAGCCTCGCGTGGCAATGGTGGTTTGACTATTGCAAAGATTTTTACATCGTATTCCCTCATTGTTTTACTTAATACTCCTTTATCTCTATTTACCGCCTCTATGCCGGCAATTGCAGGAGCCGTGACATCTTTCCAAAGAATCCAAGACTATCTTAACGTGACTCAACGGAAGGATAATCGCATTTCGTCTAGTCATGGTAACAGGGATGATGGGACTACCAAGATGGAGGCTTCGCAGATTGTTTCTGATGCCACGACAGAGAACCCCGATGGTGCTGCCATCAATAAAAAGAAATCCTCCGGCCGTGTGACCGTCTTGGAACCAGATGTTATCGCTTCTATCAGCGGCAGATTTTCTTGGCCTGAAGAGGCAATATCTGCTCAAAGCAGTGATGCCACGCCTCAAGACACATCCGGTGACGAGAATCAGGAGAATCGGGCCCATCACGAAAAACCGCCAGTTATTGATATCAGTCCTCGCATTGACATCCGTCGCCAAACATTAACGCTTATCCTTGGTCCTGTCGGTTGTGGGAAATCGACTCTTCTCAAGGCCCTGTTGGGGGAGTTGTCAGATTTTGATGGCTCAGTCCAGACTCGATTCTCTGGCGCTGTGACCTTCTGTGACCAAAGTCCTTGGTTGCCGAACGAGAAGATCCGAGACATTATTTGCGGAAGATCAGCCCAAGATACACATATGCTTGAAGAAAAAGAAATAAGCCAAGATTCGGATTGGTACCGTCGAATTATAACCTCATGCGCCTTAGAAAGAGACATTGCTATGTGGCCACAAGGAGACCAAACATCCGTAGGATCCAAGGGGATCTCAATAAGCGGAGGTCAGAAACAACGCTTGGTAAGCTCTCCATGTCACATCCATTTTGTATCTCTCTTTCATTCCACTTTTGGATTTTGCTTATAATGATGCTCAAAAGTCCATGGCGCGAGCGGCCTTTGCTCGCAGTGAATTACTGGTAATGGACGATTGCTTCAGCGGACTTGATGCGAACACTGAAGATACAGTCTTTGACAATCTTCTCAGCCGAGAAGGAATTCTTCGCAAAGCAAATATGACCATTGTCCTTGCGTCTTCAGACTGTGAGTTCATTGCATTCCATTTAACCGTCTGCATCTTGACGGCTTCACACGCCTGTTGACACCGTTTTGTAGATCGTCGCGTCCCATACGCGGATCAAATTATCTTACTGAATGAGCGAGGGCAACTTCAGTATGCGGGTAGTGTCGATGATCTCCAGAAAAATCCAGACTTTAAGAGGCTTTTGGGAGACTCTACCACCAAAGCTATCAAAAGATCAAAAGAGGGCATCACAAAGAACAAGCGCAAGCCAGAGCCTTTAGCAAACTCGGCTCCAAACGCAGTCGCTGCTGAGCTTACAGGAACACTTCAGACAGATGCTGCCCGGCAAATGGGCGACTCAGCCGTCTATAAGTTCTATCTTGAGTCAGCTGGCTGGCCGACAATAATTGCTTTTACCATTGGGATTATTGTCTTTGCATTTTGCGACTCTTTCCCTAGTAGGTCACAATCATTGGAATTTGAGACTTCTACGTGCTTACTGATAAATCTTTCACGCAGGCGTCTGGCTTAAATGGTGGGCTGAATCGAATGAAGAGGATCCCAACTCTGACCTTGGGAAATGGCTTGGTGTCTATACCGTCTTTTCCATAGGGGCTTTTTCCTCATGTTTATTCGCCTGTTGGTAAGATGACTCGGAAGCTTCATTTGGTCCTTGTATATCTAAATTACTGACTCTCCTTTTGAAGGCAGCTGTTCATCGTTGTCATTAACCGATCTGGTCTCTACTTCCACGATATCTTAGTCAACACGGTGGCACGGTAAGAGATGCTACATATATGGCATGTGAATCGTCTGACGCTTAACATCTAGAGCTCCTTTGTCCTATCACACGACTACTGACAGCGGGATTACTGTAAATCGATTTAGTCAGGATCTCCAATTGATCGATATGGAGCTGCCAGCCTCAGCTCTAGGCGTGGTAATAAGTAAGTTTGCAATAGTCGACTAGGCAATTCATCAGGCACCAGCTGCAAGATTTTCTTTTGCAAAAATTGCTTACGGTTCTTGTAGCAATCTCTTTCGGTGTTGCGCAGTTTGTTTTGGTTTGTGCTTCATCAAAGTACATGGCTGCCGTCCTACCATTTCTCTTGGCTCTGCTCTACGCAGTTCAGCACTTTTACTTGCGCACTGCGCGGCAGCTACGTCTCCTTGACATTGAATTCAAAGCTCCCCTCTATTCACAGCTCATGGAAACTGTAGCCGGACTGGTAACTATACGGGCGTTCCACTGGGAATCGCGTTCTGCAGCCAAGTACATGAAGGTTCTGGATAAATCGCAGCAACCAAATTATCTGCTCCTCTGTGTGCAGCGATGGCTAGTGTTTGCAGTGAACATCATGGTTATGCTGCTTGCGGTGATTCTTATCGTCCTAACGACCACTTTGCGGGAGAAGATTGGACCCGGATTCGCAGGTGTCGCATTGAGCAATATTCTTGCATTCAGTGCTACGATGGAAGCAACCATCAGCAGCTGGGTCCAACTCGAGGTTTCTCTTGGGGCAATTGCTCGCATCAGGAGCTTTTCAATGCAGACAAAGAGTGAGGATGACGAGGCTATTGATGCTTTGGCCGCAGAAGGGCGGAATGAGCAGCTCATAGAGCCCAATCTCAACGCATTGGACAGCACATTTTGGCCGAGCAAGGGTCGTATTGGGATTGAGGCGCTCTGTGCTTCGTATCCGTATGTAATACTCTATGAAAGCTCAGCAAACGCGATTACTAACTTGCGTTCCAATAATCAGATCATCTGGGCGCGTTTTGAACGATGTCACTTTATCCATTCAAGCTGGAGAGAAAGTCGGTATTTGCGGCCGAACTGGAAGGTAAGGCGAAATAGCCGTGTACACATGTGTCAACAGAGCACTAATCCTATGAAGCGGAAAATCTTCCTTATTCCTGAGCTTGCTTGGACTTATTGCTCAAGATTCAGGTAAAATTAGTATTGATGGCGTTGATCTGGCGACCTTGCCCCGGGAATATCTACGCACTCGCATTGTTGCTGTGCCTCAAGAGGCATACATCTTGGAGGGAACAGTGCGGCTGAATGCTGATCCTTATCGTAGCCACGATGAAGATGTCCAGTCCACTGCAGTTGACTCTGAGAGGCGCGACAAGCAAATCATCGCTGCCCTTGAACGAGTCGGCCTATGGAAGAAGATTGAGGCCCGAGGTGGCCTTTCCGCAGTTATTGACGAAAAGTTCTTTTCACAGGGAGAGGCTCAATTGATGATGCTTGCTCGCGCAATGCTGCGAGAAGGGGAAAGCAGAGTGTTGCTCTTGGACGAGGCCACTAGCAGGCAAGTATTCCAGCGCATCCCGGATACTGGCGAGGAGATGATACTAACTGATTATACTCCAGCCTGGACGAAGCAACCAGCAATGTCATTAATACTAGCATTCGGACCTGGTTCAAAGACTGGACCATCATCGCCATTGCGCATAAATTAGATGCCATTCTCGACTACGACAAAGTTGCCGTCTTGGACGATGGAAAGTTGGTGGAATTTGACGCCCCACGAAAGCTGTTGTCTCAGCAAAATTCCATCTTCAAGGACTTGTATCTTGTGTCAACCAACCAGTAATCTGTCATCACAAAGCCGGCAACAGACTCGCTGGAAATCTCGACATAAGCTACCCAGCGGTCCCGAGTCGATCGTGATTGAGCATGGTTGGTCGTCCACCTAGAAAATTACTTGTACAATTATACCGCCGGAGTCTACCGCCTTCATATACCACTCACACGACTTTATTAGCATCTTCACTCAGTTTTCAGCGTATAATCATCTCTACTATTTGTCATTTTTACAATAGAATAAAATTTAGTGTATAATAGTCAAGCTTGCAGATATCAAGACTCTTTCGTCCTCCGCTTGCTTCTTTACAAATACGCGGAAATACCTATACGTCCGGAAATACTTCCACAACAATAGTCGAGCGGGGGGGGTTACTAGAATTTACCAGGTAATACTACGGCCATAATATTCCCCCAGTATGGTTTAGAATGAAAGCGCGTTAAAGGGACCCGTCATTGCGAGATAACGGCTGTGACTAATCGTGGCCCCATGCCTGGTAGCTGTATTTGTTCTCAAAAGTGGTGCGCGGCTGACAAAGTCCTGAGAGGCCACTGTAGTGAATAGATTGGGCGCTGTGTTACCGCGCTGAGCTCAAGATAGTGCCTCACTGCTGTCGACGTGAATATTTCTTAATCTCGTCGTATCTCCAAGCTTCATCTGAAGCAATCGCATGGCCTTCCTCTTAGAGCAGCCAAGCTCCACTGCACTGCGTAGAGGCGGGAACTGATTGCACCACCGCCAATCTGCGATCCGATTTTCGCCCAATATTGCACTAAAAACGTAATTCTGCAAGGGGCTTCTGTGGTGGCGGGGACATGCAGCTCGGCTTGAAGCTCTCTTTGGAGCATTGATAACCCGAGCTGTTTCCGTCTGCTCATGTACTTTTGTCTTCTTTCCTGACCTGCCATCAATCAATTTGGCGATACGTTTTGCATCTTCACAATGGCAATTTCCAGGCTCGCCCTGTTCCTGGCGGGAGTCGCAGGCGTCGTCGCAGCTCCCAGCTACGGCCAGGAGCCTCTGAGCTCCATCGCGCCGTCGTCTAAATCCCAGTGCAATCTTCCTCCGATTTTAGATCCGACGGGCGATGGGCTCCCCTCTGCTGATGACCTCTTTGCGTCCAAATCTGCACGAGACCAGCAGATTAAGCGTCTTCAAGCCATTGTCCAAGTTCCCTCTATTTCCTACGATGACAATGGACCGGTTGGTGAAGATAAGCGCTGGGAGCCCTTCTTCGATCTGCACAAAGTCTTGAAAAAGACATTTCCCAACGTGTGAGCCTCGCCTTTCTCAAATGTGTATGTGTATTGATGTCTTGGCTGGATTTGTTAACAAGCTTTAGGCACAAGAGGGCCAAGCTCGAGAAGATCAACACCCTCGGCCTTCTCTACACAATCCAAGGCTCAGATGACAGCCTCAAGCCAGTGCTATTGATGGCCCACCAAGATGTCGTCCCAGTGGCTGACGAATCGACTTGGACATACCCTCCCTTTGAAGCCGTGTACGACGGCGAGTTTATCTGGGGCCGCGGAACCTCGGACGACAAGAACAGCCTTACAGCTATTCTGTCGGCGTTTGAAGCCCTCTTGTCAAACAAAGACTGGGCGCCGAAGCGTACTTTCCTACTTGCTTTCGGATACGATGAGGAGTGTTCCGGCTTCCGTGGCGCTGGCGAAATCTCTGCACACCTCAAGAAACAGTATGGCCAAGACAGCTTTGCCGCCATCCTGGATGAAGGTGGCCTTGGATTGACGCAAGTCGACAATGTCCTGTACATCCTCCCGGCCGTCACCGAAAAGGGCCATGTCGACGTTTTCTTTGAGCTGGACGTCGTTGGTGGCCACAGCTCTGTTCCTTTCCCTCACACCGGTATTGGTATTATTGCGGAAATCGTCAGCGAGCTGGAAGCCCATCCCTTCCAGCCTGCGCTGATCGAGGACGGTCCAGTTCACGGCCACTTGAAGTGCCAGGCGCGCTACTCGCCTGAGGCATACCCAGATCTCACGCGCTTGGTTCAACGAGGCGACTTGGATGGTATTGCGCAGTGGCTGGTCGAGGCTGGCCGAAACACGCAGTACATTGTTCAGACTTCGCAGGCCGTGGACATAATCAACGGCGGGCAAAAGATTAATGCCATGCCTGAAAAGACTATCCTGGGCGTAAACTATCGAGTTGCCCACCAGAATAGTATTGCCGAAGTGCAGCACAATGCCGTTCAACGCGTCGACAGCATCATCAACAAGTACGGCCTAAAGCTTAAGCCATTTGAAGATGACGAAGAATATGAGAAATACGTCGCTAGTGTTTCACCCGAAGTTCTCGAAAAGGCTGGTTCAAGCAATGTCGACTACAAGGGCACCTTGGTTCTATCAACCAAGGGCAATTTCCACCCCAGCCCCATTTCTCCCACCAGTGGCCACGCTTGGGATGTCTTTGCCGGCACTCTTCGACACAGCTTTGCTTTCGACAACGGAACCGTGGTTCCCACCGGAGAGATTATGACGGGCAACACTGACACTCGTCACTATATTGGTAAGTTGTGCGTATTCCATGTCGTGAGTAAATTTAGCTAAAACATCAAACAGGACTTTCAGAAAACATCTGGCGCTTCACCCCTGATCGATTTCATGCGGAAAACAACATCCATACCATTGACGAGCACGCTCGCGTGGATGGCCACATTGAGATGCTCAAGTTTTACTACGACTTTGTGCGCAACTTTGATGCCGCGAAATTTTAAATAGTCTCTTGGAAGAGAAAAAGCGTTTATAGTCAACAATCTGGACAATAATAAGTGATGATTTGTTGAACTAAGCTTCACTTTTCTCAACTGCAATCTTCTTCATACCCATGGGTCGCATGATTTCCTATTATGGCATATTCCCAATGCGACGTAGAGCCTGAAGAACATAATTCATCCACTTGCAACTCAGCAATCAAGTCAATTCTCCTCATAGTTGGTATAAGTGAATAAATCTCATGCTTTATATGCTCAGGCTGGCATGTATAATTGTCACTCGTCGGCAATGAGGTACAGCGGTACTTCCTTAACCGGCTTATCGAAATTGGCCGAGGGTAAATCGCGCTGCTCCGATTCGCCAGAAATGTCGGGGAACTCCCCCACAAAGACCGAAAACGCTCTCCGCGATCCCCAGAGCCGAAGCCGGGGAACTGCTTAAGCAAACCGGGAGACTCACGCGCAGTTCAAGGAAGATGTCAGTTTCGAGGAACCTTTGCAAAAAGTATTTCCATCCATCATTGGCATTCCCGCATCCGCGAAATTCGCATCTCGGCTCCCCACATAACTCTAATTGAGCCGAGTCAACAGCTCCCAGACAGATTTGGCAGATAAGCCGTGCTGTCATATCTTGTGTTATCTACAATCTCATTCACACACCGCGGAACAGAAGCCGAGTGGAGCGATGGGCTCTTCCAATTCAGACGGCGAGACTTCATCAAGTCCGCCGCTACTACGCGCGCGACTGCGTGCCAGCCATGCCTGCACTGTCTGTAGAATTCGCAAAGTCAGATGCGATGTTGCAGTGACTGGATTTCCGTGCACAAATTGCCGGTTGGACTCTGCCAATTGCAAAGTGTTGCCGCGAAAGCGAAAATGGTGAGTTGCTGTCATGTGGAGAGAGCTCTTGTTGAATGCCTGTTACTAAAGTTACTTTGCATAGGGAACAAAGAGTAAAGCGCGTGTTTGATCAAGAGGCAAAGGAGAAACTATCGCAATCCCGACCCATAGATGTAGAAAAGGCAAAACCTTCACAAGCAGTGTACCCAAACCTCCAGCCCCAAGCAGCAACTAAAAACGACCAAGACATGGACAGCTCGAGCTCGTCCAGCCCATCAGTCAAGATCGATCCATCCTTAACCCCGGCGTTCCAACAAGAGGCATCGGAGTTTAGTAAAGAAGCTTTAAACGCAAACTTTAGCTTCGCAGATGGTACCATTGACCCAAGCAAAATAGGACAGCAAGATGGCTTCGGCATTGGCAATCCTTGGGGAACGGGATATGACAAAACTACCATCTTTGGACTGCAGCCGCCAGCACGTCTCGTACCTTATTCCAACTACAACTTTGTCGATGCTGGATCCCTCTATCAACTTAGCCATATCGATGTAGCGTACTTGACAGAAAAGGGCTGTCTCACCTTGCCTGCGGAAACAGCACTAGAAGAGTTCTTCCATCAGTATTTCTCACATATTCATCCCATTATACCTCTGGTCAGCGAGGCGGAGTTTTGGGCAGCAGACGCTCGCATTCCTCTTCTTTTGATCCGGGCAATGCTGTTCATATCATCTCCTGTAAGTTCAACGAGGGCACCATGATGTATTGGAATCTTCTGAGCCATATAGCTGACATTTAATAGTACGTGTCAGCATCAACGCTTCTCAGTCTTGGGTATAACAGCGTACAAGCAGCTCATCTTGAACTATATACGGCTGCAAAGGTCAGTTTGCCATTGCTCCATCCATCACTTGGCAGCATCTAACCATCTCCGATACGCTTCAGACCTTGACCCAATTCGACATCCACAGAGACAATGTCGTCAGCGCCCAGGTAGCGCTCCTGCTGACCTATTACACGCCCGCGCCGAGCGATACCACAAACACATACTGGATGGTAAACGCAGTCCACTTTGCCCGTTGCGCCCACGCAGACCAGTATCACACACTAAACGACGGCAATCCCGCGAAACTACGGCTAAAACGACTGTGGTGGACCTGCATATTGCGAGACAGAGTCATTTCCTTGAGCTTGCGAAGACCATTGGTCATTGGATGCGACGAATTCGACTTTAGCCAGCCGGGACTCCTTCTTGCCGACTTTTCAGACGAACTAGGAGTCTCTACAGTGTATGACCGGCCGACAAGACAGATTATAGCACATTTCATATCGGCATTTTGCGAGATTGTCAACCCCTTGAGCATGGCCCTTGCGATACTCTACCCAGCGGCTGGCCCCAAGATCGTCACCTCAGAGACAGACACTGGAAGGGAGTCCGATGCCTGTGCTGAAGTTGTCGGGCTCTTGGACGTTTGGTATCAGAAAACAAGAGAACGATTTGAGATTTCTACTCCATCGATTGGCGTCCACAAATCTGTGACAATGTTCATCAAGATGACATTCATCTACTACTTGTAAGACTGCTTCCGCCCCAAGACAAGACGTACACTGACATCCTCAAGTGCTGCGAGAGCAAGTTTGTGTTATCACATGATGCTACTATCCGTATCCAATCCTAGCCACGCATCAGATACCAAGAAGAACGATCTCCAAGTCCAGGCAGAGATGGACTCAGCATTAAAGGGAATCACTGGCATGTTTATGCAGTTAGCCCGTCTAGGCCTTGTCCAGTATCTTCCAAACACATTGTAGGCAAACTATAACCCCTTGCTTCGAAACTCAAGGCTAATTCAAATCTCTAGCGTTACCTTTACCGCTATTCCGCTCATCTGGCAAGTCCTAGATGCAAAGATACTAAACACTGGCGCGCCCGCCGCAGACAACATGCGCGATCTCATGGTCTACACCAACGTCATGAACAAATTCCGAGGCCTCCACGAAAACGCAAACAACGTCTTGAAATTTATAAAACAGCTAATTGCTCACATTCAAACAACAGAATCTGCCGAGATCATGCAGCATGAGCTGCTGTTGGCAGATTCTTCTTTCCCGCCAGAACTGCTGTCAAGCTTCCTGCCTGATGGGAAGACACAAGACAGCATCATCACCCACGAGCCGAAAAATAAATGGGCAAAGTTATTCGCCGGAAAACCACGGACCTACCTACGGATCGCATTAACGATTCAACATTCTCTCTCCAGCGGCAATTTCCCATCGGAGGAAGACTTTCCCAAGGCACTACAAATGGTGAGATTTGCAGAGGAGACAATGGATAGTGGCGTTGACGTTGGGCTGTACAAATATTTGCAACATATGGAGGATTTCTTACTATCTGCTTAGTGATAATTAGCGCGGTGTCTGGGAAAGAGGGACTTTTTATTCTTATTAATATGCTTGAAATAAAAGCCATTGGTAAATCGACCTATACGTAATGTGCACATTTTCTCCATCTGAGAGTCAAAAGAGGTTGTTGCAATCTCTATGTACCCGGATATGTGCGGAAACGTGCGCTGCATGAGACTTGCCACCCATAATCTTTCAAAGCTAAACTCGACATCGCTCTAGATATTCATCCAATTGGCCTCCTCAACATGTATAAATAGTACTACTAATAAATAACAAAAAAAAAATTGCGTGAGGCGTGGAGCGAGAGCTGGATCATAATATTGAAACGACGCGCAGGAGACAGTTTAGCGGATAGAGAGATAAGCAGCGCGCCCATCTGAAATCATGGCATTTCGTAAATCTATGCAAGCACGTGCAACGCATCGTTTTTTCCCATCTCATATCCAACAGATGAAAGCCTCGGAAATACTTGGTAGAAAAACTATAACCAAATATCTAGTGTGATGCGCCTCCACTTTCGACCTCTTCCTTGGTGTAGCCATAAGCCGTCAATGACTTTCCATCAATTTTGACAGGCGTAGCAGCTATTTTCATTGTAAGACAGTCTTCTCAACAAACGACAGATTTCATGGCTGCTTTTCTTACCTGATAAGACAAAGTACAGGCGAGCGGGTTCCTCTGAGTAGTTTGTCCATCCGTGAATCGTGCCGCGCTGGACGCACACATCGCCAGGCTTCATATCGATGCGGACGCCATCATCGAGATGGCTACAAATAGATGGTATTAGCAATTAAATTTTAATTTACATATTAAAATAGAGAAAGAGAGAGGCAATGTACCAGGAAACTTCTCCATTGAGAAGGATGCCGAAATCTAGCGACTCCGTCCGATGGAACAACTGCCGCCATTCTTAGTATCTGCGCCTGAACTGAATACCCCGCCTCGGGCCCTGGATCTTGAAATAAAAAATACTGTTACCGTTTCCACTTTTGGTGGGATGTCGACAACCCGGAGAATAATCCCCTTGTTGTTCGACAAGTCAGTGGTTCGCGTCTTGGTAGGATCAACCCATTCGTCGTTGGAGGCTGGGAATTGGTGCGTCTCATAGAGCACCGCAAAGTTGGCCCCCGTCGGCGTTGGGACGCAAGGAATTGGGCTGTCGGCAACAACAACTGCTCTGCCTTGCGAATTGTGGCCGGTGACAATCCGCCTGGGGTCTGGGAACCAAGAAGTCATGTTGAAGCTGTGAATATTATCGCGGCTGCGTGTGTTAATGATATGGTATGGTGAATGCGTACAATGCAAGGTGTCCGTGAGTATATACAGGAATTGAACTCATCAACATTAGACTGCAAATCACATGACGCAGCTTCCAAGACATGCAGCGCAACGACGATGTGCGGTGTAGCCGCAGATTACTTAACAAGTGTGTGCTACTCTACTAAGCATTGTCGAACTCTGTTACCTGTTTGCCGATCGTTATCCGACAAACCAAGTAGCTTGCAGTATCCTATGGCTGTGATAACTCAACAACTGATGACAGGATAAGCTCTAATACGCAAGCTTCACATTGCAAAGTGAATTTTGTTGGGGACCATAAGCAAACTGGAGAACATGAGGGGCACCAGTGTAAGACCAATGGGTTGCCTAACAGGCCCTATCAAGATTAGCGAGAGGCAGAATAGGCTAACGCTGGATCTGCTAATTGGCCATAAAAGCGCATTCTGCTACCTGTACTCGTGGTAAGTCGTGTATCACAATATAAGCGAATCGTTGACTGAGTAGCAATCACGTAGACATGCGCTTGATGTTCCTGATAGATGGGCTGTACCTGCAATCACGCATGTTAATTGTATGCGATATCGGCGCTTTCTGCGGCTTCTCACCCAACTTTAAGCGGCGCCACGCCACATACAACACGAGGCGAATTGCATGTATTGGGAATTAGCACTAGCAGAAAACGCCACTGGGTAAGTGGCAATGCTACAACGGCTGAAGACAAAAAAGGGCCTAATAAGTGAAAAATGACCAACTGCTTTTGATTTCACTTTGGTATGAAAGAGGATCCAGGGCTGTAGCAGCTCTACCACACCACAAATCGTTCTTCCAAGTACGAAAGGCTGATGAAGAAAGGGCAGGAATTTATACGCCTTCTTACATGATTTAGACAAGCCACGCCAAGCAAATGGGTAAATGCCACTTTTCGACGCCACACCCTAATACCTCTAGCAAGTCTAGTAAGCATAAATTGTCATCTAGTACACGATAGCGCTAGCGAATAACAATCAAAGCCGTTCATATAAAGATGCTAGAGAAAAGATCGCCCTTTGATGGTATTTATGAAATTCAAACTGTGACGAATAGCACGACTATGCCGCTCGTATTTACTCGAAAGGTAAATGGCCTGATTCATATAGGACCCATGCTCTGTAAACATCGCAACAATACCTGTCGCAGCATGCGATTGCCACATTTCTATCTGTGATTTAAGATGCATGTATAGGTATGGAATCAGCCCATTGCCCAGACAGACATATTAACTTGGCGTGGCCACTGCCATTCAAAGGCTGCAATTAGTAAAGCCGGCGGCATCGTGGATTCTTCTTTGGGAAGCTGGTGCTATCTTGGGTAACTACCATCTGCGGCTAGTCTGCGGATCAAGATCGCGCCGCGTATCGTAGAACAGGCCTTCCATCTGTATGTGCAATTTTGGCTAGCTTCGGCCTCTTGATGCCGGAAATCATGTGGAGCTTCTTCGGGCGATGCATTGAGTCCGCGTGAAGAGCCTGAACCTGGGGCTGGTAACATGTATTGAGTCGGATAGGACACCTGCCAGATCCGTTTGCGCTGCGTTCTCAGAGTAGACAGTGGAGAAGGTAAGTATCGTGAAGGATAGTATGTACTTAGGATCACACAAAATCGGTACGATCCGTTTAACAAAGGGAGAGAGATACACGCTGACAAATACGCTGGAACCTCCAAGTTGCAATTGCTGTGTTTGGCATGTGTGCGGGCGTGAGTCCCACTAGCGCATCTAGCCAGCGGATAGCCAAACAAATAGTGTCCGAGAAATAGAGACTGCGGACAAAGACATGTAGATACTATATCGAAATCATGGGCAGCAGGGCATCGAGCAAAGCGGGGGATAGTCATTGGCGTCAACGCGGTGCGCATAGTTGAGGAATTGTGTGCTGATTGTTTGATAGATCCCTGCCTCTAGACATCCGCTTGCCTAGGGTAACTCATATAAAAGAGTTGCCGAGGCCGAGTTTCATGAAACTCCTCAATTCTTCTCCATAATTTTGTCCTTCTGCGCAAACGTACGACAATCAGTCTGGACCTCTCAGCATAGCGCTTCGCTCTGAACCTCTCATACGCGATACAAAACAAAGACTCTGAGCTCAGTCTCAATTTTGTTCGCCATGTTCAAACGAATCGGCAATATTTTGACGCAGGGTTTCCCACCGAAGCCTACTTTCACAGAGAATCACTTGGGCGACCTATCTGACAAGGTCAGTTAAATCTTCACAACGTAGCATCTTTGCGTGTACCCTTTCATTCGTCCTGCTAATGTCGATTATGCCCACTCGAGCAGGTCTTTATCGTCACTGGCGGATACTCAGGCGTAGGATATCAGCTCTCAAAACTGCTTTATGCCAAAAACGCCGTTGTCTATATCGCAGGGCGCCGCGAAGATGCCGGCCAAGATGCTATCAAATCCATCAAAGGAGCCCATCCCGACTCCAAGGGAAGGCTGGAATTCCTGCTACTTGATCTAGCCGATCTTTCCACCATCAAAGCCGGCGCAAACGCTTTCTTGGAAAAGGAGACGAGACTCGACGTTCTTTTCAATAACGCAGGAATCATGCGCTTGCCTAAAAAGGCTCCAACCAGGTCCAAACAGGTAGGTCGCATTCTCTCTCTATTAACAGATGTGGTCACACTATGAGATGCTTACCTATTTTTCGTCTAGGATCATGAAATAATGATGGCTGTCAACTGCCTCGGCCCCTACCTCTTCACAAAGCTCCTGCACCCAGTCATCGAATCAACAGCCAAATCGTCACCGGCAGGCAGCGTCCGTGTTATTTGGCTGGGGTCTCTTATGATCCAATTAATGGCGCCAAAAGGTGGTATGGATCTCGACAACCTGGATTACAAGAAGAAGTGGTTAGATGAGTATACCAGATACTCAGCCAGCAAGGCTGGAAACCTTTTCATCGGTAGTGAATGGGCTAGACGAGATGCCGACAATGGAATTGTGCATTTGGTAAGCAGATGTGTTCCAAGATGTCATGTCTGATGGTTTCAAGCGTTCTAACAATGTGCCGACATGATAGACTGTCAATCCTGGTAATCTCAAAACACCACTGCAGCGCGACGTGTCTGCGCTCGAATACTATTCAATGGTAAGCCATTGCTTTTGCAGAACCTTGGGAAATACATATCACGCTAATTCTTGGAGTAGGCACCAGCCCTGCATGATCCCATCTACGGCGCATACTCGGAGTTATTTGCTGGCCTATCTCCAGATGTCAAGCCAGAGCACAGTGGACAATATGTCATGCCTTGGGGTCGATTTGGCCCAACTCGTCCAGATGTTGACAAGTCCCTGTCTCCACAAGATGGAGAAGACATGTCCAAGGCTGGGAAATTCTTCGAATATTGCGACAACCAGACGAAATCCTTTGCATAGGAATCTATGCGATTTGAAGTATTGGTCAAGCTTGGCTTGCATCTGTGCAGGATAAGGGAATACCAATGATGGAGGAATGTTGCTCGGAAATGATACCTACCTTTTGAAATTTTGTTTGAAGCCAGAAAATTGAAAATTAATGGGAGAAACAGAGAAAGCATTCCCTTTCAGTGTGTCCTGACCAGTGGGCGATTTTCTATAATCACACTCGAGGGTGCTAATACTAAGTGTCAAAATTCATGAGGGGTAGATCTTGATCTCGTTTGACGAATTGAACCACCGTTTCAAATCTTTCACGCTGGTCAAGCGATCGATCATCTTTCAAGGGAGAGAGGCGCAAAAAGGAGAAGACTCAGGCCCTGACGATCATCGGAAGCGGAATTGATTCAGTGCGTCAATAAGATCGGCAGATCCTGATTTCGCTACGTTCTCTCAATGGCATAGCAAATGCGATAACAAATTGATACACTCATATACACAGTAGTGTTGAAACAATAAGAAAAGAGAAAGAGGTTTGCATAGTTCATTACAGACTGCAAGGGGAACAGAGAGAAGCAGTGTTATGCGGGTCAAATAAAACCAGACCGTCGGTGGCTGGATCTTTGTATACCTTCAAGATGTACGATTTGATACACCAAAAGGAATTGTGTCAAGCAGATTAAGATGACGTTTGAGGTTCAGATAGGCTAAGACAAGTTGTATCAAGATGTTTGAGGTACTCGATTTGTCGTGCATTATAATGGACTGACGGGATGGCACCCATCTGAAACTTTGACCCATAGGGCAAGTCATGGTCGTACTCACAGATGCAAAGCGATAGCAGCTGTGCTCCTGACGCCCATGATAACTGTGCATGAAACGCCTTTTTCAGTCGGCAATGAATCGTGCCGTCCACGTCCGTTCAGGAGTAGTCTCGGTAGATCTCAACCACGACCTTCAAGTAGTGCGGCCATGTGGATACAGATATTAATAGCATGGCACCAAAACATGCACGCGCAAGCTTGCAGGCTTAGCAGCATGGCTGTCTAGGCGAGAACAAGATTTCTTGATCTGCTTTCCAGCCCCAACGTGGGCCGTGTGGGTTTCATCCCGCTGCGAGTACGGGTCTTCATGCTAAGCTTTCCGGCCATGAGCAGTGGAGGACCCCTGGAGAGCTTGGATGGGTCCCGCCGGCAATGGCCTTGGAACCGGTGATATTTTCCCCTTGGGCGCAAAAGAACCGATTGTTGGGCAGCAATCTCAAGACTGCGAGTCGTATTGGTCGTTCGACTATCGCATGTTGGCGGCCAAAGTCAAGGATCGGTGAAGGCGATGAAGATTTTGCATAAGTCTGGCTCCTGATATCTACGCGCTAATAGTCAGCGTAGATAGGCGCCGGGGGTTCATCCGATAGGCGGATTCCCGCTGCAAGTGAGATGGAAAGATTCGAGAACAAAGCTCAGCTGCTTGGCGTCCTCTGGCGTTGGTCCTTGTTGAGAAGATCCTAGCAAGACTCTTATCGAAGAAGCTAAGGGCCAGACTAGATGGAAGAGGTTAATTGACACGGAATTCTCTGGCCAGGGGGGATTGAAAGAAAACCTGGAAAGAAAAAAAAATTAAAAGTGGTGCGTATTGTTTAAACGAACCCCCAGTCAGGTTCGCCACCAACGCAAAAGGCTTTCGCCATGAGGCGCCACGGGCGCATATGACTCTGTGGCCACAAGATAGCACGTTCTTACCTGCCATCGACATCAGTGGCAGTTGAATACGAGTTTGCGAGTATGCCATCAATACGCAAGCAAATCGTAACAACGACGTGCTTGGCCACGGCTTGCGGAGAGTCAAGGTAGAGTCAATGGAGAATCAATGGAGAATTGATGGAGAAACCATCTCGCCTCGCAGCTGATAACCTGATATTGAGGCTGCACGTGCACTATCTAGCGATAAGCTCATCACCGGCGTAGCCCAAAGAGGCAACCCGGGCGGCTACACGGTCCCCTGCACCTCCATATCGCTGCCAAAACTTGGCCAGCAGAACCGCTTTTCAGGTCCACCTGCAAAACTTGTCTCTATCACGCACTCATTCTTCGCATCTTGTCTGACCCGCTGCCTTGGCTAGCCTGCCTGTTCCTTGCTGCGGATTTCGTATCATCGATGACTATGCGCCCGACGTTCGGCGGCCGCGTCCAAACTACCGATTGACTAAACTCGGCAGGTCGCAGCCAGGAATGACGAGAAATAAGCTGGTGATACTGACAGCATGGCACATATGGCGGTAGGGCCAGGCGGGACGGCCGTCATGCGATGGAGATGGACAAAGAGCCACCGATGATCACGGAAGCCAATGGATGCTGCCGCAGACCAGCCGATCATGACAAGCAAACACGGATTAGCCACTGCGTTGAGGATGGAATCATGGCATGGCACTGACAACGGGATATGGAGCATGGTGGACAGATGGAAAAGCAAAAAAACCGGGGATGCAGAGCTGGCGTCCGCCATGTTCCTGGGCCTGCCAAGCGCACGCCTCGCATGCAGAAGCTTCCGCACCGGCCTCTGGCATGCTCGCGGACGTTGGGATTCCTCTCTGGAGACCCCCCACCCTTCGTTTCGCCATCGTGGCTGTAATTGCAAATCTAACAGGCCCGGGACCCAGACAAGCTTTTGCTCGCTGACACGGCACCCAGCCGCTATCAGGGATCACCAGGGAGGGGCATTCCAGACGAGCCGGGAGAGCCAGCCATTACTCATGGCAATTTTTTCTCTCTTATTTACATGTGCTACGCAGCTGTGGTAGCTCGTCTCTCCCAAATCATGCTGCATCATCTCCCTTTCTCTGGCTTGAAGCCCCTCCCTAAACCCTGAAACAGGTCTCAGAGCCGACGATACTGAGAGGCAGCACGCCACAGCAATGTCAACAGACCCCAGAGACTATGGAGACGTTAGCGAGATCACTACGCCTGGCCGTAAAGGCAAGAAGCGTGTAGTCTGGAGCGAGGATGAATCGAAGCCGTCGTCGTTGAGGTCGTCTGCGAACCTCTCGGTTGGTCCATTCGGGAGGGAGATTGCCTCTCCTAGCAGTGGTGACTGGCTCTTGGACCAGAGCCCGCCTGTTGGATATTTCGAACACTCGCCCCAGGCATCACCAAACCTACAGCCCTCTGACTCGGGGCCACCAGATGCTCAGGAATTGAGACTTGCCTTAAACATGGTGCTGCTGACGGAGGAGCAAAACTCACCCGAATTACGAGCGTCACCGGCACAAGCATCGACTCCCGTCCCGAAAGCTGGAGAATCCACTACGCCAAAAGTGCCAAGACCAGTCTTGAAGCGCAATACCAGCTACAATGTCCGTCAAGAACAAGAGGAAGCAGACAAGGCGGAGGAGCATGTCACAGAACGGCAGCTTCGATCCATGACGGATGCACGGCAACGAGCAGATCGCCTGGCTGTAACGCTGGGCTCGTCTTACTCCCGGTCTGCCCCAGGTTCAAGACGAAACTCGATTGAGCTTCAACGATCATTCCAGCCCGTCCTCAAAGTCTCAGACCATACTGATCGAGACTTGGATGATGACGCTGCTACCACGACTAGCCCTACGTCTACTCTCCGGGAATACACGCCTCACAGCACGTACTCTACCACACATCGTACCCCCCATAGCTCCCGCCTGTACCAGCCACATGAACACGATAGAGCAGAGTCGATCGTGAGCTCCCATGATAAAGACTACCTTTTCCATCCACAACCTTCTTCATCCGGCAGATCAACTCCGGTCATCATGCAAGCCTACACCCAAGACTACGTCCCGAGGCCATCAAGATATCGTGGAGGCATCCTTTCCTCTCTGCTCAAGCTTCATCGCGATGACAACGGCGCCAATCGAGGCCAAAGTAGCAGCGGGTTCAGCACTCCTGTTACGACACCATCAACTCCCGTCATGTCTCCACAACATTCGCCCTCGTCTTCCAGACGGCCTTCTACCGTCAGTACCGTTCGATCACGATCATCTAGTCGTCTGAGAGGCTATCACAAATCCAAAGGTTCGACTTCTTCACTGGCATTGGGTGAGCTATTCAAGTCATCCACCATGTTTGCCGCTCCTGGTTCCAGCGAAATATCCGATCATTTTGGTGAAAAGAGGAAGAAGGAAAAGAAGTCAAAGAAGGAGCAAATTCGAATCACCGTTCACATCGCTGGCACAATTGCACGTCACAGGTATCTCTTGAAGCTATGTCGCGCCCTCATGATGTACGGTGCTCCAACGCACCGTCTTGAAGAGTACATGAGCATGTCCTCCCGCGTTCTCGAAATCGAAGGCCAGTTCCTTTACATGCCATCTTGCATGATTATCAGCTTCGATGACAGCTCTACCCACACGGCGGAAGTTAAAGTGGTTCGGGTTCCCCAGGGAGTTGATCTTGGCCGCTTACGAGATGTTCATAACATCTACAAGGACGTCGTTCATGATAAGCTTGGCGTAGAGGAGGCTACTAGGCGCCTCGACAAGGTCATGGATCGGAAGCCCAAGTTCAAGACCTGGTTTCGTGTGTTCATGTATGGCCTCGCCTCAGTTTGCGTGGCTCCATTCGCTTTCCAGGGCCGCTTCATCGATCTGCCAGTTGCCTTCCTTCTAGGTTGCTTAGTTGGACTTCTTCAGCTCGTGTTTGCCCCCAGCAATGAGCTTTATGCCCACGTTTTCGAGGTCTCTGCTGCTGTCATTACAACATTTTTAGCCCGTGGCTTTGGCTCTATCAACGGTGGGAAACTATTTTGCTTCAGCGCCTTGGCACAGAGCAGCATTGCCCTTATTCTCCCCGGCTACATGGTGCTCTGCGGCTCTCTGGAGCTTCAAAGCCATAACATTGTCGCCGGTAGTGTCCGTATGGTGCATGCGGTCATCTACACTCTGTTTCTCGGCTACGGCATCACCATTGGAGCCTCCTTGTACGGCATGCTTGACAGCGAAGCGGCTAGTGCCACGACTTGCGACAATCCTCTCAGCGCCAACCGCGCATGGTCCATCCTGTTTGTTCCGGGCTTCACGCTCTGTCTGTGTATCATTAACCAGGCTAAGTGGAAGCAGACACCCGTCATGACCATCATGTCTCTGGCTGGTTTCTGTGTCAATAGCTACTCGAGCCAGTACTTCCAAAGCAACAGTCAAATATCCAACATGCTTGGCGCGCTGACCATTGGCATCTTGGCCAACTTATACTCACGACTTGGACGGCACGTGCAAAACGCTTGGCTGGATCTCGTAGAGTGGTGGCAAGCAAGAGTCCAGCCGCGATTCTCCAAGAGGAAGCCGACCATGCCCCCTCTACCTGATGTGGAATCCAGCGCAGGGCCACCTCCAGAAGAAAAGCAACGCCTACCCAGGAAAGTGGGATATAGTCTTGCTGCTGCTGCTATGCTCCCAGCCATCTTTGTCCAGGTGCCTTCTGGTCTAGCTGCAAGTGGCTCCCTGTTAGCTGGTATCAACTCGGCAAATCTTTTGAACAAAAACACTACAGAAACTTCCACCAGTTCCCAGATTGACGGTACTGCATTTACAGTTTTATTGAGCGTCATTCAAGTCGCAATTGGCATCAGCGTGGGCCTCTTTTTGAGTGCCTTGATTGTATATCCACTTGGCAAGAGGAGAAGCGGTTTATTCAGCTTCTAATTGTTTATTGTTGCCATTTTGTTTTTTTTTTTACTTTTAAACCTTGTCCTTCTTTTCCTTTTATTTTTCTATTTGTTTTTCATTCATTCCTTTTTAGCAAGCAACACCAGCGAAGCAACGAAATTCCTTTTTCAGTATAGCAGACTTTTGTTTAAGCGACTTGCAATTTTTTATTCGACACAGCAAACTTGAAATCTACAATGTTATTCGACATATTCCATAAGGTGTACAGGAACAAGACGATGGGAGGGAAGGATAGGAGTTTCATATCTTGCAAACACGATTTAATACCCAGTATCGGCGCAATTGAAATATATACAAGAATTCTTTTTGTTTGGGCTCAAGGCGTCAGCGAATTGTATCACTGTTTTTTTTTTTTAAATGTATCATCTTTGCTCTCGATTTTTGTGCAGGGGCAGAGAGTCGGATCACATACGCGAGGTATAGCATGCTTGTTCTAAGCGATTGTGTGGGGTCTCACAATGAAACAGATAGATATTAGACATCTAGAGGCTAGATATCGTTTTACATTATACAATTTGGATAGATGGGAACCAACACCTACTTTGATGTTTCCAGCTACGGAGAATTCTCCCTAAAGCGAGTATCCTAGACACTAGATTATATGGCGATGAAATGTGACAGCCCTTCTATGTAAATTACGCAGCACGGCACCTTATACTAGCCACATGCTCATACTTTCTATCGCCTATTCATTGGCTCTCTCCCACCATCGTGGCTACTTAGCTACTCGACTCACTCCTTTCATATACTTTTTACGCAAGGGAAACTCGAATGGAATGGACCAAATACGCTAGTTCCAGATCCACGTGTATCAAACGACACCCCAGGAATCAGCTGGACTTGAAGCAGAGCCGTCTGGAGGTTGGGATAGGATATGTAATACTTGGGACGAATATGCGGGGGAAGAGACATACCATGCTCAAAGCAAAGGGGCATATGCGGCCCAGTGGAAGTGAAGCTTCTGATTGTCCAGTCTATCGAGAATACGATGGCATGTCTAGAAGAAGAAACGCATAGGACAAGACATGGACATACAGCTATGAGAGGAGAAGCACACATAAGAAAGACGCATAATATTGATGGATTTACCTGGAGGCCTCAAAGGGTCTTCATCTCATGATACCGCGGCAAGAAGGGTTTAGCTAATCTGGGACACAAACTCCCCATCTGGAACTTTTGGAAACTGACGGTTGGCATGTGTTCACTCCGGCATTCATGTCTCATCGTATACGAGCAAGGGTGTTGAATCTCGTATAACGCGGGGGAGAAGGGGGCGTCTGGCTACATATTACGTGATGTTGTAGGGTTGTCCATTCTTCCGCTTTTGGGTTGTCGGTGGCCTTGTGATGTCTTGGTATGTTCTACGCTTTGTGAAGTATTCTTCCTTACTCCTATTCTCCTGTTGCTAATAGGTCTGTAGGCTTGTCCTAGTGGTGGTATAATAGTAGTAGGTGATATACTTGCAAATGGAAGCTAGCTGAAGGAGATTGTATAATTCTGTAGTGTCGAGGAATGGACAAGGGGATGCTACTAGATGCTGGTGATAGCATGGGTTATATTACGTTGATGAGTTTATATCGCACGCTTAAGATATCCAACTTGGCGTTCAAGCATAATAATCCAACAAGGTACAATGCGCCAGGCAAACTTCTGAGCGCCAGATAATATATTATGCAGTAAAAAGAGAAAACTCACCGAGTTTTTCATGTCTTTAATCCGGACTTGATACCAGCTGACTTTGCACCTCACATAGCTCTGATATTCCCTGATATTGGTTCGATATTTACCCTAGAAACACGACAAAACTTTAGTCATGTTGATGCATCTCAAGCGCACATACGAAATCAAAGTAACTACTGCTTCGGAAATAAAATGCAATGGAATTTCAATTGCGAATTTGTACTGAATTTTCTCTTACTGAAGAGGAAGTAATATGGTATCAATGAAGGCAAATAACATGTATTTAGTTCATGTTGGTGCTGCTCGAAGTGAATCATTAGCTTATACGCTAATTCTGTTATCAGAGTAGCCTTTTATAAGTCTTATTTGACAGAGCGTATCATATCCAATAATCGGCCAAATGGTCTAGTGGTATGATTCTTGCTTTGGGCTTCCAACTCAACTGCAAGAGGTCCCGTGTTCAATCCACGGTTTGGCCCCAAACCTTTCTTTTTGCATTTTCCTGCAATTATTGTTATAATATTTTCCTAGAAATGAATATATTAGATCCAGCTTTCATTTTTGTCCAGTTCTTATGAAAATCTCTTTTTCTACGGCTAGGCTTGGAAGTGTTGGCTGCTTTTCTCTACTCTTTGTTGTTTGGCTTCTATTCAGATCATAGGTACCTTGCATAGTACATGTAATCTTTCAAGAGCAGGATACACATTCTTATATTGTCTTAGCATTTATAGTCATTCAATCTAATACCTCGAGCATGGCATATCCCTTATGCGAAACTGCCTTCCTCACCAACATCAACGGATTAACCTTCTCCTTCTTCTTCGCCACCTTTTCGGGCTTCTCTTCATTACCCTCCTCGTCCATCTTCTCAAAATCATCCTCTTCCTCCTCTTCCTCCTCTTCCTCCTCTTCCTCCTCTTCCTCCTCTTCCTCCTCTTCCTCCTCTTCCTCCTCGTCAAACATCCCATTGTCCATAAACACCTTCAGCATGCCCTGCGAATAGCCACTCACCATCGCCGTGCCCATCTCTTCCGCAAGCACAGGCTTCGGCGCCGTCTCATCGCCTCCGCCACCGGCACTATAGCCCGCCCTTCCACCCGCAAGATTCCAAAATACCAGCTCGGGCATCTCGTAGCCGTGCTCCTCGTACTTCTTCTTGATCCTCTCGTAAGAAGACGCAGACCACGGTTCGGGCTTCTGATCATAAGTGTGTTGATACCCTTTCGCCTGGTCAAACTGCATGTCGCTAAAGACAAACACGCGCTTCACCATGTCTTCTTGCTTCAAATTATTCTCAATGGCCGTTGGGAGAATCAGCTTTTCAAAGACGGCGACAAAGTCTGTGTTGGCTCCCCAGTCTGATTGCTTAATCGCGGCGACTTTCTCAGACAGCGTCTGGGCCGTGTCAATGGATATCATTCTGGGATGAGAATGGAATAAGATGAAGTTGCCGCCGAATGGAGGCTCGGTCACCTCGGCGACTAACAGCGACAGTCCAACCGCAGAATCCATGGGCGTCGTCTTGTCCCTGAATCTGGGACTCTCCATACTTCCGGAGACGTCGCACACTGCGATGCAAGACGACAGAGTGCCGGAATCCTTGATCCGCTGGACAAGAGCCTTCCACTGGCCGTTGACGGCCTTTGCCTCAATCTCTTTGACAGTGCGGTCGACCACTTCGTCCGCAGTCAACCCCTCCAGGTCTCTGTTGGCGTAAGGTATGCGACCAGATGCAGCCTTGACCAACGTAGAAGGCATCAACACAGCACCGGAAATCCTGGCCTTGCCCTCAGCCACCTTGTTGATATACCCGCGGAAGTGGTCCAGGTCCTTCTTGATAAAGAGATTCGTGTAGTTCTTCATTGCAATCGACGGCACGCGCTCATACTTGATCTTGTCAAACGTGTTTGCGCCGATATCCAACTCCACAACCTCGAGGTGCTTTCGCAGGGCGGACACGTCTTTGCGGTATTGCTCGCGGGCATGGCGGAGATACACTTCCCGGCTGGTCGAGGCAGAGACGGCGCTGCCGAGAGACTCTCGCGGGTACAGGATCTCAGCAATGGAGCTAATGACGCAGGTATGCCGGTCGTGGAAGTTGCCATGCGAAGGAGCCCATTTCGCACAAAGCGAGATGCCCCTCTTGGCCTTTGGATCCGAGCTTCGAAGGGCTTCCAAGTCGGCATGGAGCTGCTCGGCAAACAGTCGAGCCACTGTGATATGCAGCGTCCGGTAAAAGGCGTTGGCGTCGAAGAGGTCTTTGAGAGCCTCGTGTCGAGAGTCTCTCGCCGCATGTCTGGCAACGCTCGGATTTCCAATGTGTGCCGTCTTTTCTTCTAGGGCATGCTCAATCTCCGCAAGCTCCTGTTCCTTCTTTTCGACTTTTCCCTTGTTTGTCTTGACGATTCGCTTTCGCGTCCGTCCACTGCCTGTTGCATTCTGTTTCTGCCGTCGCCGGCTGATAGTCTTTGACTTGATAGCCACATCTTCCACATTCAGTACGTCTTTCGGATTCTCAAGCACCTTCAACTTCTTCTCCGCTGCCAAGGCAAGAATATTCAGCAAATCCTTCCAATAACCATGCGAAACTCCATATCGAACATCAAATCGATCCACAGCATTCTCAACCCCATCTCGCTTCTCCACCTTGACGAACTCTTCGTCAGCATCCTTCTCGCCCTCCTTTCTCACCTTCTTCTCAATAACCGGCCGGCTCAGCCACCGTAGATTGCCGACCAGCGTAAGGGGATGATGTTCCGCCAACCACCCAGCGGCGCGGTAGAAGACGTGCTTGGAGCTCTTGCCCAAGTGTATAGATCGTGCATTAAAGATGATCTTCAAGGTGGCCAGCGGCTGTTCAGCCCAAGCGGCATCGAGGAGCTCCTTCAAGCGCGGGCCGGAAACGACATCCTCCAGCTCGTAAAAGAGGTCGACCACGGGGCTTTTGGTAGACCGAAAGGCAACGTCCGAATTCTCCGTCAACATGAGGTTGAAGTACTTTTCGTCGCCATTCTTCCAGTCCTTTCGTATTGATTGCTTCTCTTCAGCAGTGAGCGTGACGCCGTCCATGGGGTCTTCCAGAGACTCTAGCGACACGACTCTGTGCAAGCCCCGCAGCTCATTGACGAGGAAGCTGTCATATTCCGCATGCGACGTGAACAGGGCTTCATGTGAAGGGAAGAGGACGGTATATGAAGTCTTCAGGAACCACGGCAGCTCCTCAACTTGAGTTTGCGTTGCAGTCATGTTGATATGCAGCTATGATATGCGTAAAGCTACAATATGCCCCGAGACAAGAAAATAGTAAGCTGGGTGTAAAAGAAAACAAAGCAACGAGATTGAGGGGCAGATGAATGCAGCAACCTCTCTCTCTATATACGCACAGTCATATATCATTGCCATGCACATGCATCTGCGGGCTGAGGCTGAGGCTGCCGGAGTGACTCAGACGGCCTGCATCAGGCAGCAAACTGCAGCTTTGGAGGCGCCATAATTATGCGCGACAAGCTCCTTTGGGGCAACGATTGCATCCTTTAGCGGCCATTCTTGATAATGCCTAAAGTCAAATCGGATGATTTGCACACATCCTCACGATAAGGAATTGTGTCAGCAAGGTAATGCATGTCCAACTGGATTTCAATGTGGTGGCTGGTTTCAATTTAGCTTTCTAGAGCTGTAGATCTTGGTGGGGAATCATGGCAATTAGCTGTGACGCATCGACCGCTTTAGCAAAGGAAAGCAACGACGGCAGCAAAAATCAAAGATGATATGATGAGTAAAGTTTGTTGTTTTATAAAAATGGTATCTCAGGATTCTATCCACTATAGACTATGATTATGCAACCCAAATATATGCTGCGTGTTAAAACAAGTAAACCAAGTCGAATGCTCCATGTATGCTATCCGCTGGCCTAAAAAATGCACCCAATGCCCAATACAACGCCGATATAATAGATAGATTGTGATATACAATATGGACATGATATTCGTTTAGAGCCGCTTGCATAGTGTTTCCAGGTATTGCTGCTCTTCCTGCGTAAGATAGACGTGCTCGGGCACAATGACCTGTCCTGGCTTGATGATGATATCGGCGGCGTGTTGAGCGTCTTCTCTCTCGGTTTCTTTATCAGTAGCGGCCTCCAGGTCCGAAACATATCTCTCGCTCGCTTCCTCCGGCTTTGCCTCGTCCGCAGCAGCTTCAGGAGCCTTCTTTTTGGAGTGTCGACGACGGAAGAGAGAGTTGGGCTGGCGCAGGTCTTCGGGAGACCACCAGTAAACGGGAAAGCGGCGTTCGAGGTTGTTGATGAGCAGCGCCGCGCCGAGCATCAGAGCGCAGCCCAGCAGCATGACGGGAATCAGGAACCATCCGACCTGGATCAGAGTAGGATCAACCACGGCCAGCAGCGCCGTCGCACCGGCAGGGGGATGCACAGTCTTGGTGAGCGCCATGACGGCCGTAGCGGAGGCACAGGCGAGGGCGCCGCCGAGCCATTTGATTTCTTCAAAGTTGTCGCTGAGGAGGAAGAGCTTGCCCACACCGCATCCAATGACGGCGGCGAGAACTTGGCCCATGATGGCATTTCGCGGCTGGGCAAGGGGCGACTCGATGGCGTAGAACTCGAGCACAGCGGCAGCACCCTGAACGCACAGTTAGCTGGATATTCGTTTGAGAAACATGAAGAAGCTGATGCTTACAAAACTGCCCACGACGTTGGGCACGTGGTGAGGCGCAAAGGAGGCTACATGCTTGCTGACGGCCTCAATCATGGCAATGGCACCAAAGACACCCAGAAAGGCCCAGAAGATGGGCATCAAGTTGCCCGTCTCCTGGGGCTTCGTCTTGCGGTATCCAAACCAGTACGACACGGGGTAGGGGATGTATTTCCATGGCGGCGGCGGGACGAATGGGTTGAGGAACCGGTCAATGTTGAAGTTCCAGCGGTGGTGGATGGGCATGATGGCGGTAATTGAGCACTGCTGCGGCGAGATTCGACCCGATTTGATTTTGGCTTTGCCGACTGTGCCCAATGAGGGAAAACCGCCGATATAGATGAGGTGTTAATGCGGAGGGAGTTGGTGGCGAGTTCGTGTAATGTATAAGAAGCTCAGCTCAGCTCAGCCAGCCATACAGAGTCTGTCCAAATAGAGAGAGAGGGTGTGTGCTGCTGGCCATGGCAGAGCTTGGTGAGGTCCACGGCATAATATATGAAGCCGGGTCTCGGTCAACACACGATCCAGGGTCCCGAAAGGAGAAGAGAGAAAAAATCTCCATCAGAGCAAAGACAGAAGCCGAGCGAATGACGAAACAAAAGCTGAGAGAGCCGCGGAGATCCGCATCTGCGCTGTGTAGAAACTGAATTTGGAAGAACAAGGGCCGGGCGAGCGACTAGCAGGGCGGGTAGTACCCTGCGCGTACCCTGCGTGTACCCCGAGCCTAGCAGGATGCCGCTGACTCGCCCGCTATGGGGGGTGAATTGGACGCTGTACTGCCTGTGTTTGCGGGTAAACAGCCTGAGAGCAGAGTATCCGGTACCTCGAGTGGACTCTGTTCCCGCAAACTGGCGCCCCCCAGGGCTCTAGTTGGTAAACGAGCCGCTAGCCGGTGGTTGCAGCGCCCTTGAGCGCTGTCATGGCCCAAGCTTTAGGCGGGAGCGAGCTTTTCGTTTGGCGGTGGGGAGTTGAGGAATGTAGTTGAATGTATCGTGTTGTTGTCATTGAATGCATCTATTTACACAATACATGGCAATTGTCGATGACAGTTTCAGAACCAGTCCAAGTCCTGCCAACTGCAATACCTCCATGAGTTGCAAAAGACTCAATGCCCTGTTGCACCCCAGCTTGCGTGCTCCAACCCCTCATGCACAACAAAAATCCTTTCCTGAAGCAGCATCTCACCCTCGCATCGTGACCCCAGGCTTAACTCGACTTTGATTTCTCTTACGTACAAGGTGCATCCGCCAACTCCCGTCAACCAACAGCTCCCTTTCGCTTCCACAAGTGATTAGTACAAGCCAACTAAGCAAATTCACATCTCCGAGCCGCTGCTAGCAGTACTTGACGATACTTTTCGGATTTGACTCGGCAAGGCACACGCCGGGCTTCTCCCGCCAGCTCCATCACGGTCTGGATCTCTTCCAAAAAACCAAACCCCTGCTTCATCGCTGGCAGATCTGATAGGCTGAGCGAGCCAGCAACAGCCAAGTCCGGCAATCCATCTCGGAACTGCATTTTTTGCGCAATTGCGTTTCTGGCATTTATTTTTTTTCTGTTCTAGTGCTGCTGCCTGTGATGTCTTGTAGACGCGCTGGTTCCCCGAATCTACGCGATCGATCCCTTGATCCGGATGCTTCGCTCTCAATTGATCCCCTTAGACCCATCGCAGCAAATGTTTTAGCGCCCAGATCTGTTTCTGGGCATGAATACCAAGCACGATGACGTGGTGTGGCATCTGACAGATTCGCCCAGGGTTGCAGCAGCCTTACCGCCGCGCTGTGCTTCAGCTTTTGCTTACTGTGCAGCGAGACGTCGCAGAAAACTTCTCAAAGGGGAAATGGCTGATTATTCTACGCCAGTCATCAGCCTCGCCGACAGCCGACGCCGTATTGACTCACGACGATGGATGGTGCCGAAATATGATGCACAGGCGAAGAGATTTTTGTTCAATCAAAGATTTATCGGCATTGCGCTCCGGTAGATGTAGACATTGAAAAGTGACGTTTTTCTTTTTGGTAATGCAAATTAGGTGGATATCAACTCCCAGCTTTGTATTACATAGAGTCTATCTGTTCAATAAACGCCCTTTCTGCAAAGTAGAGGCACCCATGATTATTTTCTCTTTTTACATAAAATTTCCCAAGTGCCATATATTATCCTGGCGCTATATCATCCGAGGTAGAGTAAATCTCTGGATACTACCTGTGTTATACTACTACTGCTCAGCGCCCCTTACTGGCTTCCCAAGATGGAGAGCAAAGGTTCATCTGTAATGCACTGTTATTCTATAATTATTTCTCTTTTCGTATATAGCTTAATCAATCTCTATATTGTCTTAGTACTATAGATTCTGCAGTAAATTAAAACCTTGCCATCATCTGTGTTCAGCGCCCCTTGCACAGGCTTCCCAAGATGAAGAGCTCATCTTCATCTGTAATGCACTGTTATTCCATGATTATTTCTCTCTTCGCATATGGCTCGATCAACTGCTCTATAATGTCCTGGTACTATATCTTTTGCAGCAGATCAAAGCCCCAGCCATCATCTGTGTTCAGCGCCCCTTGCCCCAACTTCCCATGATGGAGAGCACATCTTCATCTGTGACTCACTGTTATTCTGGTCTGGCGTTTGCTTTACAGCTGAGCGCTGCAGACGAAACATGCAGCCAGGACGTTCAATCTGCCTTTACATGTTCGCAGTGCGTGCACCAGGTCAACTCTTCGTCAACTCTTCGTCAACTCCAAGGCAACTCACCGCCTGGCCTTTGCACCTGCTCAACTCCAGCTATAAATGCAGCTCAAATTCCTGAGCTCTTCTTCTTCTTCTTCTTCCTCCTTCACTTTTCGTATATGAGCATAATCTCTTCTTCATTCAATGCTGCAACAAGGGATTATTTTGAATCATTTGCCGCAATAGATGCTCCAACTCCAGACCAGTTCCTCACCATGACTCCATCTCCAAGCCCATTAAAGGGTGTCTGTGAGGACCCTGGCGCAGATCTTGTGCAACCTGGAGAGCACGGCAGTCACACCGAGCTCATGGCGTCAAACACCCAAGGTGTAACCATGAAGGAGCCCGGCCCGACAGATATTGCCGACGGGGATCCTTTCATCACTGCTTCAGAGCACTGCCCAGAACTTCCAACAGCAAACGCCACCGAGAGCAATCGCAGCAACCTTGTTCAAAATGATGGCCTTGGAAATTATAAGAGCCAGGCTGAGTGCCTCGCAGCCTTCCAAGACATTGAAAATGCCTTGTGCAAGCAGCTTCATCAGCTCCAGCTTACGCAATCCAAAGCAGTAAGCTATCCTCATGCTACGATTCCTCACCTACACATGTCCGCCTCCATATATGCCCGAGACTAATTCTGTTCTCCTTTGTAGAAGAAGCTCGAATCCGCACTCCAAGATTTACCCAAAGAAAAGAAAGAGACCAATTTGCTGCTCGCCGCCTTCACCCTTGGCAACTCTCTCGCCAGCGTCAGCCATATTTTCACGGCAACTATTGCCTTGATGGAGGGCGCGAAGGATCCCTCAAGCCTCTCCAAGATGAGAACACAAGACGTAAGCAAGATTGTCCACCAAAATTTCAATCCACCATACAGGTGCTAACTAGACCGCATAGCAGCCCTCTGGCAGCTCGCTCTATCTGACTCCGGCATCGCCTGCGCTGAGCGTATCCACAGTCTCTGAAGCAGCACAGATAGAGGACAGTTCATCCGATCTCCTACAAGACTGCGACCCCTCTGATAACGATACGGATCTCATGAATTTCAACACCCCAGACCGCCAGTGTCCCGCGACCCGCAACACAGAATCTTCCGAAATCGACCCTTTCGTCGACGCTCCACAAGAGGTCGCAAGACTTGACACGCCTGATGCTGAAATTCGTCTCGAATTCCACTCTGATTTTACCACCCTCCCTGGTAGACGACTATACGTCCCTTCTCTGCCAAGCACTCCCGCAGCGGAGCGAAGTCGTCGCATCATTCTTAGAAACTTGCCCCCAAATGCAAAACTTGCTCAGATTGCAAGAGGCATTCAAACCCATGGGCAAATTCTCAGCATCACTACTCTCGCCACACTGCCATCTACTAATGACACCATAAAGACAGTAATGGTAGAATTCGCGCACCCAAAACCAGCCGCAGAATTCATCCGCGCAATTCAAGCGTCACCTCCCATCTACGAGGATGATAATTCTAGCCAATATCAAGCAGACGCATGGCTTATTCCAACTGCTTCTTTTGGCTTGTCCTGGGCGGACCAAGAAGCTGTATCCCAAAAATACAGTCGATCACTCATGCTGAACGGATTCCCCAGCGACTACATTTGGTACTTCATTGGCAAAGTTGGCCTTCAGCATATCGTCCGCGTCGAGTTCGATGCGACATACAGCTCGCTATGCATTGAACTAACGTCTATTTGGCAGACAAGAAGAGTCGACGAGCTCATTTGGAGAGGCAAATTTTCCGACATATACAAATACCGTCCTGAAGAGGGCATGTTCAGGCTCATCGTCCCCGACGTGACGCAGATATGCAGCTACACCACCAAGCCGCCTTGTGGCATAATCAAACCCCTTCCCGAAGACAATCTCGAGCACTGGAACACGCACCCGTATAACCGCCTACCTCCTCATCTCGAAAAGGCAGCCGCCCAACAGGGCCCGACCCCGCTATCTTTACACAAACGCCTCGCCTTACAATACGACATTGAGGAAGATGAAGTAGACAACTTTCTCTATGATCTCGAGAACCATCAAGACACGGATTACAAGATTATAGGAAGCAATAATATTATCATAACCCGTCGCAAGTGGAGTTGGAGTATGACCGACAAAGACCATACCAAGCTGCTCCTGGCAAATACCCTCCACGAGCCCGACTGGGCAGACCACTGGGACGAGTACTTTCGGAACCGCGGCGAGATCAACATTCGCACGTGGGAGGCGTACGGCATGCTGGCCAAGCATCGTGAAGAAAAGGTCGCTAAGCAGGGCCTCGATCAGGGTGCGGTGCCCAAATGCGAGGCGGGATGCGAGATGGAATGTCGAGACATTAAGAAGACGCCTGTGGCTGCTGAGATAAAGAAGTGGCTCAAGAAATGAAGATGGGAATCTTCTTTTCTACTCTTTTCGAGCGTTTGGGGTAGGGTTGGAGTTTGAAATGAAGCTTTGCTTTCAATTGCTTTTGAGACATTCATAGCCGCTTTGAACAGCGGCAAATAGGGTTCTTTTCCTTTTTCCTATTTTTTTTCATTTCTTCTTTGACTTCTTTTCTTCTTCTAAAACTAAGGCGGGTATCAGGATGGATGGCTATTTGGTATCGAAGGGCTGCTAGGTATTTGCAGTTTTTATTCAGTCAAGGGCACTTTCAAATTGGCGATTTGCGTACAGATGGAGAGCGGCTTTTCTCTTTTCTTTCTATTAGTTTAGTATCTCAAAAGTTATACCAGCACCAAGGTGCATTCGCAGATGGCAATTGAATTGAATTATACCCAAACATGGAGTTTCCATATCTCATGTGTCTCTCGGTTACTATACCACACCACACATAAATACGTTGCCTAAATGTCTACACTATCTAGGACAAGGAGCATAAAGAACTCTACAAGGGTAAAATAAATAAGAACAATTACAGTAATTTATTCCACCGAGTTGAAAAATCTCAACTTCTCTTTTTCGCATGCTAAAATGCCCTTGATTCTAAGAACCCCAATGGTTTCAAGCCCTTCCAATCCGGAGCATTTCCTAAGCACTGCGCCATCAAAAGAAAAAAAAAATATTAACAAATTAATCCTGCGCTATTGCTACTTTTTATAATAAAGACGGGATAAAACTTAAGAGGCTTAATAAAATCTCCAATTATGCTATAAAGGGAAAAGAAGCTCAACCGGCGATTATAAAATATTTTTCCTCTTGTAAGCGTCTTCTTTGTACCTTGGGTAGAGAATATTGAAATTGATGAATATATATAAGCCCAAATAAACGCTCTTCCAGATACACATCCTCTCTCTTTCTAATTCAGCACTTTTATCTTTCAAAAAAAAAAAAAAAAAAAAGGAAAAAAGAAAAAGGGGGGCAGCGGGGTATAAAACAGTTTATTGCAGCCCCCCAAGTACGCCAAATGCAGATGAAAGAGCACCAGCGCTTGGCCATAGACTCCGGCCATGCAAATCATCGTCGCCATCTTCTGTTACGACAAAATACTCATTCTGTCCGTTCCCGCCGACATCTTCTTCCTCGGCCTCGTAGCCGTCGTCGTCCATCATCTCGAGGCCATCGTCATAGTCTTCTGCGGCAAAGGCTTCGCTGACGCTCTTGTACTGCCTACGGACGGCGGGCCATGAGAGTGTGCCTTGTTTGAAAGAAGATTTCTTAGTATGGGTGTTTTGTGAAGAGCTACCGTTGTGTTTAGCTGGCTTGCTCTTTTCTGTAGGATGGGCATGGCTGTGGCCCTGGCCATGGGTGCTTCGCCTCGATAATGCCCTCCTTTTATTCCGCGAGTTTTTGAAAAAGTTTCGTACGAGATTCGGTGGAATGTTTTCTTCCGGCTCCCACGTCCTCTTTTGGTCTGGTGGCCAGTCACCCTCCCAGCTCACCTTGAAATATCTCACCAAGCCAATGCCATCGACTTCGTAATATTCCACATCTTCTATCCTTTCCACCACCCAGCCGTTGTCCTCTTGAGCCTCGGTCTTGGCACCTTCATCTTCAGGCCTGGGTCTCTTCTTTGATTGCTTCTGCTTCTGACCTACTTTGGCCTCTTCACCAAGGTTAATTATAGGGTTCTGCGTCTCTGCCTGTGTTTGTACTGCCTGTACTGCCTGTACCACAGACGGGGCTGATGACGAAGGAGGCAAGTATGGAGGCAGTTTGCCCCAATTGCTCCCTTCAACAGACAAAGCCACTGGAGGTAAGCTGTGCTTATTATTCACCAATTTCTGCGCCTCGACATCAGCAAAAGCAGGTGTCTTAATCTTTGCGAATTCTGGATTAGGTGATGCTGACGGTTGTTCCTGTTTCGCAGGGTCGCTACTAGTAATATGGACAAGGCTTGCTTGTGGAGCAGCACGCACGGGATGCGTGACATCTCCAGTTGCAAAAGCATCGTTTGTGTCTCCAGCAACGTTACTACCCTCCTCGAGTTCAGGCAAAAAGCTATGCAAGCTCTGAAACTGCTCCTCAGCAATCTGCCGCGAAGGACTCCCATCGTCTTCTGACAGCCACTCGAAATCCGCCAGCCTGGACTTTTGGGGAGTCGACAGGCTGATGACGCCCTTCTTGTGCCGTGGCTTCGTCGGTGTCGGCGTCTCAGCCACGGGCTCTGGCTCTGCCACCACGGCAGACTTTATCTGGCTGTGAGCGGGTGGCCGTCCCCTCTTCTTCTTCTTCTGCGGCGCCTCCAGACCCGACTTGAACTCGTTTCGCAGCTTCTCCTTCTCGTCGTCCACCTCCTGTTCCAGCTTTGCCTCAAACTCCTCCAACGTCCGCGGGGACACGTATTCCAGGACCTGCATTGCGGGAACCACCATGCTCGCGGCTCGCAGATCGCGCCATCCGATCAAGTAGGCCATTCGCTTCGGCAGCGGCTTGCCGTTCGGTGCTGGCCCAGGAGAAGGCAGCAGGACACGTTCGAGGATGTACGCTGTGGAATCGCCTGCGGGGAGCAAGGATATTGGCCGCAACGGCGGCCCGCTGCCAGGCACATAGTCTGCAGGCTTCGAGAAGAGAGGCACGGCGATTCGCGATCTCGAGGGTTGATTCTGAGATGATTTGCGCTTTGGATCGGCCGAGAGCGGCTCCAGTCCCTTGCCCGCCAGGCGGCGATCCAAGAACTCCGGGTCGAAAAACATCATGAAAGGACGCTGCGGAGGGAGAAGCAGGCTCTCGGGCAGCAAACGCGCCTATTCATTGTCTGCGTCTGCTGGTTGGTGAGAGCAGAGCCTCTCGTCGAGGCGCGGCTGGAGCTCGGCGTGTCGTGTGCGATGTTTGTATGAAGCGTGAAATTGTGTTGGAGTGCCGATGATGAGGCCGACAAAGGCAGACGCGACGTCAGTTGGACAGACAAAGATGACTAAGCGTTATCAGCGTCGGCTTCGACAGCTGTGAAAGACACCCTTTGCGCGTCTACCAATTCAAAGTCAGAGATAAGAGACGACGATTACCCTGCATCCGAATGCTGGCGAGCGACAAGGAACGTACTTTAGCCTCAATCCTTCACTCGCTATAGCTTGGCGCGTGAGGTGTAGCTGCGACAATCAGTCACTCGGTGATATCAATTATAGAAGCTCTTAGCCTTACAGCGTCCCAGCCCACTATAGCTCAGCGCCCCGAGGTGGGGGCCACAGCATACCCGGGCCGACCTCCACCAAGCATGGGTTGAAACTCTGCACATCCAATCTCAAAACCTCAAAATCAAAACCCTTGCAGCAGCTGGAGAAAAAAAAAAAAAGAGCAAGCCGTCATATCGCCTGCGGCACAACACCACGCACCGATCCGGCCATCACCATCCTAGCCTGTCGAATCCTTTCAATTGGCCCTTGGCCGCCGGCTCCCAGAATTCCTCGCGACCATGTCGTCCTCGCTCAAGTCGCTATGCCTGCGCATCCCCGCAGCAGCGCCCGCCAGCCTCGTGCGATGCGGTCCTAAAGCTTCGTTCTCGGCGCAGCAGCAGCTCTGCGCTCAGCCTCGCGCCTTGTCCTTGTCCGCAACGACCTTTTCCCGCGCCAACCACAGCCTGGCCGGCTCCAGCCCGTCGCGGCCGTCCATCGCCAGCCTCGTCGCAAAGACTCGAAGCGCTTCTTGCTCCCCCACATCGTCATCATCGTCATCGTCGGCCGTCCGTCTGCGTCTCCAGCCCTACTCCAGCGCCTCCGCCCCAGCCTCTGCGCCGGCCCTCGACTGGGACTCCTTCTTCAAGCTGCGCCTTCGCCGCCGCCGCATCCAGCTTCTCTTCTCCGTGGCCACGGGCCTGCTGGGCGGCGCGGTCGGCACCGTCGTTTTAGCCGAGGGCTTTGCCGAGCCGCTGGTTGCGCAGGTGCCGCTGGATCCCTTCTTCACGCTGGGCATCATGACCATGGCGTGCGCCGGCATGGGCTGGCTGGTCGGGCCGACGCTCGGCAACCAGGTCTTCTACATCATCAACCGCCGCTTCAAGACGCAGATGCTGCAGAAGGAGGGCGAGTTCTTTGCCCGCGTCAAGCGGCACCGCGCCGACCCTACAAACTCGAGCGCAGGCAACCCAGGTAATGCGAATTCAAGATGATATTGACCCCAAGTTGGTCCTTGCTAACACTTGCTCTTGTCAGTTCCCGATTTCTACGGCGAAAAGATCCAGAGCGTTGCCGGATATCGAAGGTGGCTGAAGGACCAGCGAGCGTTTAACAAGAAGAAGTCGGCATCCTTTGTTTAAAAAGAACAGAGGTACACAATCATAAAAAACAAACTCGGCAAAGGATATGTGCAATGGTTAGCAAATCATACGGTGCGTGAGAAGAAAAAAAAACTCGCTTTCTCATCCTTCGTACCTTTGAAAGCATGCTTTGGGACGGCGGAAAACCCGGTGGACGAAAAACAAAAAAGAGCCCTTTCCCTTTTGCTGGGACTGTGGACGTGTAGGATTGTACTTTGTGCGTGTATTATATATAATGAGAAAACTCTCTTGTTCGCAATTGACGCCTTTTATACCTTGTATCTGATGACTTCCTGGCTCATGGCTATATAAATGGTAAACTCGGATCGACAGTCTCCTTCCATGCCCTCAACCCACCCAAGATATCTCCCACAAAGCGCTCCCCATTGCGATCTACCCCCAGCTCCTTCAGCTTCTTGGCCGCAATTTGTGAATCGTTGCCCACGCGACAGACAATGTAGATCGGCGCATCGGGGGCGACGTCTGCCGGTATCAAATCCGCCAAATCCGCCCCTTGCCCACGGTGAGCCGTGAACCGGCTTATAGGAACGTTGATCGACCCCTTGATGTTGCAGACTCCAAAGTGCTCCTTTTCTCTTACGTCGAGGAGCACGTGGCTCTTGCGCTCCTGTGATATGCGCTCGTACTCGGCAACGGATATGCGCTCCTCGGGCTGGAGCAGCTTGACTGGCTGGTTGACGCCGCAGAACTGGACATAGTCCATTGACATCTTGAGCTCATTGAGCGTCAAAGCCGTGCCATCTCCAGAACAGGCAAAACACCCCTTTCTCTTGCCCCTCATCCGCACCGTCCTAAACGGCACATCACCCATGGCACTGAAAAGCAGCAAGCCAACCTGCTTCACGTCTTCTACTTCTCCATTTATTCCACCCTTGTTCAGATGATCTCCCCTCACAATCAGTTTGATCGCCTCAAGCGCTTGCAACACGCCCATGGTCCCCACAACAGGTCCTATGATGCCTCCCTCTCCGCATCCAACGACGCTCTCCGGGGGAGGCGGCTTCGGGAAGACGCAGCGATAGCAGGGGCCTTTTCCGGGGGGGTTGTTGAGCACAATGAGCTGGCCGGACGTCTGAAAGGCAGAGGCAGAGACGAGCGGCTTGGAGAGAAGAACGCAAATGTCAGAGATGAGATATCGCGAGGTGGGATGGTCAGTGCAGTCGAGGACGAGGTCGTACTGCGAGACGATTTCCTCGGCATTCAGCGGCGTGAGATGAGTGGCGTGAGCATTGTAAATAATAGTCGGATTCAGCCTGTAGCTCGCATTTGTCAGTATGCCCAACATCATCTCCAGTAGAAGAAGAGAAAACTCACCCCTTGAGATACGCCACCGCGCTATCAACCTTCATCATGCCAACCCTGCCCGTCGAATGCGCCACCTGCCTATGAAGGTTCGACACCTCCACCGCATCCCCATCCACAAGGCCCAGCGTCCCAACGCCAGCACCGGCGAGATATGCTGCTGCGGGACAGCCCAAGCCGCCGGCGCCGACGACAAGGACCCTGGCATGCTTTACATGGAGCTGGCCTGAGAAAGACCCAAGTCAGCCATCATCCAAATACAAAAAAGAAACAAAGGAATACATACCCTGCAGCCCGAAATTAGGCACAATCATCTGCCTGCTATACCTCTGATAGTCATGCTCCTCCAGCGGCCACTTCCACTCTTCGTCGTGCTTCTCACTCAGCGTTTCCTCCGCAGCTAGCCGCGCGCGCAGCTCTGCCAGCTCAGCCTCTCTCTGCGCAATCTCCTTCCGAAGATGCTCAATCTTGTCCATTTTCTCTCTCTTCACTTAAAAAAAAAAAAAGAATCAATTGCTTTATACATCAGAGAAAGGAAGAAAACGGTGCAAAAGTAAAAGTTTATACCACGTCTGCTCTGCCTTACAGCTTCATTCTAAGCCAACTCCGGCAGAAATTTACCCCACCCACACCGTCGGTCAAAAGCTCCACCCTCACCGAGCGCAAAAAGCGTCCCCACCAAAACTTTTTATATATCCATCCTCCAAATCATCACCACCAGCTTCCCTCCAAGCACTCACATATCAAACTCGTTCAACATGGTAAAACACCCCCCCTATATTTTCCCATACAACCCTAAACTAACTCACCATCCCAGGCCCCCCAAAAACCATCCGCCACCGCCCTCCGCCACGCCCGCATCACCAACTCCATCCACCCCCTCGCCCCCCAAAAGACGTTTCGCGAAAACGCCTCCACCAGCGACTCCTTCCTCTCCTCCAAGCGCGACAAGCGCACCATCAAGCACTCGTCCTTTGTCTCCCGCGTCACGTCCACCACCTCCGCGCGCGTCTCCAAAAAGGCGCTCAAGCGCGGCGGGCGCAACAAGAAGTCGACAACGCTAAACTCCCTCGATAGCCTGGCCGATGCGCTGCCCGAATTGGCCGCCGGTGAGGGTGCCGCGGAGATTCTGGCTGGCAAGATTAGACACCAGAGCTTGAGGAGTAAAAAGGGCGCGCTGAAGAGGAAGGAGAGGCTGCTCAAGGGCGAGATGCAGAGGTTTGGCGTGAGCATGGCGCACTTGTCGAGTATGCCTGCGCAGCCGCAGAGTGGCGGCCAGTTGGCTGAAAAGGCTGCGGTTCCAACTGCTTCGGCTCCTTCAAACACATCAACATCAGCGCCAACATCAGCGCCGGTGGTGTCAAATCGATGGGCTGCCCTGAGAGGATACATTTCTGCGACGATGGAGCAGAACCCGGCGTTTGTGAATAAAGAGTAATCATCTATAAAGGAGAACGAGCGGATGAACATGGGTCAATCCTAAAATTGGATGGCATATTTTGGTAACATTTCAGATGATGGCGGGCATGGAAACATCAAGGCGTTTGGAGTTAATATAGGGGAATATAAAAATGGGAATCATCAGTTTATTGATCAATACTCGAAAATTCAATGCTCATAAAACAAAACTGCTATGCTTAAAACAAAGGCCGATCCTATCCCTTCCTGAAAAGTTTAAGAAAAAAGGAAAAAAAAGCTAGCCTCAGCCCTTGACAAAGCTATCAAAGGCTTCAAAAGCCCATGTCCTGTAACACCATGTCCTCTTCCCTCTTTGAAGCCGTCATGGTCATATCTCGTGAAAAAAAGATGGATTTAAAAAAGAAAACAGGAAAAAGAAAAGAAAACTTTGGTATCGTTCCACCTCGCTCTGTTTCGTTCTCATCTCGTCGCTAATCACAGCACAATCCGTTCTGGCGTACAAGCATCAAGCTCGTGCAAATCAAAATCCTTTTCGCTTTCCCCTCCTCGGAGACCTGTTGGTATGCTCCTCCGCTTCCGCATTACCCATACCCATATGTGTGTATCCAACTCCAAAACATACGAGAGTGTCTTCATCGAAAAAAGACTCAAGACTAGGCTCGCTATAGAAAGCGAAAACTCTGCTGACGTAAAGGAGTATAGAAAAATAATAAAATAAACAAAGAAAGGCAAAAATAGTGAAATCAAAGACGCGGTATTAATCTAGGCGGCCAGACAGGCCGTCGCTCTTTGGTTTGATTTTGTGCAGGCACCAGCCGAAAAACTATTCCAAGGATGCTCTGAGACCTCGGTCCTTGATGGGCGTGGCGTTGGCGGGTCGCTGGGCGTTGCCCCTGGTCCGCTTGACACCTTTGTTGTGGGCAAACTTCAACTCAAGCCAGGTAGGTTTGTTGGGATCACGAGGTGGCTGGACAATTCTGCGTATTCGGCGGATCGGGCTCGGGGTGCTCTGAGAGCTCGAGCTCGAGCTCTGAGAGCTTTTGGGACTCTTTGACCTCTTTGGACTCGTCGAACTCGTCGAACTCGTCGAACCCCGCGGAGAAGGTTTTCCAGACGATTTTCCAGACGTAGAGCGCTTGGATGACGCCGGAGACGGCAATTGTCCTTTACCAGCAACGGCTCTCGCTCTCGTCATGGGCCGTCCAGGCGGCGAGGCCACACTCGAGCTGTCCTCGGTTGAGTCATCTTCACTTGAGCCGTCCGTCTCTGGAACATCAGGTATGGCAGGCAGCTCCTTCGATTTAGGTCGTTTGGCCGATTGCTCCTTGGTTTCCTCGTTGTATTCCTTTTCCGACTGGTGCATAAGTTTCTCAAAATCTTCCCAAGAGCCGAAGCGAGCAGCTTTCTATTCAATTCGCGGGGGTGTCTTGGTTGAAGCAAAGGGACTCGCACTTCTCCTTAGATGCTCTGTTAGCCGTCGTATGTCAAAGCAGTAAAACAAGACAAAGGGTGGAAACTCACGACCGGCGGCGCTCTCCCTCCTTGCGCAGGTTTTCAATAATACGGAGCATCTCTTTGCGACCACCGTTACTATCGACCATTTTGCCAGCCATGCTCATGGAGACCTTTTCGCGAGCATTAGCCGCCAAGAGGCGCTTGACGAGCAAGTGTCGCATCAAGAGACAGACAAAGACGCCGCAGTCGCTGCCGTTTTCCTGCTGGGGCGAGTCCTCCAGGTTGACAAAGCGAATGGGCCGCTGGACAATCTCGCTGAGCTTGCGCGTGGCCAGGTTCGCCTCGGCATAGTTGGCTCCGCCGAGCGAGTCGTAGTGAAAGGCGATGCCGTCGAGGACCGACACGAGCAGCAGCGACCAGTGGCTGCCGCCCTCGGCTATGGCCACGTTGCGGTTGTCGTTGATGGGCAGGAAGACGTGAGTGACCTTGTTAAAGTCGGGCAGCGCAGATCGCACATGGCGCATGTCGGGCTCCTTCATGAGCAGAAACGTCATGCTCGGGCGCAGCAGGATGATGCGGGCCTGGGGGAATCGCGGCAGCGTCTCGTGCTCGAGATACTCCTCCCAGAAGGCGATGTTGTTGTCCGTCAGCCAGTCGTTCTTGAGCGACTTCATGTCTTCGATGGTGAGCAGCACATCGTAGTAGCTGAGGAAGGGCTTTTCGGGCGAGAGCTGTCGATCGGCGTCAATGACGTGATGTTAGCACTACTGCTGCAGCCTGTGTGTACATGGTGTATATGTGCGTATAAAGAAAAAAAACAGGTGGAGTCGCAGGGGAAAAAAAAACTAGCTGTAAGTTGGAATCAAGCAGGGAAAGTGAAGCCGTACAGAATCGCCGAAATGGCGGGCCATGCGCTGTCGGAAAGGCATCCTGGCGCTGTGCTTGCGCTTCTTCCTCTTCTTGTGCGAATCGTCGCGCGGCGTCGACAGGCGATTGGAGTCGGACTCGGACGAGCTGGTGCCGTCGCTGGAGCTGGAGCTGTGGCGGCTTCGGTAGACAAAAGACAGGCCCGTAAAACGACTGCTGTACCGGCGGAACGAGAGGAGAGAGACAAGGTCAGGAATCAAAGAGCTCTGTTGGCAAAAGGACAGAGGAGACAAGACGGCGACGAAGATGGTGGAATGTAATGAGAAGAGAGAAAAATCCGTGGTAGAAAAAGTTTAAGTGTAGCGGCAGGACAAGGTGCAGTAATAGTGCAGTCAACAGGGTCGTGGCAGCGGCCGTGTTGGCGGTAATAGCGTCGATAGTGGCGCCAGACTGGGCTGCTGCCGAGAAAATGGGCATCGAAAACTTGAATTGCGGGGCGTGGGGTCCGGCCAGGCCCTGAAGTTTTGAAAGCAGGGCTGCCGCAGCAAATCTGAGGACAAACTCAAGGCTGCTGTGAAACCCCCAAACGGTGCAATAAGGCTGGTGGGAGATGACAATAGTAACAATGGTAGGACGGTGACAATAACGGCGATAACAATGGTGATAACAATAACAAGGCAATAGTCGATAAGAAAAGAGTTTCCAGTGGTGACAAGTAAGCTGAGCGAGTGCGTGAGAGGATTCGCATGTCCTTATATGCACCCGAATCGCAGATTATGAAACACACTCATGTCCAAACCACGGCGAAAAGCAACAGGAAATTGCGTGAATCACGCAGCATCAGCTGAGCCGATACGCATCATCATGGCAATTTGCAATGTCATGCTGCCCTCTATTCTTTTCCATTGCCCCTCCAGAAAAGCATCACAAACCGCCGCCGAAACCGAGCCCTGAGGCGTTTGGCTTCTGACACCAGCCGGAGGCACCGGCAGTGGCCGCGAGCTCCTTCGGGCAACGGTCAAGGTCAAGGTTTTGCTGCAATTCATAAACGCCCGCCACTACGGGTGTTTAAGGGAACAGAGTAGAAGAGGCTGGGCCTAGCCAGCCGTAATGCGACATCCGATGAAATTGGGCAGGATTGCAAGTATAAGTAAACAAGTGCGCAACTCACCTCCAATGTCCAGTGGGCGAGGAAGACGCCGATGAAGACCTTGAAGGCATCGTGTAAAGCAGTGATTCGACAATCGTTTTTCTTTTCGCCTGCTTTCTTTTTTTAATTCGACTTTGAATTTGAATCGATGACAGTGTCCGTCTTGCCGACTCCTTGATATTTATCCCCAGTTAGGCACCAAAACCCCCCCAAAGCAATGTCTGAGCCGCTCTCGTCTCCAAAATCTCCAAAATGTCCTCGATCGTCGATCCTCGATCCAGCCAATAATCAATCAACAACTCAACACAAAACAAAAAAAATCCCAAAAGATTGTCAAATCGCAGGACCAGCAAAAAAGATTTGATGCACGGGTTACAACAACACAACAGTCCCGGCGCACCCCCAAAAGATATATACCTCCACGAAAGAATTCCTGTGCCGTCACAATCACGCACCACCAAAACACAATCCCGCCCTTTTCTTACACGCTTCCATTTTCCCATTTCTTATTCTTCTATCCAGGATTGCTACGCCGCCTTTTTGGTTCCTTTTTTTTTTCCCAGCTTTTCCCCCACCCTTGTTTTTTTTTCTTTCCTTTTTTTGTTCCCTGCTTCTACTGGATTGCTTCTTCCCCCTCTTAATCAAGCTCACATCCACAGGCTCTCCGCCTCTTCTCTCTCTCTCTCGCTCATCTTCCGTTTCAGCTACCCGCTGGCATGCACGTCACGTCACCTTTGTTGTCTCGGCAAATCGGGATACGGCAAGTATACCGCAGTACTAGGTGCCATTTTATACCCAACGCCTCGGCATCATCCCCTTTTCTGCTTCATATCCCCCCTCTCTTCCTCCTTTCTTCTTCTTCCTCTCTTCTTGATTCCATGCATGTGCCTGTTTCTGACAAAGTAAGCAAACGCAATATCCATCCATTGCTTCGTATCCGAGCCTCGGGGTGCAGTAAATGGCCGCCTTTCACCCACTTCACTTCTCTTAAAATCATACCGCACCCCCATATTCAAAATGCTACCCCCAAATCACTTAAATAACCCACCCTTGTCTCTCACCTCTCGCCGCCTCACATGCCACTCTTGCTTTCCCCGCAGTCCTGCATCTTACAAGTGCTCGCTGGCAAAATCCGAAACATCCCAGCCGCTCACTTACATTCTAACACACATATGTCGGTACTGCTACTAGAATACGCCTGGGGCCTCCAAAGTCAATGTCGGCTTCCTTCACATCGAGTGGCCCCAAGACGACCCCCACGTGAAAGGAAGACAGAGGCTTCGGGCAGATATGCGTCAATCCAGGTAGGCGTAGAGGCAGGTCTTAAAGCTCATCTCTCTAGATCTTGTACCTGAAATTGACTTGATTGACTTGTATCTGCTCCACTACCCTCAAGTCTGTGGCTTCCATTCCCGTCAGAACCTTGGGGCTGCTCGGAGCAAATGAAGCCATCAGAATCTCTCAAGCAAAAAGTGACTTTAGCAATAATTAGCAGTATTTTCTGCTTAACTTTAGCAGGCCTTCGCAATCACCATCACACCCAGGCAACCAGTGATGATGATTACCTACATACGACGACCAGGATACAAATCCCGGTAACAGCGGCGCTCTCCTCTCACCGCCGGCTCTCCCTGTCATCCATGCTCGTTCCTTTTTTTGCCCATTTTTAAGCCTCTTACTCTCGTCATTCCACATCTACTGATCCATTTGGTGCATTATTCTTGTGTAGCAAAACACCTCTCAGACAAGACATTGATTGCTTCACCGTTCTAGGCCTCCATCATGCGGCGCCGCATAATTGGTGGAGTGGGCACTTCAGACTGCATGGCCAGTCATACGATGCATTATGCAGCCATATCACCTCAAATCGATTCGTTCGTCCCAATAAGCACATGCCATGCAATCAATTGTGACTGGTTATTCACGGATTTGACAACACAGCCGTGGTTGCATTCCTTCTACCCTTGCGTTGTTGGATACAATTTGTCGTGCTACTGCCGAATGTACAACGACTTATAGCTATTTCAGCGCACCATCAGGCCGCGCCAGACAAACACGACCCAAGACCAAACCTGCTTTGCCTTACATGTCCGTGGCCTCCCGTACTCCCGATTGAGTACGCTGAACAAAACCCACTGCATCCATCAAACCGCAGCTCCAAGGCTCAAACGTGCTCTGCGATGTGCCTGATTTTGCCATTTCAACAGCTCATTGAGCGAGCCCGCCATCCTAATCCGAGCCTGCTTGCGCGTCTTTATGGCGTCCTTGACGGCTTGTAGATTTTTGCCAAATAGTGCACCGTGTCTGCGAATTGCAGTCACCACTTTGCGGCTGTCGTGCAAACACTGTTGCTGCATATACGCTACCGAAGCAGTCCCGCCAGCATGGTATGCTCCCACAATGTCAGAGGCGGCAGATTTCTTGCCCTCCAAGTGAATCATCAGTTGCTATCATGCTGTCAGCCTTCCACGTCTCTGAGCTGCCTATTTTGGATACTACCTACCTTCACAGTGAGACATATCTGCTTGTGAGCTTGACTTTGGCCTGCCATCTCATCTGGCCGGCGATCTTGAAAGCTTTGCGGTGGTTCGGTGCTCTGCAGAAAACTCTTTCTGATGTCATCGTGAATGTCTCTTTCCCTGCCATGGTTATTCTTTGAGCGTAGCTGCTGCTCGTCCAAACCACGAAACCATCTTGATGGGAGGTTGTGTTCGCTGCTTCCGAGAGTGTTATCCGACTGCTGTCCATACAATCTATCCCCCGAGTTAGTCCTCAAAAAAGATGGACGCTGTACTGCCACCGCTGGGCTTGTGTTCCCCATTATAAATGGATCTGGCTCAGTTATGGTAGGGCCGACCTTTGTCGTAGGCGCAGCAACTCTTGTTACAACTGGGCTGCCTTTTTCAGAAATGCTAAACTGTCTCGAAAGTTTCCTTCTCTTGGGCTGAGCGCTCTTAATGGGGGATTGTTCAAGCTCGTCATCACTGAGTTTGTTGATTGTGAGTAGCGTTTGATGAAGATGCTCGTTTTGCTTTTGCCTCGAATGAGAAATGTCCTCTGTGCAGATATGTCTTCTCTTGGGTTGAGCACGCTCAATGGGGAGTGGTTCGAGCTCATCACTGGCTTCGTTGACTGCGAGTGACATTTGATGAAGGTGCTCTTTTTGCTTTTGCTTTGAATCAGAAATGTCCTCTATGAGGATCGATTGGCTTTCCATCGCCCCGCTCTCATGGCGAACAGGGCGCAAATCTGGAGAGACTTGTGCAGATTCGGCCTGGGCAATCTTCATAGGGCTGCTCTCCAAAATATCAACAGTGGGCGAATCAAGCTGAACTACCTCTGCTTTGGATTGGCGCTTCTTTGCAGGCGTGAGTTTTGGCTGTTTTTTCTTAGGGGCTTGTTTTCGAGGTCCCTTTTTGGTGCCGACGAAAGGGGAGCTCAATGCCTTTGCAGATTCTTTCAAGGCACCCACGATAGATCGCTTAGGGGGGGGGTTATTCTTCCTCGATGCAGGCACGTCAACAATCTCTTGCGTTAAAGGGTCGAATTGAATAGGCTCTTTTGCCTTTTGATGGGGCCTTTTGTTCTTTGCAGAAACACGTGAAGATGGTTGGCTAAGGGTCTCCAACTTTGAATGCACGACCGTGGTAGTGGAATGATCCTTGATGACACTGGCAGCCTTGGACTTTTTAGCCTTGGACTCGGCCGCCATCTTTGCCTGAGCTGGCGGCGCGTCTTTCTTCGGGGTGACATCATATATATCATCCATCGCTATGTGCTGTGATCTCGAATCTGGGGCGAGAGAGAGCTCTTCTGTCTGATTGGCAGGTTTGGCTGCGTTCGGTGGTGAATCACTGCCCGACTGGCTATCGGAAAAATCCCAGATGTCCTTACGCATGTCGCTCGTCAAGAACGGCGAGCTACGACGAACAGTCGACGCGGTTTCTGAGAAATCGATTTGGGGTCCCAGAGTGAGTGAGGGCTCTTTGAGAGGCACGGTGTCAGGCAGATTTTTGTTTTTCGGATCCTGGCTAAGCAATTGTGCAAACGCTTCATCGTCCTCGTCGTCAAAGTCCCACAGCTCTTCTACCGGGGAGTCATCTTGGGGGGCAGGAGTGCTACGACGAGTCACATTGGTGGAGCCGCCGTCCGACCATGCGAATGAGGCCGTGTTTGTTATGTCTTGGGTATCATCGAAAAAAGAGTCTCCAATATCGTGATCATCAAGATAGTTTGCTTGGGAGGGGGGCAAATTTTCCTTGTCGTTCTTTGAAGGAGGACGCTCTTCACCAGGTCGACTGGGAGTGACATCCAGTTCGTTGAACTTGGTTGGTGCCCTTTGGGCCCGAGCACGGGTGTTAGGCTTTGCACGAAGCTTTGGAACCATATTGAAGAATGCTTCGTGTGAATGAGAAGCGATGGAACAAAGACGGTGTCGACGAAAAACGGCCAAGCGAACAGATGAAATCTTGAAAATAGAGACGAAAACAGACAAATGCTTGAGATCAGGAACGCGAACAAACAAATTCTGTCAAATGAGAGGAAGATTAGTGGAATTCCTTGACGAATGATCGGAACACAAAAAGACTCTTGACAGACCTGGTAGGCAGAGGGATTCTGGCAAAATGTGGTGGAAAACACAGAGGCTATTCACCACAATAAATGGCAACAGAAATATCTGCAATGAACGTCATAGAACACAGAAGCCGCTGAAGAAACTAAACGAGACGAGCACGGAGAGGGAAAAGGAAGACAAGATAGAGAGGAGAAGAGAGAGCTGCGGGGGAAAAAAGACCTGCCACCTGGGCAAGAGTCGAGAGGGAAGGAGCACCTCGCAGCTGGCAAGTCGCCCGCAAAATCTGCGCTCCTGAGGCACAAAGACTTAGCGTCCCGTCCTAGAACCAGCAAAGGAGCCTGAATTGAGAATTGAAATTGAACTTGAAATTAATGGAATCTTAAATATAAAATGATATAGAAACTAAGAGCATCAAAATCATAGTAAATGCGTAGCGACATACCGCCCTAAGTTTGTGCCCAGGCTGTAAAGGGGCAACTCTCTCGCAAAGGCTAAAGAAGAAAAGAAAAGAAAAGAAGGCCTCGGAAAAGATGTACATCTTCGTAAACAGCACCAAGAACAATAATTACAACAAGTTCTTCCAGCCAGCTTCACGGCACTTCTTAACCAGCGACTTGACTTCCTGGGAACGTGCTCGGGTGGTGACCATGAGCGCATCGGGGGCATCGACAATGACGATGTCGTCCACTCCGAGACAGGTGATGAGGCGGCCGGAGACGGGAACCACGATTCCTCCAGCGGTTTGTTCGGAGACGACTGAATGTTGAAATTAGTATAAGAAATCGTCAGTATAAAGAATGCGGCATCTTACCAAGTCTTGGGTCACCCAGCACGCGGGGCTTGTTGGACTCGGCGGGAAGCATCTCAGCCAGAGAAGAAAAGTCACCAACATCATCCCAACCTGAAATAATACGAGTCAGCAAAAATGATCCTTCCAAAGTCTTGTCAGATACAAAGTTTCTTACCAAATGTCGCGGGAATCACGGCAACCTTGCCCTCGGCAGCCGCAGGCTCTGCAACGGCATTGTCGATGGGAATCTTCTCCAGCATAGGCCAAACCTCTTCCAAGGCGACCTTGCGGGCGGCCTCATCCTCCCACACGTCGGAGATGTTCATCAGGCCCTCGTACAGGGAGGGGCAGTTCTCCTTCATCAGCTCCATGAGGAGAGAGGCCTTGGTGACGAACATACCCGCATTCCAGCGGTACTGACCAGTAGCGAGGTACTTGGCAGCAGTGTGGGCATCAGGCTTCTCCTTGAAGGAGCTGACCAGGCGCGAGTGAGGCGCCGACTTGAGGTTGAGGCGATCGCCCAGGCGGATGTAACCAAAACCCGTGGCAGGGTGAGACGGCGCGATACCGATTGTGACGAGATAGCCCTCCTTTGCGACCTCGACAGCCTCGGTGACGGCACCCAGGAATGCATCCTCGCCGGAAATCATGTGATCGGCGGCGAACGATCCAATGACAGCGTCGGGGTCGCGCTTGACGAGGATTGCGGCAGCCAAACCGATGGCGGCCATGGAATCCTTGGGGCCGGGCTCAGTGAAGAGGTTGGACGCGGTCAAGTTGGGGAGTTGGCCCAGGATGCCCTCGGAGTGGGCAGGTCCGGCGACAACAGTCATTCGCGAAGGGCCGGCCAGCGGGAGCAGTCGATCCCAGGTCGACTGCAGCAGACTGTTGCCGCAGAGGTTGACGTCGAGCAGAAACTTGGGGTGGTTCTCTCGAGAAAGGGGCCAGAGGCGGGTACCAGCACCGCCTGCGGGGATGACGACGTAGAAGCCGGGGATCTCGCGGTCATCGGTGTAAGGGAATGACTGAAGTGAGAGGTCGCGAGTTGGCGACGTGATGGAGATTTGCGAAGGAACAGTCTGCAGGGTGGAGGAGTGGCGAGGCAGGAAAGGCGAACGGGCGCGCTCACGGCCGACGCTGGGCGAGAGGCCGCCTGGGCTGTGGCTGCGTCCTTGCTGCTAGAGGGCATCATGACATGTTAGAATGGCGGACATGAGAGAGAATGCGCACTGCATTTGCGCGACAGAATTGCAGAGCATAAGCTGCCGTGACTGTACAATGCAGACGGGGTAAATGGCGTACAGCAATGTTCTGGAGCATAATCTCCATGCTCTTGTTTGAGGACCGCAGATCCGAGCATTCTTTGCGCAGCTCCGTCAACTCTAGGTTCTATACTCATTCGTCAGTCTCAGTTCTCATCTCATCTCTGCAAACACATCCGTCGCAGCCTCATTTTCACTTGAGACGAAGGCTCCCCCCTTACCTGCTTCTCCATCGCGCTCATGATGCGCTCCAGCATCATCTCAACGCCCATCCTGGGCACATCGGACACAGGCGCAGCCATTGGTTCCGGATTCAACGATTAACAAGAATTGATGATAGTAATTTAACGAGTGGATGGCAAGATGTAACTTTTGCCGTAAGTCTGAAGAATCCTAAGCACACGCAAACGCCCACGAGGCTAAAGGTAAGCGCAAGGTTGGCAAAAAGGGCGCAGCACAAAAAGCTAAAACTCACTTTGATCTCAGACTTTTGTATTCATTCACGCAATAAGCATCACAGGACGAAGTGTAAGGGAGAGAGAATGAAAGAGGCGCAAATGCGAAAATGATCGGCCTGAGCTTTTTTTTTTTTCCAATGGCAGTGACATTAAAAGAGGACACGACATCTACTCGTATTCCCATATTAATCTCATGTCCCAGTCTCCTTTTTCACCGAGCCCCGTTGTTCCATCTGAGACACTTTGCCTAAAATGAGGCTAGCACCCTGGCTCTGCTCATCCTGAGCCGCGCTTCGACCCAGCTGGCGTTACAATGGACCACAATGGGACACAATGGGACGAAAGAGCGGCCTTTTAGGGGACGTGCTAGGCCTGGAAAGGTGGACCTGCTGGAAGCGCCGTGTGAGGCTGACGAGGACTACCCATTTGGGAGGCGCTGGCGCGTCTCATTCGCCTCTGGAGAGGGTCTTTTACAGGCGGTTCCATGCGCTGCTGGCGAATCTGTCTGGCACATGTTGGTGCTGTCTTGAATCAGCCATCATAGGGGGCGGGTCTTGTGCTTGGAGGATTGTGGACCGCAGGCAAAATTAGATTGTGGATGTGGCCTGTCGTAGCAAGGATGCAGCACGATGCTTGATTGATTACCTATGCGCTCTTCTAACACGCCATTGGCTATATGGTGATGCAGCTTATGCAATGTGTTACGGCCAATCATGCGGTGGCTTACGAAGGCTCGTTGAATCAAGTCGCGATTGTCATTTACGAATACAATCCTATCTACATTAGGAAAGTTGGGCAAGTAGAATGCACTTACACTTGCACCGTCATGCTGTCAAATTTCCCGTCGAATCAGAAACATGCAATTGAGTTGGTTTCTGCAATGATACACTCACCGCATCACTCGCCTCCATGCAGCCCAATTTACGCCCCGATGCCGTCTCACGGCCCGCCTCACCTTGTTTTTCGGCATCGCAAAAGGCTCGTACGCGTATGTCACCCGTGCCTGGATTGCCCCATAATCCGATGCTTCAACTCGCTTCTTTTATCAGATCCGAACGATCCATTAAAAAACGAATGCCGGGCGGAGAGATCAAATCGAATCGTGTGCGGAGTTTCCCCCTTTGCTGGAGAATGCTGTCATAGACTGTGATTATTCAGCCGGGGCAAGGTTGCGATAGGCCGGGCCATCGGTTTTCGCAACGAGGGTCCAGTCCGATGCTCCGCAGCGTAGGAATTCCGCATCAGCTAGCTGCAGCTTAGAAAGGAAAAAATAGAGAGAGGCAGTTGACTATGCGTTGTGATTGATCTAGGCAGCGTTGCGAAGGATGTGGTGCGAAATGGACCCTGGTCACCGTTTCAAGCTGCGTGTCGCCTGCGTGGATAAATAGTAATCGACTGTGCCCATCCCCCGCGAATCCTGAGACAGCACTTGATTTTGATTGTTCCAACTTGTTTTCATCACACTTGCCCAGCATGAAGCGATCAGAATCTCCAGAGCGACCCTCAACCGCCGTGGCTGCGCTGGAAAAGGCCGAGGCCACTGAGCAGCACCCGGCAGACGGCTCGTATCCTCCCGTATCGTCGATTCCAGACATCTCGCCCAAACGCCTCGCTCAAGCCGCCGAGGGTGCGCCCAGAGAACTTGCAGAGGCTGCCGCAACCATTCTATATCTGGCATATGGCTCCAACATGTGCGCAGAGACCTTTTTAGGGATGCGCAAGATCCGGCCGATATCCCAGATCAACGTCTCGGTGCCGATCCTGCAGCTGACGTTTGACCTGCCCGGATTCCCCTACCGAGAGCCTTGCTTCGCGAACGTCGGATACAGAAAGCTCCCCAAAGAACCCAAGCTGCCCGATCCTCTGCACCCACCCATCATTCCGCCCATCGGCCCGCCAAAATCCGGGCAGGGCTGGGACGGTGGCCTCATGGGAATCGTATACGAAGTGACCCAGGAGGACTGGCGCAACATCATGAGGACCGAAGGCGGCGGCTCAGGCTATCAGGAGATTGAGGTCCCGTGTCTTCCCCTGCCTGCAGATGTGGGCATCCCCGAGAAGCCGACTTTCCCAGACATACCTAGACCATTCCTCGCAAGGACACTCTATTGTCCATATATCCCTCTCGAATCAGACAAGAACATAAGCTGGTGGGCTAGGCTTGCTCTGGGCCCCCAAAGACCAAGCCCCGACTATGCCCAGCCAAGTGCTCGATACCTGAAGCTCCTGAAAGACGGTGCAAGAGAACATGAGCTCCCCCAGGCATACCAAGACCACCTGGCCTCGCTCCAGCCCTACACAGCCACCAGCATCAGGCAAAAGATTGGCCACGCCGTCTTCATCTTTGCTTGGGCGCCGATGCTGATTTGCATGATGTCGATGACGAGGATCTTGGCAGACGAAACAGGCCGAGTTCCTCGATGGTGCGCGAGCATAATCTCGGGATCGTTTGGCGTCATGTGGTACAGCTACGACAAGGTATTCAAGCTCATCTTTGGCGATGGCGAGCGGACGATGGAGGAGGAAGACAAGGCCAAGATGATGAGACGCAAGTCGTATTCGGGCGGCACAGATGAAGAAAAGGCGTCTTTGATGCAAGACAATGAGGAACAAGAGAGCTAGGAGAAAGAAGAGAGGTGATAACAAGGGGCGGGCGTTTTTTTTGAATTTAGACTTAGACCTCGACGAGTCTCACTGGTGCTGACGCTGTCTCCGCACTACGTGGAGCAGAGAGCGATTTACAAAGCAACCATGTATAGAATGGCCATTGATTTTTTTATTTTGAATTATATTGCATGTCGAATCAATCATGTCACACAATAACACGTGCAGTTGGAGAGTTGTTGCATAGATGTCTTCAGATTCTATGCAGTCAATATGCGATGCAACAGTCCTCGGCCCAGGCACCGTCAGAAATCATTATTGCTTCGCTTATTACCGTGTCTGCCAAGGCCAACAGCGTTTGACAATAACAATCCCAATCTTGTGATATCAGCAGACATCCATCTCAATACAATCAAGTAAAAATCGCCATCCAGCGCTGGCATGTGAAAATCCAATTCGAGCCAGGGGTCGACGTTGCATGTGATTGCGCTGCATCCCTCGCATCTCGGCGAAAATACGCGACTGGCGCATGCGATTTCTGCCGCCCCAGCGGTTCATCGGTTGGGGGGATTTGCGCCCGATGCGGCAAGCGGTGTCTTAACCCCCGAAGCTATGCGTCATTGGAGATGAGCTTGGCACACGAGCTGCAGGTCGTTTTTCCTGTTCCCTGTTCTTGCAGCAAGGATAGATAAGACATACGGCATACTGTACAGGATATATATATAGCAGGCCCTCCTTTTTTTTTTTTTTTTCGCTCAGACTGTATATGCTTCGACTCTGCGGCTCTCGCGTCGGCTTCTTTCTGCGGATTTCACAGCTCAAATCCCTGCATCGTTGCAACAGCAGCTACTCCCCCCTCAACACAACAGCGGGCAAGATGGCGTTCCTCGGCGGCTACGAGAAGAAGCACAAGGTCACCATTGTGGGATCTGGTAACTGGTATGTGTCGAAATAATGCGTGTGTCGATGAAAGAATTCTAACCGGCTTTGTCCATCATACAGGGGGTCTACCATTGCAAAAATCGTTGCCGAAAACACGCGAGCGAACAAGGATGTCTTTGAGGAGGACGTCCAGATGTGGGTGTTTGAGGAGGACGTCACCATCGCCAAGGACTCCAAGCACTACGACGAATCCATCGGCGACGCTCCCCAGAAGCTGACCCACGTCATCAACAAGTACCACGAAAACGTCAAGTACCTGCCCGGCATCACCCTCCCCAGCAACATCATCGCCAACCCCTCCCTCGTGGACGCCGTCCAAGACTCGTCGATCCTCATCTTCAACCTCCCCCACCAGTTCATCCGCAACGTCTGCAACCAGATCCGCGGCAAGATCCTGCCCTTTGCGCGCGGCATCAGCTGCATCAAGGGCGTCAACGTGTCCGACGACGGCGTCAGCCTGTTCAGCGAATGGATTGGCGACGGCCTCAGCATCTACGTCGGCGCGCTGAGCGGGGCCAACATCGCCAGCGAGATTGCCGCGGAGAAGTGGTCCGAGACAACCATTGCCTACGACCCGCCGCCAATGGACAACAGCAGGGCGCCCACGCCGCGGTCCCAGAGCCCCGGCCTGACCATGACCGTCACGGAGCCGCCTGCCGACATGCAGCACCGCGATGCCAGGGGCCGCAAGTCCAAGACCAAGCTGACGCCCGTGCCCGCAGAGTATCCCCCGCTCGACCACGCCTGCTTCCATTCGCTCTTCCACCGCCCTTACTTCCACGTCGAGATGGTCTCTGACGTTGCTGGCGTGTCCCTTGGCGGTGCGCTGAAGAACATTGTTGCCCTCGCTGCGGGCTTCGTTGACGGCCGCGGCTGGGGTGATAATGCCAAGGCCGCTGTGATGCGAATTGGCTTGATGGAAATGGTCAAGTTTGGCAAGGAGTTCTTTGGGGAGACTGTGCACACTGCGACTTTCACCGAGTCATCTGCCGGTGTTGCCGACTTGATCACCTCTTGCTCTGGAGGTCGAAACTTCCGATGCGCAAGAAAGGCGGTTGAAAAGGGCATCACCGTCGACGAGGTGGAGAAGCAGGATCTAAACGGCCAGAAGCTCCAGGGCACCAGCACGGCGTTTGAGGTCAACAGCTTCCTCACGGCCCGTGGGCTGGAGAAGGACTACCCGCTGCTGACGGCCGTCAATGCTATTCTGCTGGGCAAGGCGAGCGTTGACGACATTCCCAGCCTGGTTTCCGACACTGAGCGAAAACAACCCCTTCCATGAGTGTGTTTATGAATATATGAATGGACATGTTGTAAAACGAAAAAGAAAAAAAAATGAAAATGAAAAAACAAGCATGCAATGTTAGGCATAGCGATGAGGCGAGAAGAGACTGGGCGGGGGAGGCGTTTTAGGCTGAATGTCATGAACGGTAGATTTGCCTGGGCATTTTTATTTGTTTTTGCCTTTTACAAATATTTTGATTGATGAGATGGTTCAATCTGATTTGTTCAAACTGTTACTGTTGCTTCTGTCTTATTTGAACTCTTTGTCCTGTATTCGGCGTAAAAAGGTCACCAGAATTGTGTAGATTGTACGATTAAAATTGGTGCTCTTTACCCTTGTAAGCTGATCGCCAGGACATGGTACATACGCGTAAGAGGATCTACAGCGCAGGCCATTGTAACCTGTCGTTTCTCAGGTGGCATAGCGCATCTTCAACCCGATCGATTAATGCGCAGCATCATTCATCATGTCCACACCCAAGATCAGCATGAGCATGATAACAAGGTATATGATTCAATGGAGAGCTCTAGTAGAAATAAGCCGTACTGTAAACACTTTTTGTGCTTAATCTTTTTGTGCAGATGCTTTCCAGTCCATGTTTTGACGGCGACGCAAGAAGACGCTCTCCTCGAGTCCATGTTGGGATCTCAGCTTTCAAATTGAGGTGCTAATACATTTTTTTTTCTTCTTAGAATCATTGAGTGGTAGTTTGAGATCAATTGCTATTAAGAATGTATAATATGACTCCTGTCTCTTTTACGTTTGCACTTGGTCACAGAGAACAGTTTTGCAAGAGGTGGTCGACATCTTCTCTCATCCTCAACGATCAGCAGCTGTCCAGAACGAGATATTCCTAGTACATGATTCCACTATTTATAACGGTTGGTTGTCTTATCTGTACATTAGCCTTGAAGATCACTCCTTCTCGCTAAATCGGATTTCGGTCGGAGTCTCAGCCTTGTTAGTCAAGCGGTCCCATCCTCATTGTCGATCAGTACCAACTACGTATACACCGCAACAGCACAAGACATCTCACACACATAATCACCAGACAACAAACACACAAACGCTCCCGTAGAGCATTGAGAAAAAAAAAAAACAATCTTACGAATCCAGCAACTCCTCAGTAGTCTACTTCCACAGACAAATCACCCAGCCCCCATTGCCGATCAAACACCAACGCCCATGCACATGTAGGCTCTCCATTTTGCCAAGAACTGAGGTACCACCAAGCCCTATATACGATTGACAAAAAGGGCAAATAATCGTCCACAAGCCACGATGTGGCTTTTCTCTTTCCCCCCCTCCCCCCCGTCCTGTGGCCGTTTTTCTCGGTAGCGGGAAGCGCCGATCCCTTCTTTTTTTCCTTCCGTGTGCGCCGAAGATCGACAAGGGAGAGCTGGGATGTAGGGAAGTGAACTAGACCTGCAGAATGACAGAGTGTGCATATTCGACTTCACATCATCGGTTTGGTGGTGATTTGGTGATGGGGGAGGGAGTTTGTTGCTAGAGTTGTGGCGTATATATATTACTTTCTACACTGAAAAGGACATTTTAGATGGCATAAACTACACAATTTGATGTTAGTACCACCACTCCATCTTTATACTGTCAGTTTTGTTCTTTTAATTACCAGGATTTGAAACCGACGAGTGCCGAGGGAGCCGGCATCTTATACATGCAAGCAACTACCGCCAGCTACGATAGAAAGTTTGTATATAATCAGGGTAATATGTGCGCGGCGCAAGAGCTCATTATTCAAAAAGAAATTGATGTTAATGAAATAAGAAAAATTAAATGGCAAGAGTTCTAAAACCAGGGGAATCTGCACCCGCGCTCATGCATATGCAGTACTAAGACATATGTGAATAGCTTCACAGTGGCTGACATATTCACACACATGGCAGATTTCTACAGGCGCACAAATGTTCCGAAACATTGGAAATGTATTAAAGGTATATATACATGAATCTGAAATATCATCTCAAAAACGCTATAGCCAACCGTAGGAATGTTCCAAATTATTCTTCTTTTTACCATCACCATTTTCCCGCCTGCCAGTAGTCAGGCCGCTTCCACATTAACCGCCTGCGATTCCACCTGCTTCACCCACCGCACCGCAGACTCGCGCAGGTAATTCTCAATCAGCTCGCACCCGCAGTTGCCATGCTCCAGCAGCATGTTCTTCAGCACGATGCGCTCCGCTATCAGATCCTTGGCCATTTTGGTAAGCTGCTGGTTCTCGTACTCCAGGCTGTCGTGCTTCATGTTCAGCCTCTCCATGGCAATGCGCTGCCTGCCGCGGCACTTGTCTGCCGCGATGCGGTTCTTCTCGCGGATGCGCACGCGGCTGGCCTCCTGCTCCTGGACTGTCTTGGTCCGCCGAGGCCTCTTGGTGACGCCTCCCTCTTCGGAAGAGTTTTTCCGTGTGCGTGTCTGCTTTTTGCTGGCGACAGGCTCCTTTGCTAGTTGCTGTGCTGGTGGTGATAAGGGGGCAGAAGATGCTGACGATGCGGCGGATGAAGCAGACATGAGGTCGGATGTTGGGGTTGAAACTGCTGATGGGCTGTATTCACGGCTCAGTGCTGTCTGATGGATTGGGTAGTCCCATTCCGAGGCGTTTAAGGCAGCTTCATTTCCAGAAACAACGCTCCCGGTTGGGGGGTTTTGTAAGGCGTCTTCCGGGTATTTGATGAAGTTTTCCGTTAAATCCCACTCCGACTGCTGCCAGGGCAGGCCAGGCAAAAACACATCCGAAGATTCTGGGCCTGAGGAGCCATGGCACAGGCCTGTCAAGGTGCCCTCCAGATCTGCAGGAGGGAACGGTAGTGAAAGATTGTCTGCATGGGCGTAGTCTGGACCGCATGCGATGAATGGGGAAGCTTCGGCAATGCTAGCCATGGTGCCGTTTGTAAAAGATTTATCTGACTTCTTGAAGAGAAGGCGGTAACAATGATATGATATGATACAGTACGTAGGTAGTATGCGGTAATGTAAGTAGGTAGTATACAATGCTTGTCTGGACTATGATGGCAGGAAAGTTTCAAAAGTCATGAGAGAGCCGCGGCGAATAGATCGGCAGAAGAATAAGGATTCGCTTCGTAAATAAGGCGGAAACGTCATTGCTAAATATACGGCCTGGTGAACAGATCGCCGCGCACTTGGGAGCTTTTGATGCGGATTGCCGCATCAGAAGATGATGGTGAGATGTTACCCCTGGCACCGTTGGGTTAGCACATGCGAGTTAGCGCGCCGGAGCCATGTCTCGGACTGCTGAAGCATCTTGGACAGGAAGCCAGGCAGGGTGCTCAAGGTTCAAACTAGGAAATAGATCTGAGCACTTGCTGGTCACTGCATGCAGGAGAGTATCCATAGCATCAAGCGGGTGGCTCTTGTGGGGTCGCTTATTCGACCTGATGGCGTAGGCGGAGCCTCTCTGCTGCTTTGTACTTGTACCACCACCCAAGCATGTTTGCCCTCGGTATCATTCACACCACCCTCGAATGCATGCGGCCCCCCGTTCCGAATGGAGCCTATCCATTCCTAGGCTAATAAGATGGTAAACTGGCGCCTGGCAAGCAGGCTTGCGGTTCCTAGGCTGGGAAACAAGACGCCGGTGATATGCTTCGTGGAGAGGCGACGGGTTACTGCTCAAAAGAGGTCAGCGAGAGACTACGTACAAGATGAGTGAGTCGTCATTTTCGTACGTGAGGAAGAACCACAGTCGCGCGATTCAAAAATGTGCTTCAAAGATATGGAACATGTCATGGCTTTAGGCCCTCGGTTAGCCGCTTCGAATCGAATCGCGACTTGACATCGAAACTTCCAATATTTTCCAAAGGCATCACCCGCATCCACGCCGAGCCTCAGCTAGGAACCACCGGTAAGCAAGTCAAAAGCTTGTGTGTCGCACCCCCGGCCGGCCCCTCAGGAGCAAAAGCTGGACAAAGGAGCAAAAGCTGGGATGCGTCTCCCCGACAGGTCCGCGGTGGTCCTCTAGCATCAAGCGAGCTGCCGCCTAAAGTGCCAGATAAACGGAGTCGCTGTGAAGAGCGCTAGACGCTACGGATAGCGCTGCGAATAGCGCCGCGGGCCAGGAGTCCGGTTTGCGTCATAGCATCGAGATCTCAACCCCAATACTATCTTGTACAAGTCTGTGCTGGGACGCAAGGGATGTCGTTGAACGTTGGCGGAGGAAATGCTCCGGAGGAAATGCTCCGCGTCCATCTGGTGGGATCTGGTGGGCGCCCCCGACCCACCACCAACCAAGATGGCAGGCAGTGTGAAAATCATGGTGTGAATAGCTTCTGTTTGACCATGCGTGGCGGCTTGGGTCCCAATGGCTCCATTCCTAGTTGAACAGGTGTAATCTTCTTATTCATGCGGGACGAAGGCAATCTCGATGGCGATCACCAAGCGTCTTAGAGTTAGAGTTGGCTGGGATGGATCACGTGATACAGCACGTGCTGCCTCTTGCTCCATTGCTCGTCCATCCTCCGTCCATTACTCTTCCATCTCCATCCGAAGCTCAGCCCGTCTCGGCTAAATCCATTTGACTCCTGTCAAGGCTCAGCCCGCTTGCTTCTCCACAGCTGCGCCAGAAGCCTGTTTACTGCAAGCCACAGCACGGCTTGGTGAGGCGCTGGGACACGACACGGAGCATCTTCTCCGAAACGAAGACTTACATGGAAACGGTAGGTCTTTTTTTTGCGCAGTGTCAGTGCGGCCCGAGGCGAAAGAGAAGACCTTTGAAAGATTTCTCGAAACTCCGTGCGAGTATAGGGCAAGACACCGCGTTCAACAAAGGTACTGCAAGTACCAACCATGTTTTGCTGCATCAGCCCAGCCTACGAGGTCCAATGCACGTAAGCGGGCTGGTCGAGCTAACTTCCCCAGCAAAGGGCAGAGAGACGACGAGGCTATAACAGCCTGCCAAGATGGAAGAGCCACCTCGCGTTCTGTTCCTCGATAATTTCACCCCGTACGCGGTCCACGCCGTCATGCCGGTGGCCAGCCTATAGCCTGAACGGCGTTCAACCTACGATGAATGCCCTGAGAGTCGCTGCCAAAGGCAGCATCCTACAGGCCTATTTATCTCTGGCGACTGAGTGCTTGCATTGTTCGCACAGACAGCTTCGGCGGATCTTCAGCGAGCTGGAAAGACCACAAACAGGTCTGAGCCATTTCTGCCAGCTTCCATCGTCATGACCCATGAGACTGTGCCCGTACAACCCCATAACTTATAATACTACGATACTGCGACGGGACCCGATGTCGTCATTGCTAATATGGCTCACGCTTCTAACGTCCTAGCAAAAGTGCCAAGACGAAACTAGCTCTATCAAACTGCGGGAGCGGTTTCTAGCGGTCTTGTCCCACGTTTTCTTGCTATTGTGTATATTGAATCGAGCGCAAACAGGTAATATGTGCAATATCCATTGCCATGGCAGTAACAACCACCTCTGCGTGTATGTGTGTATGTATGCACAAGTAGGTAGGTACCAACATTTTTTTTGGTGGCCGTGCGCGAAAAGATCAAAAGACCCCAATCCTGCTCAAAAGTCCTGAGGCTTACCCTGATTCTTGGCAGAGCATCGCATCTCGATCTTGCACTGTACCTCTACTTGAGCCTGTCACATTGGGTCCATCCTTAATGTCGGGTAGCGCTAGCTGTGGATCGCCCAGGGTCCACGATATCCGTATTTCAAGCAGCCCCCGCAGCTAGTCATTCCAAAAAACAGGTATTTGGCAAAGAAAAGCTGTTCAAGGTTGCCGCAAACTCTTCCCCATGCGGCCGTGGCCAATGGAAGCGGATGTGACGTGGTCACGCCAACGACTGGGGTCAGCGTGTCTTTGTCCGTGGAAAATTAAGCTTTGCTTGCTTGTGTCCACAACTGGTTCGTGAATACTGGGATGATACTCTTTGGGCAAGGCTATTTTTTCGGCGGTATAAACGCTATTAGGCGACTTTGATGGCTCCATGCTGAACTACTTGCTACTTTGGGACTGTGATTTGGAGACAACAGTAGTAGCTTTGAGATAAACGACCGTGTTAGTGCTAGTAGGCATCTATTGATCCGCACTCGTAGGTGAACTTCCCAGGACCCTTCCAAGATTTTTTATATGCGGCGTGGAGACTGCGAGGCTACGAATTCAACCGTTGACAAGAGGGTGGACCCTGAAATGAGACACAAATTACACCGATGCAAACCCGATGGAAGGATACCTATTGATGGAACCGTTATCTGGTTCTTCCACTGCCGTTGGCGGATAACGGATAAATTTTTGCCATGCTCCATAAACAGGTTGATGTGCGCGGCAGATCGTCCACCAAATCGCGCCGGCTCAGGTAACGTCAAAAGATTACCGAGTTCAAGTAGTAGGTAGATCACATATCTAATCTACACTAGGTTTGATCTGCTTGACATGTTTCATTCTAGATTTAGAAGCTTGGAGTGCTAGTTGAAGATGACTACTCTTGTTGGGAATAGAATTGCATGTTGAGTCCGCAATCCCAGCGTTGCTCGTGAAAAGATTTTGCCCACGTAGTTTCGTATTATTTTGGATCAGCAAATAGTTTTTTTGAGTTGTAAATAACGTGCAAGCCTAAGACACATGGTTGGACGAAGATACAATTAATCTGATGCTAGTTATCTCTTTTAGACACGTTAATTTGGTACCACTAAATGATTCAGCACAAGTTTTACTGCAGGGTATCCGCATAAAACTCCTATTCATACAGTAACTCAGCAGTGGTCGACGTGCAGGGTAAGCCATCTTTGTAAATCCTGAAAAGAAATTGATTACTACTGTGTATAGTTTTTGATAGCAGTTGATTAAGGCTCTATTGCATCGGTGTTGGATAATCCGAGACACTGCTGTCTTCTCTCTATATGGCCCTTTTATGAAGCCTTACCTCTGGGTAGATGATCCTTCACAGATTATAAATTTAGTGCCGTTCATCTTCGAGACGTAGCAGTAGAGACTAATCGAAAAGATTGGTCGCCATTGTATTATTCAGCCTCTTCTTTGGTTGACCGATTGTTCATTGCGACAATGAGTTGTTGCCCTCATCTTTTCACCTCTACTCGAGTCTCGCACCGCCAACTGCTCAATAAGCCGTTCTCAACAACACGCAACATTATAAATCATCCAACACAACACGGCATTTCAGGACATCCGAGAAAGTCCGAGCGAATCCTCCAAGACCTGTGGCGTCGCGAGACTCGCGCAGTCCATTCTTGACAAAAGCCGGCGTCGATTGTTATATAAGCCAGTCTGTTGAAGCACACTCGGAGATTAGTAACTCTTGTAGCCGCAGGATCCAAAACGCGCGCTAGCCTTATTTCGTATTCTGGCCATCAGTGATTCGGCAGCGTGCCGCAGCTAGCTCGGCGACGGGTCTCGATAGCGTGATGGGATTGCTGTTTCGGGAAATCTCGAAACCCGCCCCAGCTGGAGATGTGCCTGATGATCGACTTCAATGTTGCGAGGCTCGGGGATAGGCATTGCGTCTGTGCGATGAGGAGAAATCTCTCGCGGATAAGGGAGATAGAGCGAAAGAGGGGGGATGGGGATATGGCGCGTTGTAAATGTATATAAGTCAGGGAAATATCATTCGTTGTTGGAAGAATATCTCATCAACAGAGACACAGCTTCAAACAACAAAGACATCACCTCAACAACTTTCACATTTCGATTTGAGACACAAAAAAAAAACTAAATTCAGCCAAAATGTCAGTCAAGTACGCAAAGGACCAGCCTGCAGGCTTTACCAACCGCATCGAGCGTGTGGCCATTGTGGGAGTAAGTCTTGCACCGCATCTCTACTCTGCAGCACACATCGGATAACTTGCTAACAAAATGCCCATCAGGCTGGAGGCCAAGTTGGCAAACACATT